AATAGTTATAATGTTACAACGTAACAAATCACGCATATGCATATGCGTATGAAATTTATTTATTATTGATTGTATTTATTCTTTCCCCTGATTGTAAGATAGATTGTGATTTATTAATTGGGAATTATAAATGCTGAATACTGAGGAGGTAGTAAAATATTGTGACGCCTCACACCTTCGGGTCACGGGGCATGCCACGTGACCCGGAGGTGTGAGGCGTCACAATTCTTGAGTGTGACAAATATACTCTCTAGAATCTTTATTTTATATTTTTAATATCTCTATTATTTATTCATTATTTATTTATAATCACTATTTTAATTACTATTATAGAGTTAATTCTCATTCCTATAGTATTATAATAATACTAGATAACTCAACCTCCCACTTGTTACGTCCAAAACGATTAGTATGTCACATGACCATAAAACATGTGATGGAACGGTGAGGAACGAACGTTCCTAGGAACAACCAGGAACGACGATTCCTAGTTAACCACAGGCACGAAGGACTATATAATCAAGATGGATTTCTTTTGTATAGAGCTTCGTGCTCAAGATCAATCATTTAGTATACTCGACTATTAGTTACGAATTGCATTGTTGTCATTACTTTAAGCCCCTGCTTGACGCCTAGTTATAAACCACCTCGAGAGCCTAGACCACTTCGACGTGATCTAGACGGCAAACCTCGTAACAGTTTTTTAGATTATAGATATTTTCAAGTCTTTACTTTGTTTTAATTTTTGTTGTTTGTAGATGAATAAGATATACATATTTTATAGTAGTATATTGTCACGATTCACCATTAGGATTGATGGTGTTACGATGGTAGCAAACTGATTAATTAGGAGAGCTTAGGCCTTGTGCAAACACGATCAGATTTCATCGAATTAGTATGTGATCTTGGTCACCTGAAGATCGTATGCGCACGCACCATCAGAAATCACGTGATAAGGTGCCCTAGGAGCTTCGTGCTCAACTTAGTTATCAATTAGTTTACCTACATTCTACTTGATCTAGTAACGTGGTTTATCATCGAGTGGCCCATATCATCGAGTGGCCCACTTTCACCTCAATTTACACTTTCAAACCCATATTATTCAACAACAATTGAATCAATTGATTGAAACTATTAAGAATCTAATAATCTAGGATCTATTACATTATTTTGACAGGTTCTTGCATTATGTCCTGTCTTTCCGCATTTACTACAACATCGATTAGAAGATGCTTCCCCATTAGAATTCCCCCCTTTTTGACGCTCATCGCGTTGAATCTGAATATCAACCTCTTGCTGAGATAATATATCAAGAGCCTCTTGTCCAGTGAGCACTCCTCCTTGACGTAATTGGGTTTTTTTCGCGCGTCGACGCTTGCTTAATGCTTCATTTGCTGTCCGAAGTGTACGAATCTCTGTATTTAAAAGTGTGTTTTCATGAGCTAATCTCTCTGTACCCTTAGCTAGAGCTAGTACAGTCTCGAATATAGGTGTAGGAGAGCTTGCTTGATGACGAGTTATTCGAGATTTAACTAATGTTGATTGAGAAAGAGCTTCAGTTGGGTTGCGAGGGGTTTGAGAGATCCATTGATCTAGGTCGAAAGAGGGAGGGGTAGGTGTGCGAATTCGAATATCTAATTTCGAGAGTACAGCTTCAGGATTAAATGGGATTAAACCTGTTCCTCGGAATCCTGATTTCATATTCTGAGAAGTGATTGATTCCTCGTATGCAGCTTTAAAAGCTATAAAGAATTCAACCTTCGAAATATGATTGATATGTGCCTTGATAAATCCATCAATTTGACCACCATATGAACGTTTTAGATTGCTAAAACAGCCAACATCAAGTGGTTGAGTTAAATGACTTGAATGCGGTGGTAAACGTAAACATATAATATCGTTCTCTTTGCAGTATGCTTGAAAAGCTACTGATTCGTGGCTTTCATGCCCATCCAGTACCAACATTCGATATTTGCCCTTTCTTCGATTCTTAGTATGCTTGTCGAAGTGTTTCAACCATTCTAAACCCGTCTCATTATTCGTCCACCCATTAGATGTAGGTTTAATAGCCCATTCCGCAGGAAGATTCGTTTCGGTGTACCAATTGGAGAGATGAACTTGTCCTTGAACTACTAGAAATGGGGGAATAGTTTCACCCTCTCCATTTCCGCATATTATTGCTGTAGCCCATTCTCGATTGCCTGGCTGTACTGTCTTGCTTCTGCCATTTCGTTCAGCACTAGTTACTACCATTGCTGCACATATAATCCCCATCATAAAGCCTGTTTCGTCGAAATTGTAGAAATCTCCGTCCAAAATGCCGTATTTCGCTCGCATATTCGCAATTAGTCGAAACCACTCTTCAAGAAGCTTAGGATCCTCACAGAGAGCTCTTTGAAAGTCATAAACACGACTAAAACGCGTCTTTAATTCGATTCGACGCTTTACGAATCGATGCGCCCAGAGCTTCCCAACGCGTTTCGCACCCCTCGATTCGAGAATATCATTCGCCATATCTTCCACATTCTTTAGTTTAGGTGGAAATCCTCTTAAATCCATATCGAGTATATATTGAACAATCACCTCTTCTTCTAATTCTGTAATCTTATGACGATTCGCTCGAGTTTCTGTACGAAGAGGTAAACCTTCCATTTTATGTCGAAGAGTCGTACGAGGAATATTATAGAGCATAGCAGCCTTTCGAATGCTTAATTTTTTATCTTTATGAATAACTTCGATAGCAAGGAGTATACGAGCTTCTTGATTATTCGAATTCATTATAGGTTGTTGATAAAACGCGTGTTGAAAGAGACAGGTGTAAATTGAGGTGAAAGTGGGCCACTCGATGATATGGGCCACTCGATGATAAACCACGTTAACGAATTCACTTTCAAGTGAATACCAGTGATAAAGCCTTAACCCATAACTACCAACCGGCGAACCTTAGGCAGCCGCTGCCTTTAGTACAGTATCGTTACATATATTTATATTGTTACTTTTAAGGTTATATCTATATTGTTGATTTCAATGTTATATCTTCATATTATCATTACTATATTGGGATCTCGTATCTAATACTTTGTATGTTATATAAATCTATTAATTAGTTTTTAAATCAAGTATTATATTGAGAACCATTTAATTTCCATCCTTTTAGCAGTACATACATCCACGACATGAATAAACTCAAGCTCAAGCTCGAGCCAAATCACCAGCGCCAGCACTAGCATAAGTTCACAAGCCAAATTTCCACCATTATTTCTGCTCTTGACCCCTAAATCGCATCGACAGTCCCACTCATATAATCTTACATCAAAACACAATCCAGCTCTTAAATCTCAATTTACCAAAATTTCTTCGAAAATTTGCTTATGTAAGCCATTATTTGACCGCCAATCGATGCTTCGAAGAATTCCAATTAACAGCTTGGTAATGAAACCAATCATCGTAACTTCATCACTTCCAACGCAAAGATTTTGCAATTCAGTCAAGCCTTCATTGAAGAAAGAGCATAAGGAATACGTAAGGATAGTCTCAATCAGAAACTCTCTTCCAGCGATGGTTCCATACTGCTCCACTGAAATTTCGACACAAGTCTTGATGCTTTCGATGATCTTATTCGCAAGAAACATCAAATACTTAGTTTCTTTGCTATGGTACTTTGCTCCTTTGGAATCGGTGTATCTGGCAATATAATAAGACAATGCTTTCCAGCTCAACTCTAAGAGCTCCCGGCATTTAGCAGGAGTGGGGTTGAGTTGAAGAAATCGACGGTCCTCAGAAATCTGGTATACTGCAGAATGATGTGTAAGTGACAGAACGATTTTGATACATAAGTGAAAGAGCCTGAGACTTGTTACTTACAATACGAGACAATCATTACATGATTTTGACTATACTCCAAAGACAACACATCAGTTCCCATCCAATTGTTATCGTCAGGGATTGTATCCACTTCGCTGATTTTCCTCTTCTCGCTGGGGTTATCCAAAGTCTGGACGACTCGAGAATCCGATGGGCCAGGGTAAAGACCGTTCGGAACTTCATTTTCATTTGAGCTATCTGTCGCAATTCTTTGAGCGTCTACTTGATAAAACGATAGTCTTTCCTTTAGTATCCCGATCTGAGTTTCCATTTCATTTTTAACAATGCATTGTCTTTTATATTGTCGTTCCCAGAATACTCCAAAATCAACTACACCATTGATTCTTGATTCCCCAGCTTTGATTGAGTGCGGAAACTCATTCAGGTAATCTGAATACTTGTTAGAACAATATATCGACAACAGATTGTAAGCTCTACCTTGGATAGATATTTCATCCGGTTTCTTCTTCAGGACTGATAGTATCAAAGCAATTTGATCTGTAGAAAAGGTTTCGGTGAGCTGATCCATCAAGAGAGCAGCATCAAGTTTGTAAAATTGAGCATTGGGATCTATGACAGAATCCGAGCTCGCTGCCTTTTGTATTAGATTTCCTTCCGTTTGGGCCTCAATTTGTAGTTCCCGTTAACTTTGGACTCCTTCGCGACTTTTGGTTTCGCACCTTTTGGTTTCGCACCTTTTGGTTTCGCACCTTTTGGTTTCGCAACTTTTGTCCCCTTCGCACGAGGCATGCTAAAATATTGAAAAGTGACGATCAGAAAGATAAGAATTGGGATTTGTTTGAAGAATGATTGAAAGTAAAGAGTTCCTAAAAGTGATAACCGAGTGAAAATGGCTCGCAGCGTAAATGATAGAAGTACAGACCTAAAGCAGTTATAACAAGATATTTAGAAGGAGAAGGATATGGATAGGAATAGTAGGAATAACAAGAGAAGATAGAGTAAGATGAAAAGAAAATAATTTCTGTGAAATGTTTGAAAAGTGCGAGGTTAATTGTATCGTATGCCCTGAACAAATAGGGAAAGAGCGTTGTACTCTCAAATAGGAAAGGACTATCCCGTGACATTCTGCTCCAGAACCCAAGGTCTTGTGCTGCCCATATCGAACGAGCTCACTGTGACAGATGCGTAAAAGAAAATAGTGATTCTCTCTTTACTATGATTAAGTCTTTCGAGGTTGAGTTTCTGACATTGTAGAAGTTCCGCCTGTCAGATACAAAAATATGCTCATTGAGACTGTTTAATTTGTGGATATACTCCTACAGATATGAGAATGTTTGTTTAGCCTACTGTCTATCATACCAAGATACTTCCTATGGTAGTTTTTATGAATGAGCCCAAAGATCTCGTAAGAATCGAATATGAGATAGAAACTTATCCATAAACCGACAACTATCCTTGAAATAAGGAATTCCAGCACGTGAGTTTAAGTCATCATGAATATAACTTCATATACATGGTCATCTCAACATCTCATACATGCCATCCATGCCATCCATGCCATCCATGAGTAGATGCAATATATCACATTGATCATATCAATTCTATTTTCAAAATCTTAATCATCGAACGAGGTCCATGAGATATTTATTCACAATGAAGCGCATCGGCAAACCCCCGGTCCCAATACCCGCAGAGCCTCACCTCGCTTCACCCCGCATTTACGCTAATGAACTTCTGATTGATTAGAACCTAAGATTCGCTCATCAATTTCAAGCTTCGATTTCTATTACACGAATCCTTACTGCTTGCGCCAATCCATCAAAGTTCACATCCACACACGATTTTTCACCAACCACATATAGTACACCAAGAAAGATCAATCGCAAAGCAGAGATAAAATGGTGTATTTAAATACCGCCCAAGAATGGCTCACTCAATCTTCTCTCCTCTTAAAAGCGCATCCTAGTACCGTACGTGTCCCTCTCCCCTTCCCTCCATCCCTCTTTCCTCCCAAAATAACTAACACCATACCCAACAGACCCGCATAACAACCAAATACACGATCCTCCACGCCTCTCCCTCCCCCCACGCCCCCTCCACAACACACTCCACACCCAGCAAACCCCGTCTCCCCAAGCCATCCTCCTCACAACCCGCACCTCCGCGAGCAACCCTCACAATAACAACCTTTCACCCGCACTCAGGCGTAAATCTTAAATATACAACTAATAAAGCGGCGGAAGTAAGCCGTTTAATACAAATTATGGGACGACTTGGGAAATTGATGGCGGGGTTACCAGAAGAGAAGGAGGGATTGGGGGAAATTAGTATGGGCGAGGCACCAGTTGCGATTGAGGAGGAGAAGGGAGAGGAAAAGGAGAAGGAGGCTGGAAAGCAGGCGCAAGCGCAGACACAGACGGCGCAGACAGCGGGAAAGGGAAAGAAGAAGAAGGGGAAGAAATAAATGAATGGGTTGAGAAATTTGATTGGGAGGATCTGGTGGATGAATTCTGGTGTTGCTGGAATTATTTCAAAGGAGTGATTGCACACTGCCACGTCTCGGAAGATTCACAATCTATCTATCGCATCACATCACATCAGTTTTTACATGGCGAATCCTCGCTCTTTGCCCGAAGCAGGGTTAGAGGGAAAATACTTATGGATTCGGCTGTTCCAGCATGGCTTTCTATATATACCACTTTAGTATGCTGTAAAAATTTGCATGGTGAGGCTGGCGGAGGAGTTTTGGACATAGAGGAGATAGATACTTGGCTGGCTGATATGCTCATGTGTAATAAAGTAAATATATCATTCATCCAAGATATCCAAAATTTATCACGGACAGTCAAAAGAGTCAAGTCACAACATTTATCCACAACAAATAGACATATCAAATCTTATGTATATTGGAGACTTTATTCGTTACGCTAACTAGCAAATTTCATCGTTATCCTATCCTATCCATCCATTCAATCCTACCATGGTATACCTCAACCATGATTTCCCTTTCAGCCATCTATGTCCAAAAGACATGTGTACATCATATTCATTCCGCCCAGCCAATTTTTCTAACACCTCAACTCCTTCATGTTAAAATATTATTGTACAGATCACATACCCTCATCAAACATCTATGTGTGTAAGCCCCGTGAAAGAAGTGAAGAGCTGTACAGAGTAAACGCCAGTACCATCTTGAAATAAAAACAAAAAGAAAAGGAAAGATAACATCTAGAAGTCTTCGTCGAAGTTGAAGTCCCCTCCATTCTCTGCCTTGGCTTCGGTTTGAGCTTCGGTATCCTCATGTTTCTTTTGAGTACCGGCCATGACACCAGCCTTTTGATAATCTCCAACTCTCTTTTCGAAGAAGTTGGTCTTACCAGCCAAGGAGATATTCTCCATGAAGTCGAATGGGTTGGCAGATTTGTAGACTTTGTCGTTACCCAAAGTAACGAGAAGACGATCAGCGACGAACTCGATGTATTGCTTCATGAGAGTAGAGTTCATTCCCAAAAGCGCGCAAGGAAGAGCCTCGGTTAAGAATTCCTGTTCGATTTCAACGGCTTCGGTGATGACATCTTGGACGGCTTGTTTGGATGGGCGGTGCTTGAGATGAGAGAAAAGGAGGCATGCGAAATCGGTGTGGAGACCTTCATCACGGGAGATGAGCTCGTTGGAGAAGGTGAGTCCAGCCATGAGACCACGCTTCTTGAGCCAGAAGATGGATGCGAAAGATCCGGAGAAGAAGATACCTTCAACAGCGGCGAATGCAACGAGACGTTGAGCAAAGGTAGAGTTCTTGTCTTGAATCCATTTGACAGCCCAGTCTGCCTTCTTCTTAATGCAAGGGACTTCCAAAATTGTTAGATGATGTTCTGTATAGTGGTAGGATTATGACTTACTTGTGTCAATAGCGTTGAAAAGGTATGTCTTTTGTGCCTGCTCCTTGATATATGTGTCGATGAGAAGAGAGTATGTTTCGGAGTGGATATTTTCCATCATGATTTGGAAACCGTAGAAGCATCGTGCCTCTGGAATTTGAACTTCACCACTAAATCTCTCGACCAAGTTCTCGTTGACAATTCCATCGGATGCTGCGAAAAATGCGAGGACGTGGGAGATGAAGTAACGCTCGTCGTCATTGAGTCTGTTGTTCCAATCGTGAAGATCCTTCGACAAGTCAATCTCTTCTGCGGTCCAGAAAGAGGCCTCTGCCTTCTTGTACATCTGCCAGATCTATTCGCAAATATGTTAGCACTCTACGCGTCAACGCGTGAAATACGCGACCTACCTCATGGTACTTAATGGGGAAGAGAACGAATCGATTTGGGTTCTCTTGGAGAAGAGGCTCATCTGCTTCCTCTGGCTTGATTCCAGGTGCAACGGTAACAGCCTTTTCTTCCTTGACGATTGGTTTCTTGACTTCTTCGACAATCGGCGCGTCAACCTCGAATGCATTGTTTTCCTTTCCGGCAAGGTTGAGCTTTTTGACCGGCGATTCCATCTTCATATTTTGAATACCAGAAGCAGCCTATGAAAGATTCAAGTCAGTATGATGATATTGACGCGAAATTAAATTGAATGAGGGGTAGTAATGAAAGGAGGGGTGGCGCGTTCCAACCTACAGTCTTTGATGGGGTCATTTGAGAAGTCATTGTCATTGAATATGATGAGTATAAAGAAGGTTGATTGATTATTGGTATTCGGTATATGCAAGAAAGAAAAAAGTCGGGAAGTTGATCGTGTTTGTATGTTGTGTTGAGTTGAATGGAAAGTCTGTATGAGCAAGAGAAACCGCGTCTTTAAGAGCTTTTGGTGCTCGTCACGTGCAGAAAATTATTAACACGCTAATTTTCGCGTTCGCGTTGAAAAAAGGCTGGGAAATTTGAGATGGAAACACACTTTGACCAACGAACCACTTATTCCAACTCAATGAACCACTCAGCTCATGGAATCAGAGTTCCAATTGATGCCAAGCAAAGTTATCAGATCTTAATCCCAGAAGATCAATAGGAAACCACAGTAACGCGTGAAGTATTGACAAAAGTCTTGATAATAGGTGGAGTAAAATCAGTCATGATGATTCAGATGAGTGCATTTGGACGTGAGTAGGCTCCTATGGAACACGGTGCGGAGATTTAACACGTTTTTATTTTATTGAAGAGATTTTTCATTTTCATTATCTTACATTTATGGTATCTTATATCCTAAAACCCTCGCCTCGTATACGCAATGCATCTTCCTCGTTACTTACGAAAAGCAAGCGTCATCAATTACTGAAGCAAACAAAGAAAATCGTGCCAGCATTAAACATCAAACATTCCTAAAACCGCTCTTTGGCATTAAAATATGGAAAATCCTTAGAACTTTCTTCAACTTCGAAATGACAACGAAATTTGTTATCAACGTCTACCACTCTTCTGAACCTTCTTAGGGCGAACAGGTAGTGGAGGCTCTTGTGCGTGTGATCTATCGCCGCGACCTTGCTCGACATCAGCTTGTCTTGTCCGCTGTGATCTGTCGCTATGACGTTGTTGCTCAGGATCAGGCTGTCTCGTTCTTTGTGATCTATCACTACGACGACCTTGCTCAGGATCAGGTTGTCTGGTTCGCTCTGCTTTACCTCCATAACCGAACCAGCTATTACGATTACGTCCGCCTGGCTCCCGAGGACTAACAGGCTCTTCATTTGCTCCGGACGTGTACCGTGGAGGTTCTTCATCAGAGAGTTGCTCATCATACAGATCGAATTCATGGGGATCGGTAACATCAACGGCAGGTAAACCTTCACCTTTTGCCTTCAGTATCTTCGCGCCCTTATCGCGCAAATGTCTTTCGAGCTCGAGGGCATTTCTGGTATTAGCGCGGAATACTGCATCGACAAGGTCTCCTGCGAATGGTATAAGACCAACAGCAAAATCGAGCATGATATTGAACATCATCTTGGATTTGACACCGTTCGGGAGTCCGCCATCAACTTTATTGCATGTCCGAAGAACCATCATCGCCATGAATAAATCGATAAAGTCACCAATGCTGTATTATTTTAGTGAGGCAATGTGATGGGGGACGGGGAAGAGAACTTACGCAGGAACGAGACCGATCACACTACTCCATCCGAATCTAATTCCACAAAAATTGAAGAGACTCATATCTAGTCTATAAGCTCTGCGCTTGACTTTGGTGAGAATCTTTGCATCTTTTTCTGATATGCCAGCAGGTATCGCCTTTCTTCTCCTCTGGGTTTTCTTTTTCGAGGGAACACCGTCTAAGCGGGAGGCAGGCACAGTTTCGAAGTACAAGTCCTGCAAAATTGTCAGTGGACGATCTCTTGACGAGACAATTATTTGATTCAATATCATACCTCTGATCCGAATTTATTTGCAACAGATTCTCCCAACAACTTTTTGCTGATATACTTTGCTGCGAGCGAAGTCATGATCGTGAGGCTTCTTTGGGTAGGTGTAGTTTTGTATATTTGGAAATAATAGGTGTTTGAAAAGGATATTTTCCTCTTTAAGAAGTTATTGGAAACAGAGAGCCGTTACACCAACGTATTTCTGATAGTAACTTTTTTTTGGAGGTTTCGTTTGTTCTTCGTTTCGTTGGTGGTGATTGATCGATGAGTGGTTTCAGAAAGCGCTTGATATCACTATTTTTGGATTGTCCCAGCTTGACACATAAATATGAATGTCTTTGGATTTCAATGAACAATGAATGGAATTGAAAATAGAAAACCTATTTATGAGAAATACTAACCTTTAATCACTTACCCATAAAATCTTCCCCAGGAGCTTGAAACAAAGCTTGATTTTCACTTATCTTTTATGATGGGCAAGATTTTTTGTCCAAGATTCGACTGCGCCCCTGTATTGCTGTATCAAAAAAACGTCATCCGACACCTGGAACTTGCAGATCCGAGGGGAATCTAGAGGGTCCGACCGAGAATTGAAGAGAGAACGTTGTTCTTTCATGTTAGACAGTCATGTGATAATGTGGCTGAGGATATGTGGCGTTAAGTTTGAATCGACCGTGGCTTTCCGCTACCACCGCCGTACTCCGTAGTTCCAAAGGCAAGCTAGCTATTGACACTGCCTCATTTATCAACATCCAACTCACTTACACTCATACCTCCACAGTTCACGACCTTCAGTCAATCAATCATCCACACAATTTGTGATCACCCTGTTTACCTGTATAACATACGCAAGCTCTCCTACTAGATAGGCCACTTCTTTATTTTGCCACGAGGTCTTTATATCCCGAGGTCATTTTGATTTTAGGTTATTTTGGCCTAAGCGTTCCTGCGCGTCCCCCGCCCCGAAAAGAAACTCGAGTCGTGGATATGCTTGCGACGCGAATACAACATGTCAGAGAGAAAAATGCAGCTAGAAGACTGTAAGTATTTTGATGATGCCGTTATCGAGCGGACCCTTCTACCATGCTGCATCTTTTTTCCTTCGAGAACTCCATCGCACTGTTCAAGTGCAGCCTCACCATAATCAATATACATTCAAGTAGTTTAGCTAACCACATTGCAAATATTCAGGGCTGGACGACCTTTGCGTCCGATTCATAATAAATATTCCTGCGGCTGATCTATCACACGTTCCACGAATATGTTTTCAAGTTGAGGAAGCGCAATGGTACTACGAAGATTTTATTCGGCCCCTCGACCCAAGCCTACCATCGATGACCCTTCGTAACTTTTGTCTAAAGATATTTCTACATTGCCCTTTACTCTCAAACTTTTCAGAAAGTATACATATGCGAGCTTTTGAGGAGTTTCTTTTATACAAGACCCGAGTTCCAGTCAGAGGTGTGATATTGTTGAATGCGGACATGGATTCGGTTGTTCTTGTTAAAGGTTGGAAGAAGGGTGCAAATTGGAGTTTTCCGCGGGGGAAGATAAACAAAGATGAAGACGACCTTACATGCGCTATCCGAGAGGCATACGAGGAGACTGGTTATGACCTTGAAGGCTCAGGGCTTGTGGCTAAGGATCGAAGTCTTGTCAAGGGCATCGATGTTACTGGGCATGGTCAGCAGATCAGATTATATGTCTTCAGAAATGTTCCTATGGATACCCGCTTCGAAGCACAAACTCGGAAAGAGATCAGTAGGATAGAATGGTGGCGGTTATCTGATCTTCCAGCCTATAGGAAGAAAGGCCAGCAACAACATCAACCCGAGGCTGCTGCCAATGCCAACAAATTTTATATGGTAGCTCCTTTCCTACCTCCATTAAAGAAGTGGATTCTGGACCAGAAGAGAAAGGATGTGAAGATAGCAACAGATAATCAGCATTTTGAAGCTACAGGTAATATCAGCCACGATGAGGGTATCACTGAGGATGATCAAGCAATTGAGCCAAGCATAAACTATAATGCATCCGCCTCACACGATGCAGAACGAACTAGGCGAAATGCTGCTGACCTTGCTCTTTCTGTAATAATGCAAGTGCAGCCGCCGAATCAGGGATTGCAGCCCAGTGCCATCAATCCGACTCAATCACAAGCTTCGCACAGCTCGGGGCAGCAACTGCTTGCTCTTTTACATAGCAAACCTCCAGTGGACCAACCACATTCAACACAACCACCTCCCCAAACACCGCTAGATCATACCATCACACAACCACCTTTTCCCGAAACGCCTCATCATCAAGTACCTAACTCTTCACATATCTCGAATCAACCACCACCTACTTTTCCACTACAACAGCACCAAGGCCAACACCCAATGCAGACTTATCCTTACCAGCAGCCTGATTTCCAAGTCCGTCACGATCAAAGGTCTATTCCCAATATGCAATATCGTCATCAAGTACCGTTGCAAATGCCACACCAAATGCCACGACATATACCGCAACATATACCGCAACAAATACCGCAACAGATTCCACAACAGCGAGAACGTCATCCATATCAACCTCCTCTAATTCACCCCCAACCACTACCTCCCAACGCCCAGAAAGTATTGTTTACGGGAGGCCCAGTACATTCCACAATGGTTCCACAGCATGTTCAGCAACAACCTTCGCATTCCAATTTTACGACCTCCGGCTCAATGCATCCCCCTCAATTTCCTAATGTACATGCCACCATGGTTCCACCTCAACCAAAGGAACCACCTGCTGCACTCACTGGCCATTCATTGTTACTTCTTAACACTTTCAAGACTCGCGATCAAACAAATGGAAATGTCACTTCCAGTGGCATGTCTTCCCAAGTACCAGCTCAATCAGATGTAAGCCCTGCGATACGTGAAGCTCAAGAGCTTCCGGGAGAAAGTTCTCGGCCTATATCTGTTACCGCTCCTGCTAAGTCAAAGTACATACCAGCTCTCAATGCAGGTATTCCAAGTACCGGCAGTAACAATCAAACGGCTCGCCCACCTATCAGTGAGCATCAACGATCCATGTTACTGGGTATGTTCAAAAGCCCTGCAGCTCAAACTGCAACTTTAGCTGCAGCACCAGTCGCTGTGGCCTTGCCAACATCCAGATCACCTTCTGCGGTAGAGTTGAGCGCAGTAGATCTTGCTTCCCCACCTCCTATCCCACAGCAAGAGGGCACCAATGCAAATGCCGACGTCGGCAAAGCTAGCTACGGGAATCCAGAAATTAATCCAGAATCAAATCTTCCATTCCGGGCTACATCAATTCTCGCTCGCCCAGCGAATGGGCAGAAAGACACCAAGTCACATGGTAGTTTGTCGAAGAAGCCAATCACAGGACCAGAGATGCACAATAGTAGCAAGCCTACCTTTAAGACTTCGCCAGAGAAACTATTTCAGCCCCAGATTCTCAAAAGACCACAAGCGAATACAATTAAGGCTTCTCCGCTTCTTGCGCCTTCCACTATTGCTGCTTATTCCCCAAACCTTGCCCCCGCTAATGTTGCCGGTCCCTCGACGTCTCCGCTATCCTTTACTTCTCAGGCTCTTCAGTCAACCGAACAAAAGCATGCTCTTTTGTCACTGTTTGGAAAGTCACCCATAGCGGCGTCCAGTCCAGTGGCTAGAACACCATCGCATGATGGGCCTTCTTCTAATACTTTGATAGATGCAACGAGCAGTGTTGCATCCAGATCTAGAGTTGAAAGTTTGGCATCAGGAAATGGTGAGGGTTCGTCACGACGTGGGAGTCAGACGCCAATATCCTCAGCCGACAAGGGATTCTTATTGAACTACTTGGATGCTGTTGCTAGTAGGGGTTATTGAAGGAGGATATTGAAGGATGGGCCATTTTCTTTTGTTTTGCATGATTTTGGCATTTCAGTGGGAGTTTGGATTTGGTAACGTTCGGAGCATTCGTTCAGTGATATCCCAATACCCAGATTTGCCAAAGCTATGTAGTTGCTTGCCTTGTTAGTTTAAAAATGAAAAAATTCTCAAATTTTGGAGCTATAGATGTGAATTAATTGGACGAGCTCATCTCATCATCTAGCTTTGAAGTAGTAGTTACATTAAATGGATAGCGTACTAATATCGAAATCTTTCTGACAAAGTTGCCTGTCTTCTTACCATGAACTAAAGGTTCAATTACAGCCAATCATCAGCGAATATATAGCTCAATATTACGTCATCCGCATCCACGACAAGTGAAGCTTAATGGGATTTCCCAGTCCAAAGAAAAATATTGTCAAACACCCAACCACACCTTAACAAGTGACCCAAGCGACCTTACCAACAACAATTATGAAGTCTATATCGAAAATCCTCTCCAAGAGACCCGTATCAGTACCTGCAAGTGCATATATATGTAACAGCTGTTCAGGACGTCGTACAATCGAGGCACAGCCGAGGAATCGCAAATACTCCTCAACTTCAACCCCAGCCTCAACCCAAAATGCAACATCATCTTCAATAGAAACTCCCTTCAAGCTCCCTAAAAAGGGCATCGCGCGTCTCTCAACTCGTAGACTCATATCCCTCAGAGGCCCCGACTCGACAAAATATCTACAGGGCGTTATCACCAATGATATTTACAAAGAAGGGAATAAGAATGGGTTTTATTCCGCATTTTTAAATGCTCAGGGAAGAGTCTTAAATGATGTTTGGATTTATAGAGATATATATGCGGATTTGAAGGGAGACAAAACGACTGAGGGCGATAATTGGCTAATAGAAGTTGATGCGAAACAAGTGGAAGTTTTGGCCAAACATATTAAGAGGTATAGGATGCGGGCGAAATTCGATGTCGACATTGTAGATGAGGAGGAGAAGAAGATTTATAGTCTGTGGGGAACGAAAGTGGGAGTTAGGGTAATCGATGCGCAGGAACGGGATCGTGAAAAGGCGCAACAGGGGATTGTTACGTCCGATACGAGGGCTCCCGGGATGGGTAATAGGGTTATTGTGAATAAGGGTTGGCATATGCATATGGACATTCAGGATGCGGAAGTACAGATGCATGGGGAGAATGTGTATAGGGCGAGGAGATATTTGATTGGGGTGCCCGAGGGTCAGGATGAGATTCTGAGGGAGAGTGCCCTGCCGCAGGAAAGTAATATTGATGTTATGGGTGGAATTGATTATACGAAGGGCTGTTATGTAGGGCAGGAATTGACGATTAGGACGCATCATACGGGGGTTATCAGGAAGAGGATTGTGCCGATGATGTTGGTTCCGGATGGGGAGGATATGCCTGGGTTGGGAGAGTTGAAGTATAAGGGTGGTCATCTGGCGAGTTGGCTGAATGGCGGGGAAAATATTAAGAAGGTTGGTGGAAAGAGACCGGTGGGGAAATGGTTGAGTGGTGTGGGAAATTTGGGGTTGGGACTGGCGAGGTTGGATGAGATGGGTAAGTGGATGGTGGAAGAGAAGGAAGCGGGTGGTGTGGATGAGTTTGTGGCGGAGGGGAAGGGGGAGAAGGAGGGAGAGGTAAGGAATATCAGGGTTAGAGCTTTTCCTCCTGCTTGGATCGAGACATGATAGAATTCACCAATGGCTCTCAGTTTCCATTTTTGGGTTCGATACATCAGATTACATCAGGTACTGCACACCAATTGTGTAATGAAATGTATTAATAAGTATTACTTATAGCTTATAGCTTATAGTCTGAATCTAATTATCCCCACACGTATATGAAGCGTTTTCCCGAGCAACCAGCGCCATGCTAAATCCAAAAATTAAACGAGTACCAACCATAACCCTCCACCTTGTGTCTGAACGCCGTTGGATGTCTGAACTAAATAAAGTCTCTGGACTAGATTGGATAATTTGAAAAGTAATGTTAGGGCGTAGCACAAGGTACAGTATGCACCCCGTTAAATGCTGAGTTCGAATCTGCTTTGAAAGTAGTATCTGGGGCAGGACATTCGGACGATTTGCCTGCTTTCCTAGCCTTTTTATCCGCTTTTCGTTTTGCTTTTGCTGCTGTAGCTTCAGCAATTAGACGTTCAAGACGCGCTACCTTTTCGTCTTCTGAATTTAACGTGGCAGATGTTGAGGGCTGTGGACGAGCTTGCGATTGCGGTTGCGGTTGCGTCTGAGGTGGCGGCCGCGGCGCTGACATAGGTGAGCTAGCATTCTCCGACATCATACTCTCCCTCTTGACTCTCCTCTTCCTCCCCTCCTCCGCCAGCTTCTTAATATTTTCATCCATCTCCTCATCCTCTCTACTCCTCTTTCCTAAACTTCCTCCTCGTTCTCTCGCCTCCAAATCCTCTTTCATAGCTCTTCTCTTCCCTTCAAATAATGCCGCGGCCCTTTGCCTTTGCATCCGCCCATTGCGAAAATTATCATATTTTTGCTTGGATTCAGGGTCGGCGAGTACGTCATTTGCGGCTTGGAATTGCTCGTATTTGTCGGCGTCGAAGGCTGCACCTAGTTTGTCCGGATGGTATTGAAGGGCTGTTTTACGGTAGGCCCGTCGCAATTCGTCCGCTGTGAAGGATTCGGGGGTGAGGCCCAGAAGGGCATAAAAGTCGATTTCGGAGGTTATCCATTTTGTGAGGTCGTCGGAGGGCATCTTTGATGGTTGGTGTGCTGGAAAATTGTGGTTGTGGTTTTTGTGGTAGATTCGCGCGACAAACTTTTCTGGGGTTTGGTGATGGAGAGATGGCTAGAAATATTGTGTCATGGGAAAATAACCTTAAAATGCGATGGAAAGTTGTTGCGGCCTGATCTATAAGGCATAAAGTACCCCACTAGTAGTGGACCATTCTAGAGTACTTCGAAGGAAAGACAAACCGACATTTAACCGGCTTGGTCGATATTAAGTAAGAGTCATTCATGTTTTCACTATCATGAAATTGAGGATCTTTAAGAATTGAACTTCGTACTCTTGACGTCGACTAGGCTAGTCAATACTTATCAAATGCTTATTATTCTCATGGCTCCAAAGCACACGCACTTCTAAATTCTAATACTGTTCAAAAATCATCTCCAGTTTCTGAGCAATTTTCTTGCGGAAAAATCTCCCTAGTATGGCTACATCAAATGGTGAGGCCATTGCCAATGGTATGGCTGCTTTGGACTTATTAGATCCCGAGCCCAACTCAGAAAGATCAGTGACAGAACTACTTCAAAGGTCTAAAGATTTGATGTCCGAGCTCGAACAATTCAAGGCTGGATTGAGAGAGCGAAAGCAGGAGAAGATGGTTGAACTGAGGCACTTTTCGACGAACCTCCAGTCTGAAATCAAATCTTTGGCAAAACTCGCAAATCTAGATCCGGAGAACGAAAAAGTTGCTCATACAATCAGTTCTTCCAATTTTCCGTTCTATTCAGCTGTTTGGAATGCTGCAAAAGGTTGCAAGGGCATCACGGCTTTGAGGAAACGTTTCTTTTGGTGCACTGGTCAAAGCTTGCTCAAATCCAAGCGAGGTGATCTCTCAGCGCAGAAGAATATTAAAAGTGTGGAGGTCGATATCGTGGCCGGAGAAGATCTTGAGTGGGTCAAAGTAAGCACAATTACTGCTAAGAGGATGATATATGATTTAGCAAAGGCTGGATGGGCTGAAGATGACTCGACTGATGATGAGGACGACGATGCTGTAAGATTAGATACAGAAGATGAGCCGGAAGGTCTCTTGAAGCAAGCCAAGTTACTTGTAGAAGCCTCTAAGTTGGCTAGAACTAAATACCGGCATCCATCAATCCGCATGGTACTACCTAGGATCACGCGAAATTGTCCAAATCAGGTGGCCAATGTTTTGAAAGAAATTCGGGCATTAGGAATCACAGTGCAGATATATGAGGATATCCCTGCAAGCTTTGACATATCACAAGTTCTTCAACGTATGATAGCAGATCCTTTCGAGAATTTCTCCGAAACACTCAACGTTGATTGTACAATGATCTTCGCATTTATTAGTGAGTAAGTAGAGATATTGTATCCCATGATGGGTGCTCCCACTTCCAAAATAACAGTCAACCATTTCCTTTTTTGCTAATTACCAAATCTCCAGTCTGTCGCATGGCCGTGTTGAGCCAAAAGATTGGCATCATCAGTTTCTCATCAAACAGATGGAAATGGAAAGTCAAGACCAGCTCTTACCTAGTATTGTTTGGCCTGCGTGCGGGTCCAGGAAGCTCGTGTGCACCCGTGAAGCAGTTGCAAGAGCTCAAGAGATAATAGACACAATTGGAACAGACACCGAAAAGCAACGAATGGAACTGATATTTGGTTTCAATCATGAGTTTTTGACAAGAGATCAGCTGGTGGGGGAATTTCAGAAACTCTCAGAGTATAGCATTCCTCCGGGATGGCACTTGCCCATCGCGATAATGGATATGGATATATGCAATATCGTGTCCAAACTTCCTACCGTTGCCAACGACGTCTCAGATGTCCTAACTGGTGTTAATCAGTCCGTGTTTCTGTACGGATGGGCATCCGGGCTAACGACAATCAGCAGTAACCGTGTTGTTGCTAAAGAAATCGAGGCTACGATCGAAGATAATAGAGGTTCTATTGACGTCCAAGGGCCAGACATCTGGTTATCCCCAATGGCCCGATCTCTTGTAGGAAAAGAAAAACAACGACGGGGAGTTAAAGAATGATTTATCAAGTACTATCGATTCGAGTGTGTAGCTCGTACTCTGAAGTTAGACTTTAAATGTATTACATCTGACTCGTCAAAGTTAGCGCAAAGGGTAGATAAGCTTACATCAGCGAACAAGGTTATATCTTTTACAGTTTGCGTTGCAAATATTACTCCGTTATTGATCGTGCTCTGGCTTTTGAAAACACGATATAGGAATGATAATTAGCGTCATTTGTTCCCAAAGCTAGAGATGGCCAAATATCAAAGTCTGCACCGAACCCTCATCATCCTCACCGTTTTCGTCATGCTAAATGATTGGACCATTTCCGTCCGCTTTTATTTTGTCTTCAATCAGTTCATCACATTTAGGTTTGGTAGAGTTGGGAAGACTATAAGTAAGCTTCCGATAGTCTAGTAGGTACTCTAGCCTTGTGTGATGGAAATCGCACAGAAATAGAAAATTTTATTCCTCCCAAATTTTGCATTTCTCTCAACTGAAGAGATGTTTGTTACATCTATCTAAAATCTTACAAATAACGTGATCTTATATGTAATCATTCAGCCATATTTACTTCGAATATGCTGTTTGAGAATCAAGATGGGTCATAGAGCTGTTGGTGAGTAAGAGTGACTTATTTTTTCGTTGAGTTCGCGCTTGAGGTCATTTTTTATTGAATGAATGGAGTGTTACGGATGGTTTGAATGTTAGAGAATTTTCCATATATGATTATAATCGATTGAAAAAACTAGGAGACTTTCGTTGTTGAGCTGCAGACTGAATTTCTTGAGGAGGGGGGGAGAATATAGTTTTGTTGTATGTGTGAAAATTATTGTTGATAGATTAGATTGTTTGGTTTCGAGTATTGTTTTGCTGGGAGGGATTTTGGAGTAGACATTCCCATATAATTTAAAAATACTTGTGCCCCAAGGGGATTGACATCTTTCAGCTGGCGGATTTTGCAGGGGAAAGTCCGTATTTCTCAATATTTTGACAGAGCCAGGTGTTTTCTCCGTGAATTATATACTTATGTCAACATTCACAAACATGAGTGAGCGAACTTGTTACCATTACAGTCCGGAGTTGCAAATTTTACCCCCTCATTTGCGATTTTGATCTTTACGGAGTACCACTAGTAAATTACTAAATCCTTTCTATTCTAGTTTTACCTCTTCACTTCAAAGTCTCATGGAAACCAGCACCGGTCAATCCCATTCGCATCATGATATTTTTCTCAGCTTCCGGCGATGTTTATTGTTTGGTAAGCTGCAAATACAGCCTGAAGAAGAGTCTCCATAATTAGGAGGATCGTGTAGATAGCCGGTCTGCTGCAGCTGATAAGCTGGACTAGTTAGATTGACGAATGAGGTTGTTGACGAAACTACTCATGTGCTGAACATATACTAACTTCAGAATATTTTATTCCAAACGAATTATCGGCCTACTATTGTCACGTAAGTGGTATGAATGGAAATCTATTTGAGGATTATCTCTCAGAAGACGGGAGAGACAAATATTTCCTCAATGTGGCGCTGACTGAAAAGCCGAAGGTGTATGGCAAGTTCAAGTCACATATTCGTGCAATTCAGAAGGTAATGTTATTCAAAGAGTTCGAAGAGCTATTAAGGGACGAAATTCCATTCATAGTGTTTTTAATGGTCCAGTCTGTAACTTTCGAATTTGGTGACGATTTCCATTTAAGTGATTTAGAAAGGCATTGGGGTAGTTTTGAATATTTGATTGAGTTTGGATAGCAAAGTCTTGAGTAATGCACGCCTTTTAATTAACCTACTAGGTAAGTTCAATTAATGATCAAATCACCTTCAAAGATTCAGCCCTCGGAATCTGTAAATAAAACCGTAGTGCGTACTACACTCCCCTGTGACTTCCGTTTTTGATCCCTTTTCATTGATGCATAGCTAGTCAGGGAGATAGGAGGAAGTTAGACATTCTATTACATCTTTAAAATTTGGCATAGGTGGACTTGTGGGATGGGTATGATTTTCAGATTTCATAGTAGTAGTGTGTTATCGTCGTTCATTCAAGATGTGATTCAACAGCTGGGATAACTTACCATTCAAGAGAATGTCATCATAACCTTAATCAAGAATTTCGCTATTACAGTCTCGTCTCTTTAGCACGCTAATCTAAGCTTACTAGGGATTGAAAGGAGAGGCTTATAATTTGACCACTGGAGCTACGTTATGTGAAAGCAATGACCGAAAGCTGTTGCTAGCCCCGCTTTTGGTTTTGGTTGCATGTCTGAAATATCTGCATTCCTAACTAGCTTCGGTATCTGTCAATCTGTTGCATATCTGAGGAGATTCGTCACCTATAGCTTAGGTACTGCTAGACCCGGCACTCACAAGGGATATACAACGGATAGCCTAGGCGTAGTATCCTAGTATGGATGATGCTTTGACCGGTGCCTATTAGTTCATTCGTGTTCATGGAGCTAAATCGAAGTCAGTCACATGATGTCAGCAGTTAAGTTTGGCGATATAATCATTTTGGCTGCCCTGAGAGTCACAATATTCCAGTTTCAGGCAAATTTATATCACAATGTTAATTTGACAATCATAGACAATCAATCTTTCACTTTTACCGTGTTCTACCGAGTTTCACCCCTTCATTCTATTTGTTTTCACGTTTAACAGACTATTTGCTGATTCACTTGGTCACATTCGTTTGCATGTATGTTGTTCTGAAGGGTTCATTGGTTAAAGTTTTTATGTATTTTCTAGAAATATTAATCTAGCTAGAATATTGGGAATACTAAATTCCAAATATAACACATGTTCGAAATACATATCTCAATGAGCTAGACCTCATCACCAATCTCAAAAAAGAAAAACGCCTTTTTCAGATTTAATCTCGATTTCCTGTGGTAATAACACACACTGCTGTCTGATCACAGTCTTTCTACCGTCCACCCTTCTCATCCTTATGCTGGCCCTTAGGATAATGTCCAAACCCACTAGATTCCGATAATCTTTCTTCTCTTTCCTCCCTCTCCATCCCTCCTACCATCCTGGTCCTGACCTTGGCCTTCTTGACGGGCACGACCATGCTTCTTTCTAGGTGGATCAATGTCCATACTGCTATCTTCCTGGGCACTTTTCTCCTTTGCTTCAATGTTTCTGATGACCACAAGTCGGTAGAGATCCCTGACACCAGCCGCATATCCCGCTTCGTGCTGAGTACAATGTATTTTTCTGGGAACAACAATACTCGGAACAACTCTACTAGCCACGATGGCATAGACATCAAGTACCCTTTGTGCCACCACGGCCGCAGATCAAACGTCGTCATGATTTGCTTGCAGGTATTGCTTGGCAACGTCCGAGACCTTCTGGAACAACGGCCAAAATGTATACCTCTTAGCTTGGTGAAAGTCTGTATTGATATTAGAGGCTTGCTGAATTGGTAGAAGTACCAGAGGAAAAGCTAGCTGCTGGAGCCCAGGTGACGCCCCATTTAGCACCTGTCGGTTTTGGAAGAACAAGTCGACAAGTTCACTGCGCTCGGCAATCATGTGAAAAAACTCCCAGGTTTGAATAAGGAGTGGCGACAGTTGGATATTTTGAACCGTCATATCTCTCACAATATCCGCAACTAGATCCAGAATCAGACTATTACGGAGCAGTTCGTACAATCCGAATGTAAGTGGCCCACTTCTTGGTACGACAGCCAGGATAGTTGTAAGAGCTTCTAAGAGCGCTGAATACATGTTCTTTGGATTTTCAACTTCTGCGAGTGTTGGAGATACATAGCGAAACTGGACCATTGCCGTATCGACGGAGAGGAGAGCCTGCCAAACGATGCGAGAATCGGCAAAAATACACTCCGCAAGATGAGGAGCCTTGCCACAAGCCAGACATTGCCCCGAGTTGCATTTAACACATGTAGCAATTTTTAAATGTGTCTGAGTTGCTTTTGAATTTGGGGCAACTAGATGGGGTTGCTGTTGAGCTGGCATCCGCATATCCCGAATTTGGTATTGAGAGAGCCATCCGCACTTGTAGCACTTAATTGATGGACATAATACCGGTGCTAGTGCAATATTGTATTCTAACTGGCTCGCCTGGTTTTTGGGATGGGTTTGTTGCTCCACAACAGGCTGAGCAATCTTGCTTCGATGCGCTGCGTCATCACCATCAGCGTCTAGATCTCCCCATGCGTCTTCGAAGTCGTCTTCAAAATACTGTACAGTATATTAGTAGGTAAACTAAATGTGGAAGTATTGTGAACTTACGTCATTTGGAGTGGGATCCAAAGAAAAGTTAGTGGTAGCAATAGAAGATGCTTGTTTCCAGTCCAATTTCAAATCCCGGAGCCTAGTGGGAAGGGTGTTGGCTAGGTCTAGAACAGACGACCGAGAAGTGTTGACTTGCGGCAAAGCAGTTGATCGGACTGAAGTATTTTTTGGGAATTTGGATGACTTCAAGTTCATAGTGAACTGTGTGCCCTCAAATGTAAAGGGACGGAAATATGGCATCTTAGAGGATGATCCGTAGATATTCTTAATTGATGGATTTGATGTGTTGTGGGTTACGTTGATTGAATACAGAAGTTTTATGGGCAGTAGAATCTCGGAACTCGTTGACGATTTCAGATGTTGTCTCTCGAAAGCTATGTGTGTGGAAAGGAGAGAATCAGAATTTTTGAACGGGGGGATGTGCTCATATATATCTAGCCAGTCAGAATTGCGGTATTCGCTACTCAGATACTGCAAAGCCGTAGTACCCGTACGGAATAGTTACACACTAAGAATAGCGCATCAGATACAGCCAAAATTTGATGTACGGTAGCTTCCTTGCTTATTAATCTTCTTGTTTTGATGATTGGCGTAATTTAGTTGTTTGATTTTTAAATACGGCAGTGGTTTCGCTTACCCATGTATTCTCGTCAAGCTGATTGGCCACGATTATACGGCCAACTTTTGAAGTACGGTGGCGAGTATCATACCTACGGTCGGGTTGGATACAGCCAAGTTGTGAGATGTATCTGTTCGGTTACTGATACTTCCTATTATACTGCTTAGCGTGAAGTATATACGGCCAAGTTCGTAAGTACAGCGGCTGTCTTGCGTATCTAAATTCATTAGCACACCGATTAGCGTGAATTAGACACAAACGTAAGCTGTGTACGTCCCAGTTTTGGATTGAGGATATCATTTTGCTCATTGATCTCTCGTGTCTATGTTAATTGCTTGAATTAGACACATTAAGTCTTTGAAATGGCACAATATCTTGCTGCAATAGTGAAGAGGAAGAAAGTTCCAGTAACCATAAATCTAGCCGTCGGTATTGGCTGGGTGTGGGTAAAGTGAAGCTTCAAAATATACTCTGTCATATTCGTATTGATTGCGTAGAGAACTAGAACTATGGAGATGGAGAGCTATATAGTAAGTGATCCATTGTGCCGAAGCACTAGTGTCAACACTAGTGGTTCATGTGATCAATATCCCGACAAACAGCATTCAATAGCATGATGTATGCTGTATAAGAGTATAGTGATCGCTTTTCTCGAGGAATTAGGGAATTCAAGCCCATATAGCGGAAATGCCACCACTAGTCCGACTAATACTAGATATGACTATTTATGGGCAGTTGGCGCATTTTGGTGAACTCCTAGCTTTTGTTGATATGCGCTATACTATAGGTCCATGAACTTTGCTGATACATATTGCATGATGCCTTTGCCAAAAAAAAAAAGGTATTCGCTTAAAGTGGGTGCTTTTGATTAACCGAAGGAAAGGGGCAAAACGTTCATACATAACCTAGAACAATTGCTGAAATGATTATGGACATTTATTTTGCGAATTAATTCTATGAAGGCATCGAGTTGAGTCTCGTAGCAAACTTATCTACTGAGTTCAGAGTATTAAGCAAGTAAAGGCCGAGATTAGTCTACAGATATGGTACAGCTCTCGTTCCGGGAATCTTTTTATTTTGCTATGAAATTGCCACCATTATCAGTTTTGTTGGGATTAGTCATACCACTCATAATCTTTTGAGCTACAAATAAGAACCAGGATCCGCAGGGCTTTGCTTTTGGTTCCTAAGTGATTGAGCTGTGCAGGGGGTGGAGCTGCACAACTACTCACCTAATCATCGGTGAAAGGATAATCACTCAAAAACTCCAAGTCCATTGAATAGTTGGAAGCGAATATCACGAGTTGGAAAGTCAATCAGGTTCATTTTTGATTTAGAAATAATTGGAAACTTTATTTGGCATTGAGACGAACGATTCAAAACCCGTCATATGTTTTAGGATATTACTAAAGTGATGGCTCAGTGCCCCTGCATTTCTCTAAGCTAGCTAAGTCGGCGAGCACGCAACGGATTTCTTCTAAGGGGATATGCTACGGCGAGCTTTCTAATTATTAATTGCACCCAGTAGCTCCTCATCAAAATTCCCAACATCATCCTTGTAAGCCTGCCTTTACATCTGAGCCCCTTTATTGAGTATATCTGCCACCACATCCTTGCATCCACCGGCCAGACCTCCTTCAGTCTCGGAGCAATCTCTCCTCTTCATCTAACTCTGGGAATGACAGGAACTATACCACCACGCCGCCAGTCTCTGGGCTCTCTTATTGACGTCCAAACTCCCGAACTACCTCACAACCTCACTCTACCCTAACCTATGATGCTTCGACGATACAATTGACGGCATGAGTTGTCCTTGAACTAAACACAAGGATGGGGGAGTAAACTAACAGGGGGAACATCAGTTCTGGTAGTTGCTAGTGGATTAATGGGTGAGCGTGTGTCAAACATTTGATAATAGAATGGGGGTGCCTCTAGTGCTTTGATCTTATATCACAGCTCTTTATTTTTATAGATTCTTTTCTTCTTAGTCAGCCCAGAACAGGCTGAATGTCTTTAATTTCCTCGTATATGCTTTTCATTATCCTCTATAACAGATTTTTCTTCAAGAATTACTACACCATAGAAAAACTAGCTTCAATATCGAATGTACATTCCACATTTCTTATCTCCTTTCATTAAGCTATTTTAAATTAAAATCTATTATAGGTATTTGAATTATTGAATGAAAGGAGATAAAATTGAAGGGCTTATAGAAAATAGTGAAAGACTACTATATTCAGTTTTACTACTTTGAACTTTACATATATAAATATATCAAAACATCAATGATCAAAATCCTACTCACATGTAAAAACACTCATGAATTTCAATTTTCAAACATGCATGAATTCAAGTCAGTCATCATCATTCAAGTCAGTCATCATCATTCATTGGCTCAAAACAACCTCAAAACTTCTAGCTACTGTACAGAAATACAATGAGTTCGAAGCGAGAAAGTTTGGCAACACCTACATAAACTTTGAAATTCTTATGTTCAAAAGAATCTCCTTTTTTAAAACACCATACTTTGACCTTCTCTGATCACATTTTTTTTAGGTCTTGTCTATAGCTTACAATAGTTATTCAAAATGAACGCAAATACACCACCAATCTTCAACTACAAGGCTCCTGAAGACAAAGGAGATGGAAAATATCTCATTGAGCCAAACTTTCCATCTACTGGTCCTCTTAATAAGCACTTGGCAATTGCAAGGAACTCTGAGATTCCCAAGTAAGTCCCTGGCACTACCTAAATCTCCTATATACCTCTTTCCCAGCTTCCATCAGCGCCACTCTCCCCGACGACAATGCTAACTCTTAATCCTTTAGACTCCTTACGATCAACGGGGCACTAACAGAGGTCGAGAATGCATCAATACTGTATCACCACCTAAAAACAAATGAGATAGTGTATCTAGGTACAGAAAGAAACAATAGAACAACAGCGGGCTACCTAGATCCGAAATCCTACCACCAAAAGAGTCCCAAAGCCTACACAGCAGCCATAAGGGCACAGAAGATGGCTTTACAGCGTGATGACAGGAAACCTAGCGAAAGCAAGCTTGAGATGATCCTCGGAGGGGGAAGAAGAGCCAATCCTAGGTGCTATACGCTTGGGTTTACCGTCAATCCACAAGCGTTAGCGACCGGTTCGGGCCCTGTGAACAAGGCCATGCTGGAAAACCAAGCCTATGTGATTGAGTTCTTGGGATCGATAACAGAAGCTCTTATTGGGCCTGTGGAGGCTGTTGTTTCAGCAGAAGAGCTAGAGCTTGTTGCTAGGCAGAGGGAAATCGACGTCCCTTTCACATTCGGGTCAGCTGCCAACTACTTGTTTGGTGAGATATGACCTCTACCCCTAATGAAAGCTTTACTGACCTCAAACTAACTTTCTATTAGCATTGTTGCAGCTCAGCTACTCTGACCTTGACCAGGTATCTCTACAAAACTCACTTGGTAACGTAGGCGGGCTCCATGCTGACGCGAACGATAGCCCTAACCATTGGACCTCGCTCTTGTGCCTCTCAAATATGCCATCTAACTACTTTGGAGGCCGCACAGCAATCACATCTATCAGAACATACACTGAGTTTCCACCCAAGGGAAAAGGAGTCCTTGTTTTCAGAGCCGTGCACCCCCATTTGAGCATTGGACCCGCAGAAATGGAAGAGCATTCAACTAGAAAGCCTTCGCACTTCGAAATGCCAGAGGGTGATGAGGAACTCGATCCAGCGAGGTATATCCATTCTCGCTGTATGGCAGTTGGTTATCCGAAAGAGCGCATAATGAAGAAATCCCCCGAAATCCAACGGAATCTTACCCCTCTTCTTTATAACCAGAGGCCAGATACCAAGACTAACACTCCAGAGAAACTTCCTGAAGCTCTTTTGGCATTCGGTACCAAAGAGAACCAAGGTACCTGGTATGCCATGGCAGAAGCGAAGAATCAGGCCCGAAACTTCCAAAACAATTCGCTATTTTTACCTTCGACGGCAGCTGAAATAGCTCACAACCACCGGTATTATTCGGAAGATGGCTCAATAGCTACCCCTAATATCAGTAGGATTCAAAACACATTGCTTGGTAATTCAGCGGCTGCTAAAGACTCTATGCATTACAAGAACTGGAAAGCTTCGGATAAGTTCAACAGGGAGTTGTTGTCTCAAGGTTTCTTTCGCGTGGCAAGGAAATGCGGAGGTGCTTCATGGACCAGCAAAGAAGGTCCGATTGAACTGGTAGAGGAATCTGAGATTGGATCTACAATCCGGAGACTTGAGCTTGAGGTAAATGTCTATAACATTCTTCTTTCTTTATTAACTAATAACTCATCCTTACCTTTTACTAACGCAAATGCGCTTCTAGTTGGCTGCCAAGACCACAGAAAATTCAAAGCAAGGAACCTCCACCCAGACGCAAAGAGAGTTCGAAGCAGCCGCCAGGGAGGAATTCGGCAAGCGCCCATTCAAATGCGGCCATTGCTCTTCACGATTCCCTGCTATGAAGAATTGCGAAAGACATCATGTTAAAAAGCATGCCAAGGATTATGAATGGGAGGCTGTGGAGCTAAGTTTAGATCCAAAGTCCATTCCTATGTCGGGGTCTACAATCGAAAATGAAGACATGGATAAGGAAGAGAAAGGGGAGGAAGAGAGAGAGGAAGAAGAGGATAATATAGATGATCATATGGATGAAGACGTAGGTAATTCTGAGGAAGAGAATGAAGATAGTGACGAGGAGTCAGTTCATAGAGGCTAAAAGTGAAAGCACCTAGGATAAAATAGAGTTTATTTAAACGGTCAATTTACTTACTATTTATCATCAATTCCAAACTAATAAATATCCCAACTTCAAAATAAGCTTTATATCCCAGAAATTTACAACAACTCATAAACATCTAAATTGAAAAAATTATAATAAACGATAAATAATTCGAAATTGGCTCATAATTATAGAAAAGAGATACACCTACCCACATACACATCCACAGCCATACTCACAATCCTCACTCACAGCTACAACATCAGGCCAAACATTTGTTCTTTTTAAAATAAAAAATACATTTTCTACTTTCCTTTCCTATTTTCCTATTCATTTACAAAACCCAGAACACTCTCACCGAGTAGCCCCGACATAACGAGAGTGTCCATTCCTATTCTAAGTTATACTTAATTCATAATTACAAAGCTCACTCCTACTTCCCCGTCCCCAGCCCCGACCCCTGTCCTCATCCCTCATTTTCACATACCTCCTCAAACATCTTTCGTCTTCCAAACGAATCCCTCCTTTCTTCCTTATAATCCATGTACCCACCACCTCCCTAAACATCAATTCGTAAAATAATACGCACAGACGTTACCTCCCCAAATCATGCATTCCCTCGACGATAACCAATATATTCATTTTACTTCTTATTTGATCGAAAAAAAGAGCAAATAACTTATCGATGAAACAAAAGAGCTGAAAACTAAGAACAAAACCAAAAGCAAAGACAAGAACAAAAGAACTAAAAGCAACGAAAAGAAAATATCACACTCCAAGCAATGTAGGTATTAAATCACTCCACCTCCCGAACGAATCATGATCTCATCACAGCCGCGGATTGCCTTCCGAAAAGGGATTGGATTTTAAGACACTCTTTTCTCTCATCTAAGAAGATCATTGGGGAAGCAGATGTCGTGATTATAATGGTACAGCGTACCGCCGAGGAGTAAAGACCCCGTTATATGGTCGTTCAAGGTTCCGTTTCTTGTTGCTCGCGTTTCTTGGTGCTTTCTAACCAGCGTCGCTTTCCAGAACGAGTATCGAAATGAGGAATAGCAGTGACATCTCTCCCAGCATTTCCAATGTTTTCTTTAACCTTGTTGCGCCATGCATCCACTGTATCATATGATTAGTAACGATCCACGGCAGTGCTTGGCAATTTAAAGAACTAGAAAATCACTCACGAGCTTTTTGTAAGAAAACGGACTTGTCCGCAAATGTTCTGCTTTGATGCCAGGTCATTCTATATCCCAAGTCATTTAGCTTGACCTCCAACGCTCTTTGAGACTTGCGCATTCTTGGTATAGGGATTTCGCCCTCATCACCGTTTGGCAATTGAACAGCAACCATTTTTCTGCCACGTCGGGATCGACCTCGACCTCCATCAACTTCATCATCGCTATCATCATCCTGGAAGAATTGACTGCCGTTAGCCGATGGAGGGGGCGATTGCATTTGCAATGGAAACCAAGAACGTTGATAGACCGAGTTACTCTTTCGGAATGAATCCGGAATCTCATTGATGTCAACCGTATCCAAGGTAACTCGGACACGAATACGACTTTGCTTTATCGGATCCTCAACCAAGATGAACTTGCGCTTTTTTGCTTCGGGAACATTGCCAAAAACGTCAACACCATCTTCTTCCTCTCTTGATTGTGCAGCGATTGGGTGGGCCGAGCGAGGCAATGGGCGTCCGTCGTGATTACCCGGAACCATGGAAGCTCCACCTACTGACGAACTTGAAGGGTAGTTGCTGGAAAAGCCGGGGAAAGCTTGACCTTGTCGCACATCATCTCCAGAGTTGGCTGATTGCCCAATCGGAGCTTGATGGTGATGGTGAGTGTTCTCATCCATATATTCTTCGTCACCTACAAATGGGTTTATTGATTAGCCTCTCAGGTTTATCCGGGAAGCAAAACAATAACAATACAAAGCAAGCAAGCAATGGGGAGCAATACAATAATACAAAGACATAACGCGGGGTAATGGGTAGGTATCGCAGAAGGCAGGAAGCAAAGTGCAATGTTGTATTATACATGAAAGTGCTTTTGTGACTAGTCACTTTAATGGCCCAAAATTTCCCCCAATCAACAGGTATATTCGCAAGAATGGTATCATAACAAAATAATAATAATCGCACATCACATCTGGTGAAACATACCGACTTCTTCTCCTCCTTGATTGCTTCCATCCGGGTGAGCGTGGTGGTGATGAAGTTGAGGACCACCCATGCCGCCAAGGTTAGGTTTGCCCATGCTTCCCGCGCCGCCAGGGCCCATGTTCGCAGAAGGTGGCATCCCTGTCGGACTAGGACCGGTCATATGAGGATTGTGGGAGGTAGCTGCTTGAACCGCTTTACGATTGTTAATTTTCGCCATTCTTCGAACTCTTCGACTTCTCAATCGTGGATCTTGATTACTGTTTCTCCAACTATCGACCGCTCTTTGTATTAATCCACGTTTGCCACGTAGGCAAGGGTTCAATTCTGCCAAGGCCCACCCGACAGTGTTGCACTCAGTTTCGTAAACCAATCGATTTCCCCTGTATTGATCCTTGCTGCAGCACGCCCTCGGGTAAACACAATTCTCCGTTTTAAATTCCGGGGTCAGGGTCTCAACGTTCACAGACTCAACATCACATCTGATGGTATACTCCATCTTGACACGATCGCGGGAATATTCAAATGCAATCCATTGAACTCCATTGTTGTCTTGTCGCACAACGAGGGGGGTGGTTGCTGGAATTGGACCCGGCGCAGCGTTTGGATTAACCCCGCTACCCCCGTTTCCAGGCACATTGTTAGATTGCATTTGAGGTGTACCACTTGCAGAATGCTGAGCTCCTAATGGTGGATTTGGTCGTGCAATTTGTGGTACGTGTGGCTCCATCTTCGTTCTTGGGCTACCGGTCATACCTGGTTGTTGGTGTTGATTAGGATGTTGCTGCATCGGGTGTTGATTTGTCTGATGCGACATGAGCAGTGTTGGCTGTGAGGTCATGGACTGCTGATGATGATGTTGCTGCTGTTGCGGAGGTGGCTGCTGTTGCGCATATGGAGAAGGCCCTCCTTGGGCCATAGGAGGAGGATATTGCTGCTGCGGTGGCCCTGGATAATACATCTGCGGGTTTTGCTGCAATTGTGATGATGGCGCGTACATCCTGTTCTCATGTGCAGGCGATGCAACAGAGGCGGGGGAGTTGGATTGAGGAGTTTGGTAAATCGGAGGATACGGCGCTCGCGCCATATGTTGAGTAGCCGCCATAATGTCTGGTGTTTCTGGACCTATGCGATAGTCAGTATTTAGTCTGTTGTGTGACAAAAAACGCGCTTTTTTGACGCGTCTACGTACCTGCGGATGAATATGTACCAGATGCGCTTGGTGTACTGTAAGGACTTGGGTGAGTTGGGTAATATGGAAGTTCTTGATGTTGACCACCAGGTCCTGTAGCAGTTTGTGGATATTGAGGTATCGCGTGCCCTGAAGGATACGCGTTGGAATGTTGTGGTTGGGGAGGAGCTTGCTGATGATGCTGATGCACGATGCTCGAAGGTCGCGGTTGTTGTTGTAGATGGTGCGGAGGTGGAGGGGGACCTTGCGGCGTGTGGTGGGGATGATGCTGCATTGATGCCATTTGTTAGTGATTGTTCCTTCAACTTTGTGATATATGTAACGTTAAAAGTGTAGAGACCATTGAGAAAAGTAAGTCGCGTCGCGATGTATAACTTCGAGACTTGAAGTGTATGAAAGTGGTGGTCGATCCTTGATGACGAGGGTCAAGTGCAGCAGCGCGGTACCTGGAATGAGATCTTCTGACAGGACAGGCGGCGTGCAATAATAGTGGTAGAAAAACCAGCAAGAAATCTTTAGATGCGGGACTGGGACAAGGGAATAGACGAGGGTGTACCTCTGTATAACAGATGCCTTGCTTCTATTACGAAATTTTTCAGATGAGTGGACAAGGACCACAAGCGATGAAGGCAATGTCCGAGGATCCAGTTTTTAAGTAGTGGATCTGACGAGGGTGAAAAGCTTATGAGATGAGGGAGAACAAAGGACTTTGAAGGAACCGGAGAATAACAACAGAATGGGGTAGGTAGAAGATTGATCTGAGCGAGGATAAACGTACGAGGGTATGTAACTTTTGATGAGATAAATGACTGTAACGAGGAAAACCGGAAATAGACAGGGCGATTTGAGTGGTCTGGATGGGGGAAGATTAAGCTTGAAGAACAAGGGCTTTGAATGGATTGATTGATAATGATTGTATGGGATATCCAAAAGAAATGTGGAAGAGGGCAAGGGGAACAGAAATGTAAGTTATTCAGTGGAACCAAGGACAACGCATGGTATAAACGTGACAAGGGTTATATCGCATGAAAATATAAAAAATGTGCGCGGACGTTGCAAGGTATTGAGACCGGATGGGGTATGAAAGAAGAGCTAGGGGCAAGGGGTGGGGGTGAATGATGTTTACAGTTATAACTTTTTTTTTAAATGGCACAGGGAAAGGAAAAAAACAGATAAAAATGGTCCGGGCCGGGTTCGGATTTCGTTTGGCCCTGAAAAGACAGCGGTGTGTATGAGTGGAGGCAACTAGTCTACTCAAAGAGAAATTTTGGGCTGGGCTTATGAATTGAAAGTGGGGCTAGCCACATGAACTTTTGCGCAGTTTGGATGGAGTAATAAAGTACACTGTACGGAAATGAAATAAACAATAAATCCTCTAAACTTTTGACTAGACCTCTTTAGGAGAGTGAGGCGAGTGGTGCAGGAACTCTGTATGTACATTATGTATCTTGTGTATAATTTATTTGAGGTAAATTAATGAAATATTAATCTTAAGACTACCCAATAATAGTAAATGATACGACTCGCGATTAAAACGCTAAAAGCCAAACGCTAAAAGGGACTTGCCCTTTTTTAGTGTCGTGTATCAGAATATTACTAGAAGGTTTAAGATGAAATAAGAGGAGGAAGCATAAAACTACTCCATCAGTTGTTGATGAGGCGTTGTAACCTTGGCAATCCGCTATACCAAAAGTCTCCTTAGACTTACTGCAGCCTAGGACGATATACCCTGCTCATGCTATGAAAATCCTCTGCGCATTTGTTTTTGTATCGCTCAAACTTGAACCAATACGAAGCGAGCGACGCAAACGATGGATTACCACAACCAATCAACCACACAACCATCTTTAGAATTGACTTCAGAGGCTGATGAAATGATTGTAATGGTGAAAATCGAAAATTATCAGGTGCCGCTTGTACACTCCAATCTTTTGATCGACATGGGCTTTTAGCTGCATGCTTGCGCAACATTACAATTTTCATTTTAAACAAAACATCCAATCAGAAATGATAACATCATTGGTTCCACCCACCCAAAAAAAACCCCAAAATAATCGGTCAGAGATTAAAGTCACCTTGTCTTTGATGATCTTAACCGTCAAGCGAATGGCTGAAAGGCCGTGCAGAAAATGTGTGCAGACCCAACCACCAACTAAATGTTTTTCGCCTTCTTCGCGTGGGACTGGGTAGCTGAAAATGAAATCCCTTGTTTATTGTGAAACGAGCCTACGAATCCACGATTGCTCGAGTCCAGCTCAATTTTATGTTCTGGAAAATTATGGAAGCCATACTCCCTTGCTTGCTTGTTGTGTGCAAGGAGGCTTGTCCTTGTAATCTTATCCAAAGAAGTGCACCTTGCGACTTCTGGAAGATCTCAAGACTCGAGAGGAAGAAATAAGGCAAAGGCATAAATATTAACTTGAATATGATCGATTATCGGATTTGCAGCCTGATGGCAAAGGTCAAAGTAAATTGTGTACTTACGTGTTCGTTATTCACAACATTAACACCTGGCTCTTCCTTATATTGACGATGCGACATCTTAGCCGGTGGTTGCTATCTCAGTCAGCAATGGGTTATATCAAGCCACATAAAACACCAGCCACATGTAAACAACCGTTGGAAAATAAAACTAGAAAATAGTCGTTCATGTAAAACAAGGAATATCATGTATTATGCCATGCGAATGCCATGCAACATCTGTGCTTTGTGCAAGATTACGAAGGAGTAAAAAGGGTCGAACTTACAGTTGACGGGTAACGGATGATTTGGTTCGAAGTGTCGAAGAAGGTTGACGTGTGCGACAGGATAGGACGTGAAACGAGTCCAGTGTGTGGTGTAGATCTCTATTTGTGCTGGATTCCGAATTAGCTTTTACTCTCTATTTCATCTTGTCTCAAGCTAATTCAACGCGATTGTCGGAACAGAAAGTACCCAAAAGTGCAGGGCTGTGCAAAAGAAAGAAATGTCGTCAAGTTCGCCCCATTGTCAAATCCCCGAGTAGATCCAGTTAAGAACCATACAAGGTACAAAGGCGGAGAGGGACGATAAAAACATTTTCTTGGAACTGGGTTGGAATGGAATCAATTGACTTTCTGTTCCTGAGGAGCGACAGTCCTCGGAAGAGGCGAAGCTAGCGAGCATCAGGCAATCAGATAGAGGCCCAAAATATCTTCAGCAGCTGAGAAGCCTCTTCTGTAATACGAAATGGGCCGGACCGGCACCACTGGCCATCCCAAAAAAATTGTTGGTGTGGATAGGGATTTAGACGCAACAGGGTTTGGCGGCGCAACTTAGACATTTTCCGCGCAGGGGGGTACGCTCCCTCGGTACGCGAAGGTAACTCCTCCATACTCTAGTCACTGGACCATGCATGCTCTTCACAGGATAGACGATTTTGCTGTCAAAAACAAATAAAACTATGTTTGGAACTTACAATCCTTAAAAACTGCGACAGTAAGATGGTTCAAGTCGGTGTCAGAGGGAAAAGATCTGATCTCGCGTTAGTCATACTCAGTAGAGTACTGAAAGCACCGAGTCTGTGAATAAAAAGGATTACATGCATAAAGCGTAGAGTACCGGATGACCCAAAGATCGGATAATGACGCAACAATATGAGTGAGGCTGATAGCGGAAGAACAAGGCACAGCGATGACCGTGGTAAGAAGACCAGGTCCAAGAGCGAGTGGATGGACAGATATATTATACAAACATGGGTAGATCGATTGGTAAATAGGAGACAGCAAAAACCAACAGAAACATGGAAAGGTTGCATTCCATACAAGGGCGATAAAGCTGGTCATCTGCAACAAGCCTTGCAAGCGGATGACCCTTCGCCTAATAGTGTGGTGGTGGAGAGAGGCAAGGATTGGGAAGACCTCGCAGCAATGGTTCAATCGCAAAATGTCGAGATTGGTGGAGAAGAACAATAGGATCCAAAATCTAGAACACTTACCAGTGAGATGTCTTATCAAAATACGTGTGTAGGTCCGGCTAATGCGTAAAAGCTGGAAGTAAAGTTATAGAAGCGGATGGTTTTACTGTAAGGATTTGAGTTAGAAAGCTATTCCATGCAAAATACCCTGGAAGCAGGCCCCTGCCACTCCACCGATAAGTGCGTCGATGGATTTTCTTATCAAAAACTGTTCCTTCAAAATATGAAATATTGAATATTGAGTTGTGGCGGTAAGAACGTCTCTTGAAACAAATCTGGAAAACAACTCGACCGTGTGTGCAGCCGTACTTGGAATAGATGGCTTGATTGAAAAAGTGAACGAAGGGTTCACTTACTGAATTGATTAAGGATGTAGGTAGATATGCGATGCGCCGTGAGAATATATCCGGCGATGAGCTTTTCCCAATTATTATTTTTGGTTTTTTTTTTTCGATCTCCGATTTCCGATTCTCGATGTTTCCGAATTTATTTTGAGAGTCCCAATGAAATCAAAGCTCTAACCGAACTTGCAGACGCAGACCGAAAGTTCCCAGATGAATGGTTACAGTTTATGCTCGTCGAGTATCTCGGGGATGGATGGCTGCTGCTGGAGATCGTGGGCGGGTATGTAGTAGTTGACTGGGATATTTTAATCTTTGGGAATATTTGCAGATCGAGTCTGGGTAACACAGAACGTTAGCATGGTAAGAAGTTTGCATGCAGCTGAAAGAAATGGCACCGACGATGGCAAAAGAGCAGTGGGAAGAGATTTCTGTCGAAGGGTTTGTCGAGATGAAATCCTGATAAATTGCGGTCAAGAAAATTGACATCTGCGCTATGATTCAAAACGGCGCGTCTTCTCTTTTGTACGAGATTCCACGTTGATGAGTTGTACAGTTGGCGACTCTTTTGTAACCTGAGCACTTGTACCAGGATGAAATATCGCGAGGTCGAGGTGGGTTGTATACAAAAGTTGCCGGCAGGAAATCGCTAAACTGTATGTGCCCGCGACGCGCTTCTTACCAAATGTGGCGGCGTTGGACAAATTCACTTGAAAGAAATTCCAGAGACTCGGTAGGAAAATAGAAAAAAATAATTGGATCTCACCTCTCAATATGAATACTGCTGTATGTTTTTTGGATCTCGAGCGTCCAAATTCGTGTATGAATTTATACTATTGTTTATGTATATCTTTGCCAAGGTAAGAGTGCGACCAAATCACTCTTGTTGGCCTGAGATTGAGTTAGAATGTTTGTAAGACAGTTGTATAAATGGGTATCAGATTGGGAAGGGGAACTCACGTTTTAGGGAAGGAACGAGTTCAAGAATATAGATTTACTAGATTTATACCCAGTAGATATTCAAAGTACTTGCAATGCTATTAGTTAAACCATATATATAGGGAAAGGTGTCTTCAAACGAAAAGAGATGTTACTCACGATTTAGATTTCCTTTGACAGATAAATTCCAGAGCATTGAACTCGCAACAAAGCAAATTCTCAATATCAGTTCTTGTTCCGAATAGCTTCACTTTTTTCCCATTGAAAAAAGGCGGTGATCAATAATTTTAATTTTCTGCCAACGGTCCTCTGCGGAAGCAAGGATTGCAATTACACCCGTTTGTTCTTCAGATCCTTGTCGTCGATTGCAGAAAAAAGCTTGATTCACACAGCTAGGTTGTTGTAGGCTTGTAGCCGTCAACAAATGACGAGTGCAGTGCAGGGCTTCTCTTTTAGAAACTGGGATGATTGAAATGTTCGTCCAGATGTCTGGAAACTTTGGGGATTTAAAGTTATGAGGCCAGCAAGGTCAAGGGCTCAAAGTAAAGAGGGCTGAAATTGAGGGGAAAGTAGGGATGAATTGGGACGATTAGATGAAGAGGAAAAAGCCTTAGAAGTTGTGTGTAGCTTCAACCTTGAATGGAAATGGAGATGGAAGGTGTCAGGATCATGGGTAATTAAGTCTTGGTGAAGAGTGGATGGCAAGGGAAAGAAGTAGTAGATGTGTCCCAGTCCTAGCCCCAGGAAGAGTCATCAATAGGTACTCGAGTATCTGGATTCTGGACTACTATCTGGACTACTAAACTAAAACAGAAAGCACGAGAGAAGTGGACAGGCTACGGCATCAACGAGCAAGTCATAGATTTGCAACTTACTCATACTTGTTCTTATTCTTTCCAATTAGCGTTACTACCACCACTACCAACAAGCGAATTTAACCTATTCTGTTAAAGGGCTCGAAAGTAGCCGGCACGAATCGTTGGAATTGGGTGCACACCCATCGATCAAACCAAAATTGAGGCCCTACCAATTCCTCTTGAGAAAATGGTGTAATCCAATCAACAGTTGATATTGGCGAAGATCTATTATTACTATCGCAAGAATTGAACTTTCAATAAAGTTTTATTACACAGGACCGTACGGAGTACTATGCAAAATAAGTATACAAATGCAAGATTGAAACCACTCTCCAAAGCTAAACCTTTTCTAGTATCAAACCCAATATTTCGATCACTCCGCCCCTCAGAAGTTTGGACCTTTCTTGAATTAATAATACCGGTGATAAGATAAATAAGGCATGAACGGTTCCAGTATGAACTGCATATAGTACTCCAATTTACAAAAAAGCCACAATCAAAACCGACTCCGAAACAAATGTGTTTGATTGCCCAAGCGGCTCGACTCTTCCAATCCAAAAGGACGCGCAACTTTGCATCGGAGGTACTTCCTATTCAGTCGCTCAAGGACGATCGACAACAGTAGGATTTTGAAAATGCTAATAGCTGTGGGTAGGTCGTACGAGATGGCATAAAAATGCTGGAATTGCCATCCTTGGCGTACAGTGGTGGCATTTCGTCCGTTGGGTCCGAAATAAGTTTTATCATGTTGATGTTGTATGAATTGCGTATAATGGGTTCAGTCAGACTTCAAAGCACATGATAAACAATTCGTTGCAGATGGATAATACATGTCCTGAGAAAAGGATTTTGGCGATGAAGAGGGAGAAGTTCTTTATTTTATCCGTTTTTACCCTCGATCTACTCTACACTAAAAAAATTTGCCCTTCTCTAGAGCTTTACCAAATTATTACCTAGACTAGAAAAAGGCTAATGAATACTTAGTGGAAGCTCTAATTTCTAAGCCGTTAGTTTTTTCAATGCCAATGACTCCGGAGGCCGGTAAATGCATCGAGTCCATGGCTTATTCAGCCATTTGCAGAATTAGAGAAGAAATGAGTTAAGAAAAACCAGTTGTACAAAATGACGGTGAAGCTATTACGGTCGGTAATCGCACGACGCCTAGTTCTCCCTCGCTCAATGAAATGCCGAAAGTTAAGATATGATGAAGGGGGAAGTGCAATTTCATCACAGCTTTCGGTCTTTCCGTCCGCCAATGACAGTGGTTGTTGAGTCCGCTATCTTTACGAACTCGCATTTCCACCCACTACAAAATCTCATTTACTTTCCTTCTTGGGACTTCTTTTTCAAGTGCGTGTGGACATGCCTTCCAGCTTCCGGTTCAGCTGCATGACCAATCAATACCCCAGTGATAACCGTTTTACCCGGGAGCGTAAAACAAGTCCTTCTACTCCGTACCTCCATCAGCAGGTATTTCGAGGCTTGAAACTAGAAAATTTGAACGCTCGTTCAAGATGGATTTGGAATTCACGACATAATTGACAGATGTTGAGGCTCATACCAAGTGACGTTGGAAAGATGGATCTTGATAGCCATTAAGTTTATTTTAACCCATGGTAGATTTCCAGGCTGAAGAGCCCAGTACCGGCATCGTGAACCATTCGTGGGGTGCCTGCGTTGGGGTTGTAGACCCTCAAGGTCTTTGAAGAGCCTTGCACGTTGTCTCTTGCCCTGCTGCCTCGGAGAATTAGACCGCTGTAAAAATGAAACTGCCCTCGAGGATGTCATCTCGCACCAACATGACATGTCAGAGCGGGAGGGAGGGGGGCCACGGTACACTTCTCGAATCTTGGGGAATGGCGATCTTGGTTCTTGCAATCTTTACACACCCACAAAATGAATACACCACTACAGTCTAGCTGTCCTATCGGACGTAAAGTGAACATTATCGCCGCAACTGCGCTGATATCATCTCAATGATCATCCATTCAAAATGAACTTTTGGGACTCAGGTCCGATGCAATCCTGCCACCGAGGGTTTTTTTCTTTTCCATGTGCCCCTGTGGCACGTAATCACACAAAGTAACGTTTGGACTCATTAACCACAGACCCAATAGCAGTAAAGAAATCTTTCAAAATTTCAAAAAAGTCGCGCATCGCCCGAAACCTCACGGCAAAAGTTCCTACTATGTGGAGAAAAACATCCCGTCATTTCTTCAACGCCAATTCTCATTGCATATCCTTACATGAGATTAATTGACGATTTGGTTTGTGCGCTTGCATGGGCAATTTATCACCAGGATCGAGAAAAGTTGCTGGGCTGTTGCTGGAGGACGCCACAGCACCCTGAAAAGACTTTCCTTTGAATCCATCCCCTGTTAGGCGTGTTTAAGACAGAAACAAACCGTTGCACACTTTCATTTTTACCAGCCCCTGTTTGACAGCTTCTAATTCCTTGTCGACATTAATGCTTGCTTGCACTTAGATTAGTGCCCAGTGCCCACATGGGAAAATGTCAATATCAACCTCATGGCAAATATGCATGGGATGATGGGACACACTTTGTACCTTACAGCGAACTAAAATCATGTGAGTTTGCATCGAATTTGGAGTCACGATAATGATGAATGGCGAACGTTGGACAATCGGACTCTCCAAAGTACAAGTAACCTACTACCTGGGCCACGGGAATCACATTCTGTATCTAGCCGTTCAAACGAAAAGTAGGGTCACCACCAGACCCGAGTAAGTCAGGAAAAGTTCTAAGGTTTCTGGCAAGTCCCGTGGCGAACAGACTCTATGTTACCTCAATGCATTACTCGACATATTATTTGTTATTTGCCAGATAACACTATTCTCTTATTTCTTACGTAGTACTTCCCAAGTCTTCAATCTCTGATAAAGAAAGACCGAGATGAGCAATACGATGGATTATCAAATGAAATAAGCCTTTGTAAAGTTATAGCCAGATGGGAAATGCCGTATCATCATATCATCACTCTATTATTACTTTTAGCGATAGAACATCAGGTTAGAATGCATCCGAACACGAGCTATTTTCGGTGATTGAAAAGGACTAATAGATTTGGTGAAGATCAAACAGTTTCTATTTCAGATTGCGGGATCATGGTCGACCCAAACTCCACAAGAACACAAGAGCAAATAGATTGTGATGAGCGACAGATAGGGATATGTCGCGAAACCAAAATGATTCTGACGACGTTTTGAAAAAGCCTAAAAGTAAAGCGTCTCGAGATGGCTGGAACTAATTTCAACGTCCGCATGATTCGCGGAATGAAATCCTCACCTACTGTTATGTAGCTTATCCAAGATTGAAGGTATCGTCAATGGCTTACTCCCATCCTGCTTTTCCGCATTTTTACGTACGGTAGCAAGCACTTATGGCTTTTTGAGATATTTCCGATACTGAATCCTAGACATTCGGTTGAGGGGAAGCTGATCCGAATGTAACTCCCAAGCATTACGGAAGACTTACGAGAGCCCTTAATGCATACCTTAATCTCACCCGCCTCATCTAAATCACCAGTCAAAGATACAAAAATGCAAAAACCTCATTTCTCATCAGTGCTCCAATGAACTGGCACGGCTGGAATGAAAGACTCCACCATTTCCCTATCTACTCCGTACAGTGATAATCAAAATCTACTTCCAGGCAACAGACGGGGCTCAATCTTGAGTTTACTCCCTGAATTTCCACCCCCACATACATGTTCCCACATACCAAGTTCTAGACCTTCCTTTTTACGATATGCTTTGTCTACAACAGCTCACCTACAGAGTCACAAGGCGGCAGTTACGCTTGATCTGGTAAACAAATGATTTTATTAATCTAATTCTCATGCTTCATGCATAAAAGAAATCCACACGGGACATGATCAAGAAACGATTAAAACGATCGAATAATTGTTACCGTTCTGGTGATAGTTCTCCACAAAATAAATCCTCACGACCATTCAAAGTTTCAAAGCGATGCTTTTCCTTCTGATGAAAGGAAAAAGAAAATACACTGCCACGTCGAGAGTTGCTCCGAGACATCCGGATAATCCAGCTCATGATCTCAAAATATGCGAGTGAAAATCTCCTACTGGCTCTACTAAAGCAAACTCAAAAGGCAGCAATGTAAACTCACATGATCTTACACCTCCCATACGCCGACGGCCAGGTTCCGCGCACCAATGAAACACAAGTACAGCCTTATATGTCGTTCCTGATATACCCTCCTTGACGAGCAAGTCCCGATCTCAGCACACATGCAATGAAACGCCTGGAACGAATGAGCATCTCCCAATAGCATCTTTGATGTAAAATGGATGATGCTGATATATACGTATTACGATATCAGAATGATCAAAGGTAGCACCATCTTGGCTGCAGCTTATCGCGTTTCTGTACAAGTACAGTCAGCAGTAGTACTCGACATGAATACCACCACACGATGTATCGCCGAATCGCCACACACCATCGGCTTATCACCAACCATCTCGCAGTTGCTCAAATCTAAAAGGGATTACGCCACGTGCTGTGCCTCTTCTCAGCATGAGATATTTTCCCCTTCTGTTTTTCTCAGCTTGCGGTCCCCGGGCCTTGGGAAATAATCCATTGGCAAAATTGGGAGTAGTGCGCAGCGCAATGAAATCCTACTCTCTCTCTTCTTCTCTTTTTGCTTCCCTTTCTCCTGCAGCATGCATGTGCTGACACGGAAGGATTCGTGACCCGCAGGACCGAGCAAGCCACAATATAAAATTTGATAGAAACATTACTCACTCTGGAAAATCGGAAATCAATATCATTTTAGAAAAATAATAACAGTTTTAGGAAAAAGACGGAGGTTTTCGCAACCGAAAAGAACGAGCGGATGAACTACTGGCTGGGGAATGATACCGGTAGCTTTGATTAGCTTAGCTCGGGGGAAAAAAAAGAAATCAAACAGAAACAGAAGCAGAAAACAGCATCCCGTTTACCGCGTTTGGAAAACTGGCTAATGCTGCTGCGAGTTTGGGCTGCAGTGGTCCTCTCACTTGCATCAAATCTCTCCAAGACGACTTCCGAATTGTTGGTAATCAGCATTGCATCGCTTCGACTCGCATCGCATCATCAAACGAAACGAGGAGAAGGTTTGGTAGGTATCTACAAATCATTCATATCGCACTTCATCCCCTTCGCATCTTTCACCGCTTTGGGTACTATACATACAATACAACGAATGTTAAGAATTATCTCCTTCGTAAACGGTGCCAATAATCACTCACGCATATTAATTAAATAAACAAATCAATCAATCGTGCCAATACCTCATACATACATAGAATAATAAATAAGATAGTTATCATAATGAGAAAAATAATCGGTGAAGCATTTATTCACACTGCCTGCACAGTGATGAAAGAAGAATACAATCCAAACTAGGCATGCAGCACGAATGTCGTGTTATCTAGGTTTACTAATAGCTTATCCAAATGCACGCATAAGAAAATAAGGAAATCCTAAAAATAATACCTTGGTATCTCGTTCCTTGGATCCATCATCCATCCCTTGGTTACGGATGTACATACCGGCTATGGTTATCGGGGTAGCTGTGCTATGGTATGGTATGGTATCATATCGTAGGTATCTAGGTATATCTTGCTCCTACTCCTACTCCTTCCTGCTCTCCTGCTCCTCAAGCCAAAAGCTAGAAACGAGAAACGAGAAACGAGAAGATCAGATGGAGCACACGAATCACGGATCATGAAATACATTTGAATTCTATGCATATATATATACATGTAGCGAAAAAATGCAAAAGCAGTGAAAAAATGCAATGCAAGGAAATGCAATGTAGTGATATATAGAACCATACCTAGGTAGGTACTGAAAAATACACACACAGAAAATAAGCAAATTCCAGTACTAGTAGCAAGATAGATATGCTGTGAAGTTACAGCACATGTTATTATTTATCGAGACGGGATGGGATGCAGGAAGCCGTTTGGATGGGTGAGTAAATCGGCGACTGGGCTATTGGATGTTTGAATTTTTGGTTTTTTCTTTTAGAGTAATGTTTTTTTTTTTTTTCATGGGGATAGAGTGACTGTACCAGTTTTGTCTTGCAGTCTCTCTTTTCTCTTTTCTGGATGGGCTTTACCCTTTGCTTGGGTCGCTCGCTCCGCTGGGAGAATTTTACCTTGGTGACGAGCTGATGGGTGAGAGAGAGACAGACAGGCATGCTTTATATGGTGCGGATTCTCGGGTTCGTTGTGATCACGTGGTTTTTGTTTATGTTGGGATGGGATTTACGGGTCGCGGAGATCGTGATGATTTGGGTGCTTTTTGTATTGCTTGTTCTGTCGTGAATATTACTTAATATTCACTTACTTATACATCAGATTTACTATACATCATTGTCTACCTACATTACGCGTATAGATTTAACCATGATATTGATGCTCTCTCTAATCGCGCAAACAGACTAAATATCACGACATTGGCCAAAATAGGAAGGTTTCCGTGTCACATCATCTTTTTTATCCAAAGATATACGATGAATTAACCTCTATTACGCTTCAATGGATGTAAAAGTCGGTGTTTTGCTCCTTTTTGAATGTTGAGGTTCTTGATATCATGATATGTGGTTGGTTCCCAATCTCAAGTGAGGGGAAACTGGGTATTTTAGCCATGAAATTCTATGGATATTATGTGCAGATTTTGGTTTTTGGAAGTAGATCTTATTTGGAATATGATTTTGTTGAATTTTCACAATGCCATGTCTCTCGAGTCTGTGATGAATTTGTTTTAAAGTCTTGAGATCTACGTGAATGATTTGCTGGAAGTTATTTGTGGTAATTGCAATAAGTACTTGCGATTAAATCTATATTATCAATTGCAAATGGCAACCACAATTGATGATGAGAAGCAAGTAACGTCTTCTCCAGCGAGATCAACAAATGAAGTTGTAGATGATGCATCACCAGCTGTTTCAACGCACTTAGATGATAACTATGCTTTGTACGAAAATGCTAGGGATATCGAGGTTGATCCTCAAGAAGCAAAGAGGGTGCTTAGGAAGATTGATATACGGCTTATGCCTATTCTCTTCGTTACATATATGTTGCAATATCTAGATAAGAATTCTATCAACTTCTCAAGTGTATATGGATTGCAGAAAGGAACGCATTTAGTTGGACAACAGTATTCCTGGCTAAGGTAAGATTATCACCTGCATTGTTTTTACATTTCATACTTTTCACAGAGTATATTAAACTAATGATCTAAATAGCTCAATCTTCTACTTCGGCTATCTATTCTTTCAATTTCCATCAGGCTACTTTCTCCAGCGTCTACCTATCGGGAAATTCCTCTCCCTAACCACCATCTCCTGGGGAGTAATCCTCATCACAACCCCAGCATGCGTCTCCTTCGGCGGAATAGCAACCAACCGCTTCCTGCTCGGTGCCGTCGAAGCTACCGTAAACCCCGGCTTCGTCCTCCTAATGTCCATGTGGTACACCTCCGCCGAACAACCCCTCCGCCTCGAAACCTACTACTGCACCAACGGCATCGCAACCATGTTCGGCGGACTCATCGGCTACGCCATCGGTCACATTACCACCGGCCTCCCAAAATGGATGTACGTCTTCCTAATCTTCGGCGCCCTCTCCATCTTCTGGGGAATCATCTCCCTCCTCATCCTCCCAGACCTCCCCTCCACCGCCAAATTCCTCACACCGCACGAACGACTCATCGCCATCAACCGCGTAGCGTCCAATCGTCAAGGCGTAAAAAACCATTACTTCCAACCCTACCAAGCCTGGCAAACTCTCCAGGATCCCAAAACATGGATCCTATTCGTCATGGCTGTCGGTGCACAGATTCCCAATTCCGCTCTTACTTCCTTCACATCTATTATTGTTAAAACATTCGGTTTCGATACCCTCGGTACACAATACCTGCAAATTCCCGGAGGAGCAGTACAATTCCTCGCTTTGATAGCGGGAGGTTATATATGTACTAAATTCCCGCGTAATTCTCGCTGCATCACGATGATTGTTGCTAATACGATATGTATTCTCGGATCAGGATTATTGGTTGGTCTTCCAAGTAGTAATAAGTGGGGACGCTTAGTAGCGTTGTGGTTGTGCTATTTTCAGGGTTTGGGTTTTAGTATGAGTCTTACGATGGTGACTAGTAATATTGCGGGATACACGAAGAAACAGTTGACGGCGGCGGTGCTTTTCACGGGGTATTGTGTCGGGAATATTATTGGACCGCAGACTTTTATTGCGGCGGAAGCTCGTGAGTTTTTTTTTTACTCTTTTAGGTTCACTGCTTCTTGCTGTTTCTTTTGTCATTTTTGTTGGTATTTGTTGACCGAGGAACTAACTCCAATTAAGCGCGTTATCATTCCGCTTATATAGCAATGCTAGTGGGATACTCGGTTAAATTGGCAATGGTCGTCGTATTATATATTTATATGTATACAAGTAATAAGAAAAGAGATGCAGAGCAAGCGGTTAGAGGAGAAGTGAGTGAAGAAGAAGCGAGAGAGGCGGTGGAGAAGGGAATGATGGATATGACGGAGATAGATAATAAGGGGTTTAGATATATTTTGTAGGTATGAGGTTATGAGGTATAAATTTAAATAATGTATGTTTGAATGTGTGAATTCATGAGTGAACGTGCTGGTGGCTCGAGTATTTTTGATAGGGGTATTTGGTTGTATAAAGGTGACTATCGTATAGAAGGGCAGAATATATGCGCAAGTCCCTCGTAATTTCCTCATGTGCATATCCGGCATTATAGTTATCAATTGTGGACAGTCACTACTTTATTGGCTAGTGATACTGCTGGAATGTCTTCTGCTCCTGGAATTTTGTATGTCAGATAACCAAAGCCATTATAGCACAGCTACGAGCTCTGATGTTACGGAGTTCAGTTGATAAATTGAATAAATCTACCTTTTTTCTCAACAAATTAACCTCAAGACATGAATCAGGCCAAGAGTGTCTTCACACATTGCCCAGCTCTTGCGGCTCCGTGGGAGCGGTGGCAACTCTCTCCTCTGTATCTGTACTACTACTAATACGTCTTAAAATCCCATTGCGAAATTGCCAGTGACTGTCAAAATTCCACCGAGATAGCGCATCAGGGTGATTTGCTAAATATTCATGCAAATACCCATCGATGATTTCAGACTCTGACCGTTCTTCCTTGCTATGAAACCATCCTAATACAACATACATCCCACCAGAGAGATATAATCCTATGAAGTAGAATATGAACACATTTCTGGCATCAGTAGATGATTCTGTCGAATCTAACTTACGAATCCAAAACTTTCCTAGATAAATTCCTAGCGCGATAAGAAGCAAACAAAGCGAGCCCGAGAGTAACATCTGAGGAGCCGAAAGTGTAATGACGGATAGGGGACTCGGAATAAAACATTGTCTTTCAAAATCCTTCTTAAACTCACGAACATCCGAAATCCTCGGGGTGTACTCATCCGGTTCGCAAGGATCAAGTTCGAGTCCAATTTCGATGGAAAAGATTCGATTGATTGCCTGTTTTCTTCCTCGAATCCAGTTGCGAACATCCTTTGCTTTGATCAATCGACCAAGAATTCTTTGCTGCGCCACAGAATAGTACACCGCAACCAAGGCAAAAGTTAAACTCATGACAAAACTAGACTTTGCTATCCAATGCGTCTGGTTCAGTGATTCCAACGACAAGCCCGTAATAGCTATTTGAGCAACGATTGCAGCCTTTTCTTTTATCAGCACGTATCAGATATAGACTTGATGATAAAAGAAGCTCACAGCTACGGCAATCATAGTGCATTCATCACATGCCATCTTTTTGAATGCTAAAGCATCTTCATCCTGTAATTGGCCGATGATTCGCGCTTGCAAAAGCCAGATTGTGCGGTTTCCATATATCTGGAGTGATATAGATCCAATTCCGTACCATTTCCATTGTTGAGCGGTAGGCAGAAGCCTGCGTATTGTCCCAAATGGAAACATGGTATGTGTCTAGAGATTGAAGAAGAGGTAGAGCTCGTGAGTGGTAAATTCTACACTTTCTCTAAAAAGATGATAACCTTTAAAGCTGATGAAGATCTAGAAAGGGCGTCGATGTCTTATGGAGATATATAGATGTGGGGTTGAATCTTACGCAATGTTGCACAACATAATGAGCACAGCCATGTACGTACTAGATGAGTTCAAAAATATAATGATTCTAGGCATCTAATCTAGTAGATTTAAGGCGCATAAATGTAGATCAGAATTAGAGGAATATATGCGAGCAAGAAATTTCACAATGGACTCTCAACACATATATTTGAACATTATAACTACTTCTTTGGACGAAATTTGAGTTCAACGCATACTACCCCCGTCATATCTTTCTATCAGTGAAATCCTCAAATTTTAGAACGCAGAGTTGCGTCATATGCTGATCTCGCTGCCGACCCCTTTATTCATGTCCCGCTTTGATCCGAACTTTTCACCTCAAGAACTTTGGATGTTATTCTCCCCTTGGTCAGGTAAAGTTGGATAAAAATCGGAACGATACTGCAAAATTAATATGTATGCATATTTTTTGAGTTTGGTTAGAATTATGCCATCAGATTAAAGGTAATGAAGGTACGGTCGCTACGGCACTTCACAATGTTTCCACTAGCGAGATGTCGCTCATTAGGATTACTCATGATGTTTCTTGGAGCTATAGCCGTGACTGCGACAGGTTGGATACGGTTCTGTTATTTAAGTGATAACAATATCAAAACGAGGTACATACATATTCTGCTGATAAATGATTGAGTACGGAACCAAAATGAAGAAGACTAGTCTTTACCGAGACGGCCATTTGAGCACGGCACTACCGTAAGGCAATAATAGTGCCAGAAAGAAGGGATACGGCCTCCTTAAAGCTTGTTATATGAGGACCGTACAACCATACGTATGGTCGCCGTATCGAAATGACATAGAAAAGCTCTGATAAGCTTAATTATCGAGAATGATACGGCCATGGAAGGTTAAGGGCCCAAAAACACCGCATGTCAACCTGGGAGTATATATATACTGCTCATCCTCCCACTAAAACTTACATTCTCTCAACACATGAGTTCTGCATCTACAAATACTACAACATCACATCACCAACTACCAAAGAAAACCATTGACATCTTCATCGCCATGAGCTCTTCATCTGCAGAAGATGCCACGAGCGTCGCCCAATCAAATTATTCACCTGTTCATGCCTCAGGGTTGACATTTACCTTGAGATACCATCTTAAGAACCCACGCAATCTTGAAAACCCAGGGAAGGCACTTGCTCCTCCAAGCTTCTCTTCAGAAAATGATTCCGTTGTTTCTAATACTGATACTAGTGGTGGAGCTATAAGTTATTCTGCGCAGGCTTCGCAACGCAGCTTTGAAGCAGATATCACAGGCCAGAATAGTGATGGTGAAAAATCAGCTCCCGCCACGGAGGATGATTATGATGGGGATGAGAGCATGAATGATGACTCTGAGTCCATGATTATTGGTGCTCAACGCGAACATACTCTAGGGGACACCTTCATAGAATGTCGTAACTGTGGAGATATTTTTGACTACTCACGATATGCCCTGTGGATACCTGGCTACCAGCGAAATTTACGGCGATCTCTTCGAATGCCATATGAAGACACACATCCTCAGATAGTTAGATGTCCAGGATGCGACGCTGAGAACTGCATGGCCTGTGAGAAACGTCCTCATGAACATTCCTGTTTCTATGAGCATGCTCATGTCGTATGGCATGCTTTGTGCTCCGTCGACGATGCCATTGTTCAACATCGGAAGGTGTCTCCATACGAAAAAGACGACAAGAACCTTGATGCCGCGGTTGTAAAAGCCCTAAACATCCTCCTCGAACAGATACCGAAAGATTCTAAAGTCTCTCTCGACTATTCTGACCTCATCCGAAAGACTCTGTTGCTAGATCAGGTAGCATTCACAATTGGAAATATGACTGCCGAAAATCGGTTCGACACTATTTGCCTACAATCTTGGTCATTCATCCACATGCTATCTGAGCGCAAGAATCTCTTCGGATTGTTGATGGAAGACCGCCTTCAGCTCTCGAGAGACTTATCTCCCGGTGTCAGAATCTTGGGATTCCCAGTTGCCTTCTTCCCTGTTGAATTGACTTTCGACGCTGACCGATATGCCCCCCTGACCTACAATATATGGTCCCTCATTCGCCATAACTACAAGTCTGCACATGAGTATCTGTCTGGGGATACTGAACTAAATGATAAATGGCCGGCTGTGCAATTAGCACGAAATATTGTTCAACTCCATGATGATTTGAAGAAGCAACCACAGCCATCTGAGCTCACCCTTTTTATGCAAGCTCAGCAATTACAATCTTTTTCGGCACGTCTTGAAGAGATGCATCGAGTTAGTGGCACAAAATACGGAGCTGTAAAGGAGAACATCAGAGCTGTACGATCTCCATGGCTGGTCAAGAAGCGGGGTCAGGATGATGAGAATGATGATGAGAATACTGGAGGCAAGAGAAGAAAGACTACTAATCAGGGAAAAAATTTAGGAAATGGAAATGACTGGACCGCAAGCAAAAGTGGGGGATGGTGGAAGATTGCCTAGTTGGAGAGAGATTGATTTGATGTAGGATCAGGACCTGAATGTTTGGAAAAAGGTTGAAAACTGAGAAATTGGTGTGATAACTTCAAAGAATGGCGGGGGATATAAGATTTTTTGCAAGAGAATAGAGAATAGATAAGTTGGAAAGGAATATTGCAAAGAAGACATCGGATTGGAATTTGGGATTATTTTTATGAAGGAAATTTCAAAGATAAGGGACCTTACTGTTTGGCTGGTGTCTAGGATTCATAGAAGAACTATATCATGCTAGATAGCTAAATAAAAGTCTTATTAACATGAAAACTCTTCCCAAAATCCAAGGAAGTGTGGATAAATATTCTCTCGAATATCAAACTGTAGTCCGATATCGTCGACGACTCTAAATTTTTGACACTAGCAAATTCACTATCACACCTTGACTGCATCTTCTTTTACTGATAACTAGGATTTTGAAAAAGCTCAAAGTAATATATCCTATCTAAGACACTTCAGGATTATATGGTAAGGTAACAAATCTTATTCATCTAAATAGGTACGAAACAACATGTCCGCAGCATGAAAAACAATCTACAATGAAAACTCACACAATCTGACTAGTGAATATTTCATATTTCAAGAATAAAAATCGCTTGAGACGATTATGGCCCTCAGTTCTCAACTAGAGGTGATACTGTGATAGACCTCACAATAATCTTCCTATGCTTGAGATTTCAGAAATTGGACATCGGAAACTGGTTCGGAAGATTTAGTTTGAGATTCTGGAAATTCTACTTGGATATTCCAGTTTATATATATTCCAATATTGGATACGTAGAGTCACTTCATCTCCTATGGCTTTTCTTGGGAATAGGATGAGAGCTGGGGCTGAATAAAGCTTTGAAGATCAATGAAAGTGAATTAATTGTTGGGCAGCATGAGGTGCTTTTAGGGGTAACTGTACAATGGGCTTTAATTAACACAATTAATGATTATCTGAATCAAGAAACATGGAAACATCAATGTACTACCATGAATGTGCTATTAATAATTCGGTAATTCTACACGTCTATCATGTATGAGATGCATTTGGTACCCTAAATGATGATAGTAATGACCATATACATTTCTTCAGCAGAAGAACTTGCAACAGCTTAGCAAGATGGGTTGTGACACAACAGTAGAAAAAATCCTCAGTAACCTACCAAAGCACAAATGATGTCGGAGTATCTACATTGACTGTGAATCAGATGTCAGGATCTGAAGCTAGTCTTGACGAAAGTATATGCCCTGATTCCTGAGTGATTCCACACACCTAAAAATACATATCTTAGACTCCGATAACTTTCGATAATGCAAACTAAAAGACATAACATATACGGGGTTTTATTGCCATTGAAATACATCAACTACCGCGTTGAATAGTGATAGTGATAGAGGGGATCTTCAAAATAAGTGGGACTTCAACACTTGAAAACTACATGGTACAACAAATGATGTTAAGCTTGCCAAAGCCACGATCTTCATTACTCTTATCCTCGTAGAGCCTATATCCAACTGATGTCGACCAATATAACGCTATTTTTACTTGAGATTGGATTTCTCACGCTTCCGCCTCGCTTTCCTCGTGGTCTGTATTCTAGAACTCACAGTAATCAGATCGAAAATGCAGAAGGCAAGTGAGGACAGAAGTGGAAACTTCAATCAACAAAAACATCAACCTGTATGATACAGACGCCATACAAGCGATCCATCTACATTCGGAGTTGGATTCTCATAAGCATCTGCTAAAGAGTCCGGGAAATCGCGTACCTATGGCGCTGGGAGAGATTGTGGTGGTTTGATTGGTATGTTCCCAACTATTAAAACTAATGCTGCATCAAATAGATCTTTTCCAACTAGGTCTGAGTTCGGTATACGTAAAGAAGAAAGGTATTTGAACCGTATTGCGCTTTTATGTGGGCTGTGAATGGAAACTTGGTAGAGCATAGGTAGTTCTGAACTTTTCGAGAGTAGGTTATTCATAATGACTCCACTAAAAATATATTCACAAGGATGTTCTCTTGTGAGAGGACAATGAGACGCGCTACTGAATGGAAATATTATATGGAAATAATGTTTATGGTACTCCACAGTCATGTCCCATCCAGCCAACTGTGCTAAACGGTTTGATGAACAATAGCTTGCACAATATTTAATTTGGAGTGATTCAGATATACTTATCTGAAAGCCCAAAATTTCAACAAACACAGTATAATTTTACAAACCATACACCGAAACACAATATTACATCCTGATAAGATAACAGTAAACACACAGTATCATCTAACAGTCAAACCACATCATATAAAACGAAAACAGGACCAAAAAATTTAACTCAACCGGTCAAACACTCAAAACTCTCCAACCGAAGAAACAAAACAAAACAATAAAAACTAGTCAAGATGTCTTCACCTGATACACCAGGAAACATAGAAGGCTTGCTTAGGAGAAAGGGCGACCTTAATCCAATGAACTGGGGGTTCAAGGTTGACGACAAGATTTTGGATCACCCAAAAATTGGCTTGATCAAGACTGATGTGTCTAAGCCTAAGGACGATGGGAAGTGTAAGAGCTGCGTGAAGAAGCAGGAGAAGGCGAAGAAAAAGGAGAAAAATGGCGATGCTGGTGGTTGTGTGGTATCTTAAGCGGACGGAAACAGCTTGCAGAGGGTGGGGTGAAAGGTATCGTGGTGATGTTGGTCGATTGAGGACATTAATCGGGATTGTTTGTGGTAATGGGAGGAACGGGCGAATGAGATGACTTAATTATCTCTGGGCGGTGCTGCATAGGGATGGAAAGGTTGAGGTGCACCTGTGGGTTTTTGGGAGATGTTACCAAGTTATTGTATAAAATAGTGGGCTATTTGGCCCTTTTTTGTGGCGAAGATATATTCCAGTGTCAATAGACACCAAGGATATGAAAAATACACGCTGTTTTCACGAATACTCATACGTGATCCAAATATTTCCATCGTCCCATCCGTGCTGGTGGCCATGATCTTACGGCAAATCGTAGCGTGGGAAGAATTATAAGTCCGTGATGTTGATGATCGTTGAAGTTGATATGGGCCACATTGCACATGGCTAATCTAATAAATCGTAAGTGTCTTGTAATACAGTCGGTCAGGACCCTATCGGTAGATCCTCCCATGGCAGCGAGTAAACCTGAACCGAGGAGATATTAGTGTTTTGTTCGTGAATAATCTCCGTGCCATCAAGGCAACAAATTATGGGACAGTCTAGGTTCATTTTTTGATCTGCAAGCGTGCCAGTGAAAGTTTCACAATCCACCTCCTAGATAGATTCGAATCATGGTGAAATATAAATAGCATTCTGTTCTCTATGTTAGACTCAATTCTCAGAAGTTATACATACAATCTTTGTGTTGCTATCTTTAGTTCCCCCAACCAAGTAAGCAGTGAAGTATTGTCCGTCAAAACACCCTCGCCAGCAAACCTTCAGAATCTATTCAATATGTCCGTCGCAAGTGTGTGCAAACTCGGAACTTGTCCACTCGAATATGGAATGGTACATTACCAGCCTACTCTATTTGGAAGTGTATTTTACCTCGTAATATTTGCTGCTCTTCTTATAATCTATGTCATCCAGTTACGGCACTGGAATGCATGGAGTTTTTCGTACTGTATGTTAAGTGGACTGGCCCTTGAACTAGTCGGTTATCTTGGCAGAATTCAGATGCATTGCGACCCTTTTGCTCCAAATCCGTTCTTGGCGTACGTGTTCCAGTTTTCTTCAGCGGGTGTATCTTGCTGAATTAAAAAACAGTATTTGATATGTATAACAATTGCGCCAGTCTTCTTCACAGCATCAATATATATCTTAGTCGCTAGGCTAAGCTTCCCGGTCGTCGGTTCAATCCTGTTTATCTTGATTGTGGGAGAGTACGCTTTGAAAGTAAAGAGTGAAGTAGTCGGAGACAGGCAGCCCATTGGGCGGCAGACAAAGGAAATATGAGAAAAGATGAAAGAAAAAAGGAATATCTTTGCTATGTATGAACAGTCAGGGTGTCCAAGTTCACTTCAATGCGTCATCCCCACTGTCCTCCTCATATCTTCTCTACTGGTCCCATCATCCTCCAATAAATTATTCTCAAAAAGCAACTAACCTTGCCACCATGTTTTTATAGGTCCGGCGACAGCACCATGCTCATCCTCATCCGTTTGATATTCCGTGTGGCCGAGCTGGCTTGGGCTTCCAGTCGAAGCTTGCCAATTAAAAGATCACTTTCATGATACTTGAGAACACTGTCTTGATATTGGCTACCACAGCCATGACGGTGTTCCACCCCGGATTAACCATGAGGGGAAAGTGGAAAGAATCTGGCTGGGGGTTAAAGGAATGGAAGATTGGGAGGGAGTGATTGGAAATGAAAGGTAATAACAGAAGTGGCAGGATAAATACAAGGGAATATTGGGCACCTTTTTAAGGGTTCTGTCAGTTATAGGAAAGACTAATGGGTCAGAAAAGTTCCAAAATGTCGTTGGTTTGTCTGCAGAAATGTGAATATATATGTCCAGAAAACTAAATCTGTTACCATGTTTCAGGGTTTGGAATGAAATCCAGTTGCTAAGACATAGGATTCAGCCTAAGCCCTCAAGCATAAGATATTGGTATTTTGACTTGGTCTTGATGGAGATGGAGAGGACCAAAACGTAGGAGAGTGCTGTTAGTGAAGGAATGCGCGGTGGTCCAATACTCGAGAGTGATTATTCATCTGTGGCCTTACCTCTAATAGGCTAGCTCAGAGTTTAGCGAGGGCGGCCGCACTGTTCAGCATCGCCGAGATTTTTTTGTCACTAAATCAGACAAATACCAAATGGGAACCACAAAGGGTCCATGATTACCTGTCGAAGAATTGCTCCACCAAGGAAGCTCTTTAGTCTCAGCAATTTTGTCAAGAGCAAAACTTGCAGTGGCCAGCTGTATCGATCTCGTGAGAGGACCACCCCACACGTGACTATGGATGGTCCAAGTCATGTAGGTCTAATCTCGAATTTGCTAGATAGCTCTAACACGTTTGTAGGGTCATCATGGCCATGATACACATGCTATACCTCCTCAGGCTATTTGTGATGCGTATAAAAAGTATCAAAGAATGAGTGATGCGGCAGTGAATGATGATCTCGATATCGTGGATTTCAATCGTGGATTGACCTCGGAGCAACAAAAGACGTTGACTCCGGTGGGTATCGTTCCCTCGGAATTGATTGCTGAAGCCCAGAAAGAACTTATGAATGCTGGAGCTGAACATAATCTCGGACTTCCGCCCGCCTGTACTATTTATGAGCATAGCGGATTCCCGGGTATGCTTAAATCAGAAGCAAATCATTACACGCTAACTTCTATACAGGTTTGAGAATATTTCCTGCACTTCTACCACCAGAATGCCAGTCTTTATTTGTTTCTCGGCTCCTCCATCGTGAGCTGTCAAACCCTCTGCACAAAACGAACTTTCACGATGATTATGATATGCCCTACCCTCCGCCTGACTCCTCCTTCTTCACTTACCCCCATCAAGCCAAAAACCAAGTCTTTGCTCCTAAAGATCCAAATTCTAAACATAAATCACTAAATACTGCCCAAGCTCTGCAGAAGAAATTCCGATGGCTGACCCTCGGCGCACAATATAATTGGAACACTCGAGCATACCCCTCCTCTTCTCCGACACCATTTCCAGCTGATGTATCTCGTCTTGTTACCACTTTATTTCAGAATGCTTTTACTCCGGAATCAGGAGTCGTACTAATGTACTCGACGAAAGACTTCATGCCAGTGCATCGAGATGTTTCTGAGGAATGCGAGAGGGGTCTGGCAAGCTTCACGCTCGGATGCGACGGGTTATTTCTTATTAGTAGGGACGTTAAAAAAGGAGAGGAACATGTTTCTGATAGGGAACAGGACCTGGTGTGTATACGGGTCAGAAGTGGTGATGTGATACAAATGGGTGGAGAGACGAGATGGGCTTGGCATGCTATGCCCAAGATTATAGCAGGCACCTGTCCACCTTGCTTGTCCGAATGGCCCGTAGGATCTACGCGAGAAGGGAAAGAACCAAAAGAGTATGAAAGATGGAGGGGTTATATGAAGGGCAAGCGGCTCAATATTAGCTGTCGGCAAGTGTGGAATTAATTTTGCAAAATATATCCTTGCCCCTACCGCACCTTTTATCAGCTCGTGTGAGGATGATCTTATGTTTATTTGATCGGAACGAAGTTTTGTAGTTTTTTGACACAGGCTGGCATCAATTTTTCACGGCTGGTTCGTACGGATCGTATTTTCACATCTGTGACCTCCATATTTCAGATTACGGTTGTGGAAAGAGCGCACCTGAAAGAGATGCTGAAATTCGATACAAGGGCAGTATCAACTATGATTCCCCAAGGCCTAATCTAGGAATCTTAGGCATGGCAGCGGAGCCAGATTTCTCCAGAGTTGATAATTAAGCTGTGGAGATAGACTCTGAATGGTGTGCTGGGACATCAGGTGGAGTGGCTGGCAAACGTTCCGGAGCGTACACTTTGTAACCTTAGGATGCGTACCATTGTGGTCGAATACTGCGTTTTGTCTCCACGCTGGCGAGAATAGCCTGGTGTGAAAATGACGGCAGAAGACAAAAGCGGATCTTGTGTCCATCAAGAAGCTGATTGATGTTCAGTACGCTTATTATCTTTCCCAGCCAGGCACAGTCAGCTTCTATTTCCCGCAAGAATAGAGTCGAATTGGCGGGGCGGAAGGGTGTTGAAATCGCGGACATTGGTATATTTTTGAATATCAAGACTTTGAAGGCCATCATACACTACTTGAACATGGATAATAAAGTTTCACACAACAAATTTTGAAGAAAAATTATTTTTCGAAATACACCATTTTTATATCTCATTTGCACTAAACAAATCAGCATCAATCGAATGCAATTGTCCCCAAAGAAATTGAACCAGTAGTTGTTGTGATACTGTCGTCGACGTCCAAAACACATGAAACCACGCTAAAACGCGTGAAATTTTCACCCCCTTCATCCCTCCATTACGAGGGAAGAGAACTCAATGACGGGGACCACCCAATCGAACTTCCTAGAAGTGATCTTAGGCATTCCATGCCAAGTGAACCACACTGAACAAACCCATGAAAGAGACAATAGCCCGCCATTCATCCTTTCCAGTCCTACCCCCTCCCAACCCTTCAACTTTCAAACCCAACGCAATACCTTGAGCTCTGATGATCCATTCAAATCACCAATCAATCGCCCAACGTTCTAATTCAATAAAAAACGAAGACGACAACCCAGCCACTCAGAACCCCATATCAACTCACCAAAAGAAGCTATCCAAAAAGCTAGAAGTCTACTCATTCTAGCTGCCTCCCTAAAAGAGGATACCGAAGAACAATCGAAAGTCCTAGACTTAATCGAAATATTTCGTGAATATCTTGAAAAAGAAAAACTCACAAAAGCCTCAAATATCATCATATCACAAATCTCCCATTTAGAAAATGCTACCAAACGGATCGAAAAGCAAGCCAACCACCTTTCAAACCTCCCCAATCATATAACCCCCCCTACAATAAACACCCCTGGAATCAAAGCCAGCTATGCCACTATCACCAAAACCTCAGGAGAATAGAACCTAGTTACAAAGGGAAAACCCACAAAACAGAAAACTACAGAACAAAAGGAAGAAGCCCCAAGCAAACGACTAATCCTCATCAAACCCCTTATTTATCAACCACACTCTTTTACACCATTAAATACAAGGAACAAAGTCAACGAAGCCTTCAAGAAAGCAGGAATCAATGGACCAATCATCTCAGCTATCACTACTACAAGGAGCAGCAATTTTATACTAACCACTAACAGCCCTTTCAATGCACAATCCCTGATGGAAAAGAAGGAAATCTGGGACAAAATCCTTGATGCCAAAAGAATACAAATCGATAAACCCTAGAATAAAGTCATCATTCACAAAATCCCAATTCAGGAATTCTCAGGTCTGAAAGGTATGGACCTAATCAAAGAGGAAGTCAATACCTTCAATCCAGAGCTCAGTATTATAGGTACTCCTTACTAACTTACTAATGCCTTCAAGAGAGCCAAACAACAAAATAAAGCAATAGTCATTGCATTTGCTACACAAAAAGAAGCAGATATAACTATCCAGAAAAAACTATATATTGCAGGCATTAGTATTAGAGTAGAAAGATTCTATCCATCTACTCCTTCATCCCAATGCAACAGATGGGATGCGATGATTCAACACCTGTACGTGGTGCATCCTACGAACCTGTAATTTTTCTTACAGAGCCAAGATTGAATCAGGCTGAAGCTGGGCAAAGGTCGTGCTTTAAAAAGGAGCGGTACTGGGAGTGAAGGTATCGTGAATTTGGCCCGGAACAGAGGACTATCAGTCGAACGGAGATGAAAACTACCCGACAATCAACGAAACAACGATGGATTTCGAAGCGGAACCATCTTTACGAATCTGCAGTGGGATGCAGAGCCTGAGAATTGCTTTAAGGAACATTTCAAAGCGGACTGCCTTTACGAATCTGTGTGGGAGCAGAGCCTGAGAAGGAAAGCGTTGTGCCGGTGATTGACAGGGCACCTCTGGGGCGCTAGCGTGCAGAATTTTCACGATCCAACAATGCGTACAATCTGCAGGTATACCAGATTGGAAGTTTACAAATGGTTAAGGGGAGTAATCGAGAATGTATAAAGGTTGTGATAGAGTCTTATTGAGGCCAACAGAGGTATAGGTGGATTAGGGATGGAGGGACGCTTTTGGCACTTTGCTCTACGAATGTACAAGAGCGGTATCATAGCGGCAGAGGAACTCTCGAACGAGGGGGATGCTTTTAGCAAGTTTCACTCTTCTGCGAAGCATTCGGCAGACATCACAGCAGCGGATGAGCTCTGGCAGAAGCCACCTTATAAGATACATATCCGATACATTCTCAACCCTCCGCATTATCGATTACAAACTATACATTGGGGGAATGGACTTTGCAGATTGTACTTTGGTTAGTAAGCTGGAAACGTTGTATTTTTAATTGCCTGATTAGGGGTTAAGATATAGCAAAGCTTGCAAGATACAGTCGGCCTTGTTGTACAAGAGAGATCCGGCAAGGTAACGCGAAACGGTGCACAAGCCACGGAGCGTAGCGTATAATGGCAGCGACAATGATACTGTCTATATAGCTCGAGAGCATGGATGCATGTATCGGTCTACAATAGGGTACAAGGCAGCTGGCAATGGAGATACCGGGTAGGCTTAGGGAGCAAACAGGATAATGGGTGTAGAAAGGTTGTTTTTGCCTGAGGGCAACCTTCTCAAAGGATATTGAGACTGACATCTTGTATCTGGGAAAGCATGGTAAGAATTGGTTACTCTTACTTATATTTGTAGTCTCACTGGATATATTGTAAAAGACTCATAGATTTGCAAATATAATATTATCACTGCCCAACCAGCCTAATCGCCTGGATCTCATCTTTTTTGAAGGAAAGGCTACTCAAGCTCTCATTCGATGGCCAAATTGAAACCTTCAAACCGATCAATACCGGGATCCCCTAAGGCAGCCCTATTTCGCCAATCCTCTTCTTAATTTATATTCGAGATCTATTCTCAGCAAATTCGATCAAATATCTCTCATATATAGATGATATAGCTTTAACAACATTTTCAACATCCTGGAAAAAGAACATCATCTCCCTCGAAAGAGCAACTAAACAGATATATGCTCTGGGCAAAGAAAATGCTATTCAATTTGATCTAGCGAAGACGGAACTAATACACTTCTCTACATCCAAAGATACGAAGACAGCCTCAATCAAGCTTCCGAACGAGGAGATAATTCAACCCTCAACACTAGTCAGATGGCTAGGCATATGGTTCGACCCTGGCCTCAGTTTCAAACAACATGTCACAATCCGAGCTACCCAGGCTAAAACCTCATTCTACCGAATGGCTAGACTTGCTAATTCTGAAAAAGGCCTTAGTCCCAAGGCAATGAGACAGCTCTATATGGCATGCGTCACCAGCATAGCTGACTACGGTTCAATTTTATGGTGGAAAGGGCAAAACCAATTCAAGAAAATCCTTCAATCCTTGCAAAACCTCGCCCTTCGAAAAATCCTAGGAGTATTCAAAACCTCACCAATAAAACCAATGGAAATAGAAGCCGCATTGTGCCCTCCAGAAGTACGGCTAAATGCTGGAATCAAACAATACGCATTTAGATTATTGAAAATCTCGCCTTCTCATCCTGTCAATTTAGTAGCTACAAAGCTGGCTACAGAAAAGGAGAATCAAGATGTAGTTGCAACCCCTCAAAGAAAGCAATTAAAACCTACTCAACTCGAAAAGATCAAAAATTCAATTCAGAAAGACTTCGATCCTCTCACTTTAGAAGGAATCCATCACTTCTACTTTCCTCCTTGGAAGAAAGAAGTTCCATATAAAGTCAATATCAGCAAATTAGGAAAAGAAGAAGCTGCGATGATCCACAATCTGGCTTTCAAATAAAGGTGCAAAAATACCATTACAATATACACCGATGCCTCATCCACTTTAGAGGGAATAGGGGTTGGGATCGGGATAGCGGTTATCTTACCAAATGGCCGAATTTCACATCAAGAGACTATGTTGACCTCCTGGGATCTTGGCAGCATATGCATATATAGTACATATGCATATAAGGAGCAAACAAAACTCAACTTTTAATTCATTCTTTCCTTTTTGGTATACTGTTTGTTTGCTTTCAATATTTTGATTTCAAAGCACTTTAATTCCGAAGGCCGAATACCCAACCTATTCCTTCATTTTTTTTGAATATATGCTCGCAGCTTAACTGCTTAGCTAGAGAATAAATCAATTCAATCTGATGCTCTTTCTAGTCTCAAGAAACCCAACAGACTATCAATATAGGTGTGAATCAGCTTGTCTATAATGGGGAACTCCTAGGAGTTACTAAAGCGATCGAATACGCAAATTCAATAGCCCAGCCAGGAAACAAGTTCAAGATATACTCAGATAATCAAGCAGGATTATTCCGGTTGAAAACCCCCTCCGATTTACCTGGTCAATCATGCCAAATCAAAGCTATAAAAGCTGCGGAAGCTATTCAAAATAAAGGAGCCGAAATCTCTCTCAATTGGGTCCCCGGACATACATCTGTACAAGGAAACGAGCTAGCTGATTCTCTTGCAAAAGAGGCGACCAAAATACCATCCTCATCTCACGAAACCAGTTATGCCTCCATTGGAATGGATATAAAAAGAATGAAATCAGAGAACTGGATAGCCATCCTTAACACTCACAATTTTCATCAACCATCGTCAACATATTCAAGAAACTACCCCTGGAAGATCAGCTCAAAAATCAGAGTTCCAGGAAACATCAAAAGAAGCACAATCTGTGCTCTGTTCTAACTCAAAATTGGACACGGATACTTCAAATCTTATTTGAAACGATTCGGTATCTCCTCTAATGACAATTGTAGATGTGGGGGAAAGGAATCTCCTGATCATCTTCTGCTCAGTTGTCCTTTATATAAAATGGCAAGGAAAACCCTCAATAAGGATAACCCCATAGTCCGACCTACCATGAAATATCTGCTTCACACTAAAGCAGGAATCATCAAGACCCTCGAATTTATCGAGGCGACGAGAATAGCCACCAGATCATGGCACCTCAATAGAATGCATGAAGAAGAAGAGGAAGAAGGCGGAGAAGAAGGGGGTGGACCGGAAGATTGTGATTGAATTGATCAATTATGGCCAACTTGGTCAATTTAGTCAATTTGGTCAATTTAGTCAATTTGGTCAATTTGGTCAATTTGGTCAACTTGGTCAATTTGGTCAACTTGGTCAATTTGGTCAATTTGGGCAATCACCCCAATGTCAAATTTCATTATATTTCATTACATTTCATTTGTTATTCCTCTTATTTGAATACGAGAGTATCTGTAAGGCGGGCTTGGTTCCCTAGTATTAGTTTTCACTTCCCCCATTCAAACATTAGAAGATTGAAGCTTTCAATCTCCCCAACCTGTATTAGCTACGGTCGAATAAGGCCAGCCACCCTCCATTTACTATTGTTAGAAGCCTACAAAGCTCCTAGCCGTCTTAGATAGTCATAGACTCAGTGTAGACGTTAATTTAATCAATCAATCAATCAATCAATCAAAGCAGAGCATGCCAGTAGAGGAAATATCGGCTCAAAAAGAATGAGAATCTCTTTTTCATCGGCTTCAGAGTAGTCTATAAGCACTAAAGTCATCTCCTTCAAACTAGAAAAATAGTGAAGAATGCAGTCTCTGTGTTTCGAACCAGACAGCCGAAGTAATCTTACGTTTGCATGTGGGGGTCGCTTCATCTTAGCGACCATACCCTTCTGGACAACCAACAAGCTTGACTGTACTGCCAAAAATAGATTAGCCATTGCGGCCAGAGCCTCAAGGCCTGGCTCGAGTACCAATTGTATACATTCATTCATTATCCTACTTTTCTTTCAGCTTATGTTTGGTATCGACTTACTTCTATATTCTTGGAAATACTTCCTGCCTTGTAAGTCTTGAATTCAAAAAACTCACGCCGCAATATTCGCAGTCTTCTGTAAGTCTCGCCGTAGATCATCAATTAGAACAGTCCGTGGACCTTATGTCTCGGCTCCCTTTTGTCGAAAAGTCTCCGTAGGCCCCGCCATCCGTCTCCCTGACCCTTTTTACCCTTTCTTAAATTGCGAGCACTACTTTTTACTAGCATACCAAGAATTTGTTGAAAGAAATTTTACTATGAACTAGATATCAGTATAAGTATGAAGATAAAAGCAATGAGATGAGAGTGCGGACTCGAGAAATGTTAATGATGTCCATCCTTTCCAGTTTGAGACGGGGCTGCCAACCCAAAATGAAACAAATAAGGTCGACAATGGCGCTAGCTCTTTTTGATAGCGCGAGGGTCTTGATCATGGCGTAGGATTGATATTCCATTACACAGATCTAGATTCCGACTAGGTTTTTTTGTTTTCAGTCTCCTGTTGGTGCTCAGTTTTGTGCTGCATTTCCTTTATATGATGAATATCATTATGGAGGAAACATATCAATGATACCCAAGTTGATCTGAAACCACTATAGTATGTCAGCTTTCTCCTGTATTATAAGCCCACCCAAAAATTGACTGGAGAACCTCAAACCACTCGCTCAGCATTTCCTCTTTTCCTACCCATCCCTATTGCTAATCCCTATCCTACTGATTTTATACATGGATTTGTATAAAATTGAAATAAAGCTGTTCAGGTGCTTTGGATGCTTTATAGTACGGTTGTGAGTTTATACGTTGGCGTTATTGTCGGGGGAGTGAGAACGTAGAGATAGACATCCAAAGAATTGAATAGTGGAAAGGTTAATAAGACTATTGAGGTTACTAATACTATGATGTTACCCCTTTGATGGCATTAATGGCACCGCCAGGATAGTGTTGAGATTTAAAGGTTAAGGGATTAATCGGTTAGTTGAAAATTGTTTGAGTTGATGAATTAGGTGATACTCAAAAATGGTGTGTGGACAGGTCACATTGCATTCGGAATCGAAAGGGACTGATGAATATCTTGACGTCACTGAGAAGGGGAAGCGGGGGTCTGCAGTGTGCATGTGAGGAAGATCACTCAAATACCAATGAATACCACCAGATCGATTCATGTGCCAACAATATCCCCCTTTAGCGCTTCCTAGATACCCCCATAAGTACGATTTATTGACCATACAAGACAATAATCACACTAATATCTAGTTCCCGACTAGCACGTCACGCACACGTGCACGTCATTGTCTAGGCATCTGGTACTCGTGTCGCAGAACTATCCACAGGAAAGTAAACTACAACGGGAATAGTGACCCATATTAAGTGGATGGTTATATGCTTCCTCGCAGCACGAGTGTATGTTCCGAACTTCAGATTAGGGGAAGGGGTATGCGGGGTAAAGAATTTGGGAATGGAAAATTGGAAGGGAGATGATTGTTTCTAGAATATTAAGATATTGGTAGTAAAGATTGTCAGCTGTGTGAGCTGGAAGTTCTAAGTTTGGATGTGCCTTGGCATGTTGGTAGTGGATAATGGGAAGATTTGATTTATTGTTCATTTCTCTGTATATAAGAGAAGTATATTCCTGTTGACTTTTTAAGGGAAGTAAGTACCATTTGTATCACATTGCAAAGATTACAGGACCTTCATCAAAGATATTAGACGCATTTGTCAATAGAGCTAACCAATCACTACAAAGTTTATTGTACACATCTTCACACCACGTATAAATATTCAATCTCGATCAAGAGCCCAGCACTTCTCCCTCACACCGTCCATCTCGACCAAAAAATATTCAAAATCGCCCCTATACCAGTCAGTCGAGCGAGTGCAGCTATGGCCGTAGCAGCAGCAGCAATCTCCATCTCCTCTTCATCCTCTCCCTCCTGCTGCTCACCCACAAGCCCCATAAACGCCAGCACAGTCACCACCATCCTTGAAAAATGTTCGCTCACCAGCCTTTCCAACATCACCGATACAAACGCCTCTAAAAAACTACATTGCTTAGCAAGACTCTCCGAGTCCGCAATAAATAGCGCTTATGCGAGAGCTTTTTTCGCGCAGCTATTTACTATGAAGGCACTTTTGATGATTGTGTTGATTATTTTTTGGGGAGTGATGGCATTGCTGGTCCTGTTTAGTGTTGCGGTTTCTTGCTGCGGGCAACGTAATAGCAGGGAGTAAGTAAAGGAATGAATAGCATTGTTAGGAGCTACTCTTGTGAGCTCTGGAAGGTTTTGCGCGATAAAGAACATTCTATCAGTCAGGAAGGTCTGGTGAGATGGTTAATGAGATAAAGATGAGGCTTGGGAATTTGTAATTAATTCTTTGATTAGAAAAAAAGAGAAAAGGCGGATATTGAAGTATTTGAAGGTTATGTTATGGATAAAGAGAATGATTCAAGGATGCTGGGTCTTTTTGTACACATGAAGAAGAACAGAGACCCGCAAAGATATATTCTCAAACAGCCCTTATTTCCTCATGCACATCCGTCCAACGTTGAAATGTACTGATTCTTCCCAGGTACAAATCCGGAAAATGCTCTGAGAGCGATGTGATTTGATTTGTGGATGACTGCGCTTCATTGGGAACTGAATGCTTTCTATCCTTGGATCTTAAACGCTGCTTCAGGAAATGAAGAAATATTATTGACCAAATCTTCTATAGATCTAATGTTTTAGCGTGGTCTGTCTCTAGGTGAAAGCTTTATATTCTACCACATTCCAGACCACACGCTTTTGTTGTTGTGATTGTTGCCACACGGACTTAGGCCATCCAACACCATAGATTAAAAACAGTATCAGAGTGTGCCAGTCTTATGAAACTTCTCGAGAGTTCAAGACCAATTCTTCAAGGAAGAACCATCATCATGCAGTTCTCAACCATGCTCGCCGTTTTTGCCGGCGGCACTCTCGTTGATACGGGTCCAGCAATTCCTGCCGCACCCAAACCCCGCGTAGAAGAATGTATCTGCACTGATGCATAAAGCACTTATGCTGCCTGTTTGCTCAAGCGTTACTGTACATGGCTGCACTGATGATGATATTGCTCCTGCTTAGCCAGTGTTGGCAGGTCACCACATGTGAGATTTGAGATATGTAATAATGTCAACTTTATGCAGACGCGGAATGTGATATTATCACGAATTAGACAACTTTCTCATTGGCTCCTGCGTAGGGGCAATTGAACTTCATAGCGAAGGAATTATGAAATGAAATTTGGATGATTTTTATAATATATGATGAACGACGATCTGGAATTGTGGTGAATTTGGTGGTAGTCACTCCGATCAGAGCAAGTGGAATGCGCCCTGCTCATGATATATGACTGTGATAAACAGCAAATTTTACATTCAACGAGGGAACATCAAGATTGTGTAGAAAATCAAAAATGATAGAAACAGAACGATTGGGTGGATAGTTGCTGGGAAAACTATCCCATGCGATGTTTGGTTCAACGCCGAGAGTGTGATTGAATGATGGATTTTTCTTCATTTAACATCGTCCAAGCCGCTGAGTCTAAGGCTATCAGATACATCCTTAATAACCTTAAAGAAAGAAATCATTTCCTTATTAAGTTGTGCCCAATTATATTATTGTAAAACAGCGATCAAGGGCCACTTCTTCCCGAAATTCAACACTTCATTCCTCAAATGGCGCGCCAGGGGCCACTGAAAACCCCTTGTAAGGATGAGAGTAAAGATGCAAACAGTGTATATCGGCCTTGTTTGGACTTGCTTTCCACCTCGTACAACTAGTGAAGAATATTCCGCAGGGACGGCTCGCCGCGTTTGTGACCAATCGTGAGAGGTCGCTGCGGAACCATACTGAGGTCAATTGAAAATGCGGAGAAGTAGCTTTCAATATTTTACAAACTTCTTTCTCGAGAGATATTCGTTCTATGATAGAGATACCATCTTTTCTCGCATCCTCAAAGAATTTTATGGCAGCTAGAGGAGAGACTTCATGGCTGATTGAGGTCCGTTCGGTTGAGGATAATCTTAAAGTGGGATTCTTCCTGTAGAACAGCTTCAGAGATGCTCTATGACTATGTTCGCTTGCTACTTGCAGTGATTTTCGAGTAGAAGTTGCTATTCTTGATGTTCAGGATGACTTTTGTGCATAATGTTGCTGAGTGAACCTTCCCGGCTCATAGAGAGATTGGAGTGAGGTTGTTGTTAGCTAACGCGAGGGCACTGGAGATTTTGACATCCTCGAGATTGGGCAAAATGTATAAAATTCAAAATATCATGTGTTATATAGCTTGACGCCTGGGGAAAGACCGTTCTGACGTATCAGGTTTGGATCTCATTTGCTTTCCTTAGAAAGACCATTGGGCCTTCTCTGGTTGGCAATTATACCGCTTTGTTGCATTGATTGGGTGGCTACCAAGGACATACCCAGAGCAGATAACATCAAGCATCCTGACTCAAGTGCACTCGTGCAGGATGCAATAGCAATTAAGTCCTACCGTTTTCGCAATCCATATGATGATGTGGTTCACCAGTTCCTTTGGAGTTGAGAAACGGGGTTAAGAATCTCCCTAGCGTGCGGAGGTTTGCCACCGACAGTCCGAAGACCCTAAATATTCTTAGCGTGAAAAAGCCTGGAACATCAGTCACCACCATCCACCATCACATTAGGATAACATCCAAGATGTGATATCAGAGCTACTGATTGATATATATCGATCAAATAAACAATTGGGCAACAAAAAATCCCTCTCGAGCGACATTGTGCATCCGTCTAGATAGGCCTTAAGGAAAAAGTGATATGTACTCAATTCCATCACAATGGCTTTGACATTTACAGAGTTTATGTAACCTATCATGACCGAAAATCACCTCCCTTCGTGCTATCTATCGAAGTTGAGACTGATCTGAAAGTAACACAAACAACGACGAAAATATAGAATGTCAACTCTTGCACCACCAGACATTCCATATTTATCGCAAGGTTGATTCCGGCCTTCGACTACGGTCAAAGTCATGATCTCGGAAAGTTCCACGAAATCAAGCGTTTTCATAAACCCTCGCCCTTCATTGGTTATGAGTTATTGCATGATTAAAATACCCGTAGGATCAAGTGTTCATATAACAGTTACACAGTGGAACGACAAAAGTTCTAATCTTACTGGTAGAGCGCCAGCTGGTTGGAATAACTGTGCCCCAGCCACATGAACCATAATACGAGGCATAGAGAACCAACATCTTTCGTATAACTCCGTTCAACGTCCCTCCATTTTTCCTTCCAGTAATTACTCCCAAAAATGTTTCGAAGACCTCTTTATTTCGTTCTTGCGACGGCGTTTGCCTACATAGCATACTTATTCGCTGGATCAGTCACACAAAGTGAAAAGAACACCACTAAAAAACTTGGAGAGTGGCCTGGCAAGAATAATACCGTCTTGTTTCTTACAAATAGCGAACATGGATTGGCGAATGTTATGTTGGCAACTAGTCATGCTTTACTTGTGGAACACAATGATCTCGATATTCATTTCGTGTCGTTTGAAAAGTTAAAGCATGACATTACGACAATTTCTGAATTTGCAGCGAAGAACTCAAAGAGTGAGAGAGCTATTACTTTCCATGAGTTGAAAGGGCCATCATTTTCAAAAGCAATAGAGGATAGTGGAATTGGTATTGATCAAGTGATTCATGCACCTGGTCTCGCCGGATTGGGGAAGTTCTGCGGTAATATGCAACACTGGTTGATGCCATGGACAGCCACTGATCATCTTGGTCTCTATAATGAGATATCTGATATACTGAAGACAGTGGATCCGATTGTCGTGGCGGTAGATCCATTATTTGGACCCGGTATCGATGCTGTGCGAGCTCAAGGACGCAATCATGCTATCATTTCACCAAATTCTCTCAAGGATAATTTCGTACAATTGCAACCTATGGCTGCCGCGCTATGGAAATATCCAGCGTAAGTTCCCGTCAAATTTTTGACTAAAAATGTTGCTCACAATTCAAGCCTGAGTTCCGCATACACATATCCTGTTCCTTGGTACCTTATCCCATCAAACATATACATGAACCTACGACTCGCATATACAGTCATGTCAGCGCCAGGCATCACCAATAGGATTATTGACGAGAAGCGATCATATCTCAAGGAAAATGGAATTGACAACCCATTGGACATGTTCACCGTCTACCATAAAGACTATCCATGGCTAACTCAAAGTTCCCAAGAACTCGACTTCCCTTTCGACATCATCCCGAAAAATATCATACAATGCGGTCCCATTTATCTCTCCACCGCCCCCGCCTCAGAACAAGACCCCGAACTAACCGAATGGCTAAAAATATCCCCAACCATCCTAATCAATCTAGGAAGTTCAGTAAACTACGATGAGCCAGCCGCAACAGAAATGGCAAAATCCATTAAAATCCTCCTCGAAAACTCCACCATCCAAGTCCTATGGAAATTCAACAAACGCCACGAATTCAGCGATCAATTTCTCGATATCCTATCTTCCGATCTCCAATCCCAACGTGTAAAAATCACAAATTGGATAAAAGTAGATCCGGCCGCTTTATTAGAAACGGGAAATATTATCCTTTCAGTTCATCACGGAGGCGCAAATTGTTTCCACGAAGCAATCGGGACGGGAATTCCTCAAGTCGTTTTACCGATGTGGGTGGATTTGTATGATTTTGCAATTCGTGTTGAGTTTCTAGGTGTGGGGGTATGGGGTAGTCGAGGTGTAGCGCCTTATGTATGTGTCACGCTCATTGTTATCCTTATTCGTTTATTTCTACGACCGCTGGAAGTATGCTAACATGAAATCTAGTGGAAGGCGGAAGAACTGAGTAGTGTATTTTTGAAACTAGTAGGAGATAGCGAAGAAGCTATTTCGATGCGAAAAAGAGCGTTGGAATTGAGTAGACCATGGAAAGAGAAACCAGGCCGAGTAACTGCAGCTCATGAACTGGCGAAGTTGGCACGATTAGCTCCAATATCGTAATTTTGCGCTTAAATGGTGTTCAAGGCTGGTCGATACCATATTGAGATTTTTGTCGAGCTAAATAAAACAAAATTTCTGTTGATCTTAAGTTTAGACCGTGTGTACTTGTAGCCATGAGAATACATCCTGTTAATCTCCCAGCAGTCTAAAAATTCACCCATATCAAACTCTGATTAAAACACCCTATAAATGTCCCCGGAACCACTTAATCCCCCCCTCATACGGAGATCACACCTCAACGACCACTACACCCGATCAACACTCCTCCTCCTCCTCCTCCTCCCCCCAAATCTCCAACGAAAATTACCAATTAACTTGAAATTTTCAGAGCTGCATTAATTATACAATGTTAGCTATTGTTAATCTTCATACACATTCTAGGTTTCGAATTAATTAGATGAAATAGAGAAATTCTTAAATTCTTAAATTCTTAAATTCTTAAATTCTTAAAAAGAAAAGAGTAAAAAATAAAAGAAGGAAAAGAAAATCAAGGAATATATATTTCACTAGCTGTAAAGTGCTTGTAAGGCAAGAATTGTATTTAGGATGTAAGTCTTAATCGTACGTTTTTATATTCATAACTCTGCCTGATAAAAACACACAGAACTATCATCTAATTATCTATCTAATCAAATTTCATCTCCACGTAAATAAATATCCTTAAACATCGCTACTCCTATAGTCCCTGATACATCTATCTACCTAGTCTTCATATGTCCATCTTACCAAATCCTAGCAACAATCAAGGTAAACTAAGAAACAATTGCAACAATTTAGGATAATTAGGAGTTCCAAGACCAGTAACCGGATCCCACCTAGAAGATACTATTAGCAAAAAACTCATTCATCAGCGGTTTAAAGGGAAACATACCCAGACACAGCGCTAAACCCAGCAGTGCCACAATTAGGATTACTTCCATTAGTGATATCGTTTAGAACATGAGGGTTAGCATAGAGTACAGGATTAATAAATCCGACTGTAGATTTTCCAATGGCGAGACGTTCTTCATTGATCTATAGTTTTCGTTAGTTATTTGCTGATTAGAGTGTGGAATTTCACATACCAAGTTAATGACGGAAGAGAAAATGGGTGTGCCTGTGTAAGATTAGTAAGATTGAAAGAGAAATATCTGCATTGAGAAACACGTACTCGCACTTGTACCACCATTCAAAGTAAAATTTCCTCCTAGAAAGTTTGCGATGTTATCTCCGTTTGCGGACACATCTGGAATGCCTCTTCCAGCACGATTGTAAAGTCCACCATTAGCCCCCAGAGTCACATTGCTACCGGCAGTTGCCTTGTAATAAGGATAGGGAGGGTTGTGGTGCGCGAAATATCTGCAAGATTGGTTAGAATATAGCAATGTACTAATATAGGGAGAGACTTACGCTGCCACTGCCTCTTTCTGGTAAGAAGGTGTTTCGTAGACGTTGCTAAATCCCCCACCAGAAGAGTATGCACGAGAATATGGTTGACCTTTGAGGTCGTTGGCTGCACTCTCTGGCTCAAAAACTGTATGGCCTGGATAGACTTTTGTGGCACCGACTGCTGTTACGTATGGACAACTTTGAACTGTCAATATTGAATCATGGCCCATACAAAAGGCTGTGTTGTAGGTTTGGGGAAGATGAAATTGAAAATACATACTTAACAGGAAATTGAGGATTAAAAACATTTTCTTTTGGACCCAAACATCCGCTTTGTGTAGCATCACCAGGAAATCCACCAACACCGAAATCTCCAGAAGAATAGAGGAAAGTGTGTCCTTGTAGCCCAAGTTTCAGGTATCTATCTCTGCGTTAGCATTTGACCACTGAATATATGACAATACTACATACTCATTACATTGTCTCTTCATGTAGTATTCGGGAAGATCTATCTCTGCTTCTCCATAGGATGTTGAGATTACATTTGTGGGTTTGTAAACACCACACATCAATTTTCCTTTATATCCATCAGCTGCAGAATCCGGATAAGAAGGATCAAGAACAGGATCATTCCCAGTTTCGCCATAAGCTGAGTATGTACAGTATGACTAGTAGAAATGGTCAATTTCATGCGTGGAATTGAGGATTGGGAATACATACCCCGTCAATAGCATCCAGAAATGTGTTAAATGCGCCCAAGGGAGGATTTTCATTGGAATAGTTGATATCATCCGTTTGATATAGCACCAACTTCTGAGGATACACTAAAGGATATGCCAATTCAAAATCTAATAAACTCTCCCCACCTGCTTGGGAGACAGGAACTGGAGCCACAGCGCCATCCACAAAATTAGGAGTTGGGTGTGTACCCTGAGGAATATATGGGGTATAATTAGCAAAAAATAGGTTCAAATCTTCTTGATCGTAGAAGTCTCCCGATTCCCAAATGCCCATTGCATTATTAGGGTTTGCTTTGCTGGCGGGAGGTATTTGATAGAGTGCTTTGACACATTCTGGAGTGATAACCTCATCGCAAGTCGCTAGTGAGCTTGAATTGTAGTGCGAGTAGGCTTCGAAGGAACTTTTTAGTCGTCGTAATGGTTCATTACCCTTGCCTTTTCCCGCTTCAAGAATGCTGCGTTTGGATGACGCTGTCTTCTTCGTGGAGATTAGTTTCACACCTGGAGTGATGTAATCCACGTGTGGTTGAACATGGGCTGGAAGGTGGTATCTATGGTATTCTGCTTAGCATCTCTTACCCCCTGTTTAACACGAATCGATATCGCAAGAGAATCAATAGGAAACTCAATTTGAGAAATCAGGAAAAGAATATCTTACTCGTCACATGCAGCAGCTATTTCGTCAGTTGATGAATGCTCGTATGTATAATACTGGGTATTGAGTAATGCCTCAAGCTCACTCGTTGTGGCATCAAATGCGTACCACCCCTTTGTGTCAGAGTGAACAATTCGACTAGCGGCAATCCCTGAGTCGACCAGCCAATTCCGAACAGTATCAATCGCTTCTTCTGAAGGCGCAAACATTTCATGTACTTGTTCTGCTGTCCAGTGTTTACCATAATTTGAGGATTTTGGATGTGAGCTGTAAAGCATTTAGCACAATAGAATGATACAGAATATAATACTCGGATCCCCTGTATCATAGGCTACTTACACATCCATGAGGAAGTCATGTCCCTTCTCAAGATTATTTTGAGATAAACCAATACGCACAGGCAGTAAAGTTGTGCTGGCAATTCGGTCGCGCTTCATCCATCGTGTACGGGGGAAGTTTCGCTTCTCATGGGAAACAAGTGATGAGCGAGAGGCATGAGTACCAGCACTCGGAAGAGCAGCAGCAATGATTCCCGGAACAATCAACACAACTGAAGCAAAATAAGGGAAATGCATTGTGATTGATTGAATGAGCTTAGCAAATACCAATGGCAGAACCTACGGAGATATGACCCGTTTTAAAGATCTTTTGAAGATATGAGGGCATTGACCAAATGATGGACAGGTACCACGAACCCTGCAACACTTGTTGTCAATCCGGAAGGTCACTTATCTGCTCATAACGGCGTCATGCAGTGCTTATGTATCCTTCTGAATTGGGAAGCTTAGTTGTCTTTAGTTACTGATCATCTTGCATCATTGAACAAAAGATGGCCCCGACAGAATTCGACGTTGTCAATAGATAAGAGTGTTTCCGTGCCAATGATTAGAGTTTGCTAGATCCAGCGGATCATCAACGAGATCTCAATGTTATCGTGGCATGGAATTGCAAGACACGGAATGAAAAGTTTGTGTTCGTTTATCGCTCAATACCACCATGTCGTCCGTCCTTGAACATACATTGATATGTAGCAGATTGATTGCACTTGATCGTTGCTCCAGTCATTGTTATGCAAGCCATAACGTGAAGCCTCATGATAGTTTCCTTAGAAACCATGATGATTACCTGGTAGATCCAAATCCCTTCGAAACAAAGTTTTCTCTTTAATCCTTTGATAGTTAGAATCGTCGATTCTAACTATATTTTGTTGATTTAAAGCTTCATTGAAAGTAAGAATGGTCAACGCTGAATCTCGAAAAGAACACCAGGAAATGTGAAATAGCCCCACCAATATGATGCAATGGATATTCTGTAAGGAATACGGTGTACCTGAGACACTTTGGCGCAAAATTACATCAGCACTTCCCCCACCATGCCAAAGAATACCCAGAAGCACCCAGTAGGTAAAGCAGGTAAACATTGAAGGAGACAAATTATCACTACTACGACAAGATGAAGCAAAGGTTTTCTTCTATTGATGTCAAGGTAAATCAACTAAACCTTCAACAGAGTTCTTGCCCTTTAATTCCGTCTTCTAACTGCCTCAGGTCATCGCCCATGAACTTTCAAATGCATTGGTTACGTTGCGAGTTTCTAATATTTACGACCTCTCATCAAAGATTTTCTTGGTGAAATTCGCGAAACCAGACAACAAACAGCAGATCCTCATAGATTCGGGATTTCGATGTCATCTCACCGACTTCTCTCGAGCGACTGCAGCTGCTCCTAGTGTATTCGTACAGCGATTAAGGAAATACTTAAAGACAAGACGGGTCACACAGGTTTCTCAAGTTGGGACGGATCGCATAATCGAGTTTCAATTCAGTGATGGACAATACAGGTTATATTTGGAATTCTATGCCGGTGGGAATATCATTCTCACAGACAAGGAGCTGAACATCTTAACCTTGCTCCGAGTGGTCGATCCAGGAGAAGCTCAAGAAGAATTACGTGTGGGACTCAAATATTCTTTGGAAAATCGACAGAATTATGGAGGAATTCCAGATTTGACTAGAGAACGCCTTAAGGAAGCTTTACAAAAGGGTGCAGATAAGGGGGAGGATGATTCCGGAAAGAAGAAGAAGAAGCCTGGGGATGCGCTACGTAAAGCTTTAGCTGTGTCCATTACAGAATTCGCTCCGATGCTAGTAGATCACGCAATGCGTATCACGAATTTCAATCATTCTCTCAAGCCGTCTGAAGTCTTGCAGAGCGAAGATCTCTTGGATCATTTGATGAGATCACTTCAAGAAGCTCAACGAGTTGTTCAAGAGATCACCAGTTCCGAAACTTCAAAAGGATACATAATAGCGAAGAAAAAGGACTCTCAAGTTACATCAGATGATAATCAAGCTGAGGACCGGAAGGGGTTACTTTACGATGATTTTCATCCATTCAAACCACGACAATTTGAGGACGATCCAACATTGGTCTTTTTAGAATTTGAAGGCTTCAACAAAACTGTTGATGAGTTCTTTTCCTCAATCGAAGGACAAAAACTTGAATCGAGACTGGAAGAGAGAGAATTGAACGCCAAAAAGAAGATTCAGGCAGCACGAAATGAACAAGCCAAACGTCTAGGCGGGTTACAGGAAATTCAGGCACTCAATGAACGTAAAGCTAGTGCTTTGCAAGCTAATGTTGAACGGGTCCAAGAGGCCAGAGATGCCGTCAATGGCCTAATCGCGCAAGGCATGGATTGGTTCGAGATTGGACGTCTAATTGAATTGGAGCAGAAACGCAAAAATCCGGTAGCTTCAATGATCAAATTACCTCTGAAACTTGATCAGAATACAGTCACTCTTTTGCTGGATGAGGAGGTTTTCAACGATGATGAGGATTCAAGTTATGAGACGGACAGTGATGTGTCCGACAGCGAAGACGAAGAGAAGGCTGCTAAACCCGTTGAGAAGGAAGAAAAGGCTACAGAGACACGACTCGCGATTGATATCAATCTATCATTATCACCTTGGGCAAATGCACGTAATTACTTTGATCAAAAACGTTCAGCAGCATCAAAAGAAGACAAGACCTTGCAATCATCTTCTAAGGCGTTGAAAAGCACCGAAGCGAAGATTGCTCAGGATTTAAAGAAAGGCTTGAAGCAAGAAAAGACTATTTTACGACCCGTGAGAAAACAGATATGGTTTGAAAAATTCGTTTGGTTCATATCTAGCGATGGATATCTAGTTCTTGCAGGCAAAGACGCACAACAAAGTGAAATCCTGTACAAGAGATATCTTAGGAAAGGGGATATGTACTTACATGCAGATATAAGCGGTGCAGCCTCGGTCATTGTGAGGAACAACCCAAAGACACCCGATGCCCCAATTCCTCCACAAACCCTCAGTCAAGCTGGAACTTTGGTTGTTGCTACGTCTAGTGCTTGGGATTCTAAAGCTGGTATGTCTGCTTGGTGGGTTAATGCAGATCAAGTATCGAAAGCAGCTCCTACGGGTGAATTTCTTCCCGCCGGTAAATTCACGATTCAAGGGAAGAAGAATTTTTTACCTCCTGCACAGCTCCTTCTTGGCTTTGGTATCTTATTTCAAATCAGTGATGAGAGTAAAGCTAGACATGTCAAACATAGATTTCAAGATGGTGAGCCAGTGGGTGACTCGACCACAGATGCTACTGCGGCTGGGGATTCTATCCTTGACGATGAAGGTTCCGAAGACGAGTTGAATCAATCTGATAAAGATGAGCCGAAGACTGAAAAAGACGTTGACCAGGTTAATCATCAAGATAAGGATGATTCAGATGAGGACGACGTTGAATCGAAGCCTAATCCTTTACAAAGTGAAACAGAAAAAATTCACGAAGCAATTTTACAAGAGAAAACCGAGAATCTGCAAATCGACGATAAAGTTGCTCAGCCACCGACCTCTGAAACACAAATAGAGGAATCGGATGAAGAAGATTCTGTCAAGGAGTCACAGCCTACCAACCATGGTAAAAAAGCTACATCTATTCAAAATCAACCCAAAAAGGGTCCTGCACCAGCCAAGCGAGGCAAGAAAGGAAAGGCCAAGAAAATTGCACAGAAATACAAGGATCAAGATGAAGAAGATCGAATAGCTGCTCAAGAAATCATTGGAGCTGCCGCCGGTCAAGAAAAGGCCGAAGCCGAAGCAAAAGCTAAAGCAGCTCGAGAAGCCGAACTTGCATTCCAAAAAGAACGTCGAAGAGCACAACATGAACGTACACAAAAAGAAACAGCCGAACACGAACAGATGCGTAAATTAATGCTTGAAGATGGTATCGATACTCTCGAAGACAACGAGGCCGAAAAAATGACATCTCTAGATACATTTGTAGGTCTTCCATTACCAGGTGATGAAATCCTAGAAGCAATTCCTGTTTGTGCACCCTGGGCCGCAATGGGAAAATATAAATACAAAGCGAAGATTCAACCCGGTGCGCAGAAGAAGGGGAAAGCCGTGAGAGAAATTCTGGGAAAATGGATCGCGGCTGCTAGTGCAAAAAATGTTTTGGATGAATCGAGTTTGGATATTGAGAGAATATGGCCGAGGGAATTAGATCTTATTAAGGGTTTGAAACCCGAGGAAACGACGAATGTGGTTCCGGTTGGGAAAGTTAGGGTTATGATGGCTGGTGGGTCGGCGGGGGCGGCGGCGCCGAAGGGTGAGAAGGGGAAGAGTGGTGCGGGTGGTGGTGGTGGTAGAGGTGGTAAGGGTAGTAAGAGGAGGTAGATTGTGTGTTGTATAGTACTGTATAGCATAGTAGAGATGTTGTATATCCATCCATCTTTAATATAGAATTTGATTTCGCGAAAGATTTTTGTAATCGATTTTCGTATAATTATTGTAGATCATAAAGAACACTCACCCAACTACAGTACTAATTAACCGAGTAACCTAAGATACCTACTAACTATACTACTAATATCTAAAATAAGATTCATGACATCGATAGATTTATAATTATATAAACCCACTAAGTACAATTAATCTTATTATATTGATGAGCCTAACACTCATTATTTGTTTAATTCTATTAAATGCATAATCATATCCAAATCATATCCAAATCATAATTATACTCATAATCATAAATCATTAAAAGTATTCTTATCTATATACTACAATATTGATTCCACTTTCTTACACATTTCTCTCCCACCAAATATTTGTCTGATATCTTTGAGATGATTCCCCTCCTCAACCGAAACCATTACACTTTTTTCTTCCAGCCCCAATCCAATCCTATCTCCATTCGTATAACCTGTCAAAACCCGAAATCCTAGTCGCTAATTTCGAAAATGCAAATGATATGATATGATATGGCCATATAAAATGCTGAATGCTGACAGTAATGATCCTTATATTGCTTCATTTCCATTTCTTCGTTTAAATATCCCCCTTCATTCAAATTCCTCTCCATTCAAATCCATCATCTTCCAATCTCAACTCTATCCCTTTCAGAACTATATCCACCACTCATTAAAGCATCATCTCCAAATATAGCTCGCCTACTAGATCCAGGTGGAGCAGCTTCTAACATTCTTGGTCTATCATCCTCATATGATTCAGAAGTATCGGATTCACTATGATGATGACGACTTCGACCATGTTCTTCTCTTTTACGATTACGTCTTTCGCGATTTTCACGTTTTGCACGACGACGAGCACGATCTGCTTCTTCTTCCCTTTCTTCTCTAGCAGCTGTAAAGATGATTAGTCATTTACTCAATCTATAAATCTCAGAAGAACATACCTCGAATTTGTTGAGTAGCAGTAGCGTAAGCTTGAATTTCTTCACGACTCAAAACCCTAAGTACAATCACAAAGTCATCCCTAGCTTCAAATCTTTCCTTTCCAACTTCTAATGCAGCTGGATTGACCAACTTTCTGGCAATCTTAGTCCAACGTGCATCTGGAGGTACACCATCTTTCTTGGCATCTTTCAACGGAGCAACACCTTCACGAATTGGAGCAGGATCCTCGGGAAACTTCTCACGTGGTTGTCTTAAAATACCCTTGATGGCAGGTTTTTCAGGTTTCTCCTCAACTTTCTCCCTTGGCGGTGAAACAACTCGAAGTTGTTTATTTTCACCTGTTGTAGGTGCTAATGGTTCACGTCGACCTCGCTCTTCACGGTTGAGTTCAGCTCTCAATTCTGCTACCTCAGTCATATCTTTGGTGATCGATCTTCTCCCAAGTGGCTTACTGGCTGGTGCCAAAGTAGGTTCTTGAGCGGATTGTTTAGGAGCCAATACTGGTACAGGCTCCTTATCAGCAGGAGGATCTTGATCAGCAAGTGCAGCTTTCAATGCTTTCAGGTCCATAGTATCTCTAGGATTGAATGGTGCGCTTGAAGCTCCAGATATACGTCTAGGTCTTCGATGATGATTTGTTCCTTCATCCGAGGTGTCTGAATGAATATCCTGAGTAGCACCGGTTGATGCTACGTCACTACGAGGACGATCATCTTGCGAATTTAGTTTTTCCTTAGGATTGCGACCGGTCAAGTCGACAAAATCGTTTTCTGGCGATCGTCTATCTTTGCCATCTCTAGCAACGTCATGTGGATCGGGAGAAATTTCTTCTCGACTTGTTTCTTTTCTCGGTTGAGGTAAATCTTCTTCTTCGCGAGGGCGTGGAGGTAATGGTGGTGTAACTTCACCTTTATCTCTGTGAGCTCTCTCTTTGGGTTCTCTACCGATTGATTCATTAGATTCTCTCCCGTCGTGATGCATTCTTTCCCTCCTTTCCTTGCGATCTGGCTTATCAGATTCAGAGGAATCCCGAGAATCAACACGTTCACGTCTTCTGCGTGAATCATCGCTGTAATCCTTGCGTCTTCTTTCATCATCTCTATCATCACGGTCATCGGGCATCATAGTATTTGCCATGGCTCCCAGACCAAGAGCAGCAGAAGCAATGCTAAGTCCTGTTGCAATCTTCTCATGGGTACTAGACTTCTTCTCGCGGCGATCCTCCTCACGTTCATTTCTTGGGGATCTATCGTGTCTATCGGATCTTTCGTGTCTCTCACTTCTCTCACTTCTCTCTGTCCTTTCTGCCCTACTAGCTGGTCTTTCTGATCTTTCGGCTCGACTGGCCGGTCTTTCTAATCTCTCGTTTCGACTGACTGGTCTTTCTGTTCTCTCGGGACGCAATCCAAAACCACGTTGCTCAACAGTATCGTCATATCTCTCATGTCTATGTTGTGGTCTTCGCTCTCGCATTTCTTCATCTCGTGATCCATAGTATTCATCTCTAGGGGGATGCCTGATATCTCTCTCTTGGTACGTAGAAACTGGTCGCCTGGTGGAAGTTCGTCGTTGAGATCCTTCACTCTCATATCCCGCAGGTGGATCCATGCGCATCGGGCGCTGAACTGGTTCAATAGGTGCGACATGAGGAACGGGCATTCGAACGGCGGCTGGTTGAGTATCCCATGATTGAATTCTGTCAAATCCACGAGTAGATGGTGGTGGACCGCGCTCCCTCGTATCATAAGATCTTGGGGACTGAACAGTCTCACCAAAAACAGTGGAACCCGCCATGCTAGCACTAGATGGTCTGGCTGATCTAGTATCAAAACTGTCCCTACGGGAATGTCTTGGGTTGCTATTGTTTAAATCGTACTGAACCAAATCCTTGGGATTTGTATATCCATATCCATCCTCGCCATAATCATCCGCAACGGTATCAGGGTGTCGTACCAAGTTGCCTGTGTAGACTGGTCCTCGAGGTTTCGTAATAGTGGTTGTTGTTGTTGCGTATGCTGGAGTGGATAGTGGGGTATACGTTGATGCAGTTATTGGGGTAGGTATGTATGTTGAAGAAGTTGTTGGGGTAGGAACATACGCTGGAATGTCTCTGCTACCAGGAATACCAATTCGAAGATGGCTTGGTTCTCTGTGTCCTTGGGATTCTCTGGTCAATCTGCTCACATCGGCATTATCCATAGAAGCACTATATCTGTTGTGGTGGTGAGAACTTCTATCGTTTCGAGATGAAGCTGGAATTGTATAATATTCCTCTTGGCTAGAGCGATATGGATTCTTGATGGATGGACTGGCAGGTCTCACACTCGAAGTATGAACAACGGTTGGATGCTTTGGAATTGAGGTGAAAATGGTATGAGCATTAGGTCGAGAATCAACCGTATTGCTACGAGTGCGACTACCAGAACGATGATCGGGTTTGACTTTGTATGTTGTGGTAGTAATCGGAACATTGGAAGAATTAAAGCTTGAGCTGCTGCTTCGAGGGTTTTCGTGTCGAGATAAGGGTACGACATGATGATGGTGAGAATGTGATCCCGAGGAATGATTGTTGTATGACAAGTCAACTGGGAGACTTGCCCGCGCAGGATTGTAAGTTGGTGACCTTGGTCGTGTATGTCTGGTGTATCGGTCACTCATTTTTGATTATTTTTGTACTGAACTAATATTAAGTGGTGTGCAGGAGTTTGAAGTTCGATTTATTTGAAAACCTTTGAAGTTGCGGTTGATGTAGCGACAGATAAGAGTAGAAAGTGGGAGGAATGATGACTCGAAAATGGCCGCCAAAAATTTGGACTCGACTTTGACTCGATATTGTCAGCTTTGGCGTAAATTTTGGTCTAGCGAAAAGCAGTGTAACAGTTAGCTAATCAAGATATAATGTATAATGAACGCCGCTGCCAGCTCAATTCTTCACGATAGAAAAGGTGTACAATCAGCGGAAGTGGTGGTAACAAACATTAAAATCGTAAAATAAAATGTCCGGACTCGAGGATGCAGGTCTTGGAAGTCTAAGGCTACCAATGACCAGCAGACGGATAGCTGCAGAATGAATATGCTTGCTGACTGCAGCCAAAAGATTCGAATTATGTTTTGCAGATATTTTATTTTGTGGTGATGAGTGGTGGTGAGGCGACGAAACAAGTAGATATGGGGTAATCGGTCGTAGGGTTAATGAGCTGAGGGGTGATAATGTGGCGCTTCAGTTGCCTGGTGGTGTGTGTTTGAGTGCTTGAGTGTTTTGGATGATCAACCCCGCCGAGTAAGACTTTTTTGCAATTGGTTTCGTGGATTGGTCGAGGTCGCACAAACAAAAATAGATTGAGGAGTGTGTGAAGGATGATGAAGAAGATAAAGGAGGACGACGATGAGGTTTGGTTTGTTGTAAAGGTTGTATTGTATTGTATGTATGTAAGATTAATTTGAGGATGTGGGTAAAGGGAAAAAGTACACTCTGTAAAGACGAAATGAATAATAAGAAAGAGGGAATTATAAAGAGTGTGATTTGATATCTTGTTTCCAAGGTTCCGCTTCGTCTCTTGCCTTTTCTTCTCCCTATTGCTTAGTATTCCGTCCTTCTGTTCACCCAGGAGATACGATCCAATGATTGAAGAGAAAAAGAAGGCTTTCGAAGAGTGCGAAACGTGTATGGAACTACTTTTGCTATATTCAGGAAAAATGAATGAAAGTATACCTGGTTGCGACAAGACTTTTAGTCTTCAAGATGTGGAGTTGTCACTTCTTTTGTGAATCGTGATATTGGACGGGTTGAGTTGGTGAGGGTTGTATGTTATGGCTTGTTATGGCTTGTTATGGGTCTTTTTTTGGATGAGATTGCGCACAGATGCATAGATTACAGACATTGAGATTCGTTGAACCCTTGACCATGACGTTTTTTCTTGGATGAGGGAACCGAAAGTTGATCCATGTTCAATTTTCATGATGGTGTGGGAATGCATCACAAGTACCTAGGTACCTAGTGAGTGATGAGATAGGTGAGCATGAGAGTAAACGGCTGATTGTAGTGATGTTTCAAGCAATTGCTCTTTTAACAGCTCAATTTCAGGGCTGACTTCTCTATTGGATCAATCAATTATTTGGCTAATATTTCTTCATCAATCAATCCCTTTTATACTCCATTCTAGTATAGGAAATACCTCATACCTCATATACCATATATCATCTGTTATATACCAGATCTAGAACAATGTAACTATTCTCGCTTCAGGCATCCTTCCTCCCCCTTTTCCCTAGACTCTCGATTCTCGAATAACAACAAAACAACAGATAGATATCCTACTCTCCGAACCTAACCTCTCCGCATAGGTACCCTTCTGCTGATCAGGCACAAGTACGGAGATAGATACAACTTTCTCTACCTACCCACCTAGTTCTACCATACATATCAATCAATCAATCAAATCATCTATCTACCTACCTAGTATTTCCACACCAGCCAGAATCAAATTATCATTATCATTATAACACTGGTGACGGAGGTAAGTCTCAAAGGGGTTTATTCATTCATTCATTCATTCATTCATGCAGGGCTCAGTTCATTGGGCTGCAGATATCCCCCACTATTCTGATGCCTTACGGGCTATGGTGCACGGCAACTACCAGTCAGTGAGTGTAGAAATCCTCCGAAAGAAAATCAAATCGAACGATATTATTATTATATTAAAATTTGAAACCTTTTGCCCCGCTGCCATGTCTTCACCGAGTATACAACTGATAACTGCAGCAATTGTTCTTTGTGTCTCTTTCATGAATCTTGAACGTTGCTAAGTTCTAACTACCGTAACCCAATGGATTTTTCGACGGCGTGGGGGAAACTAGGACACTCCCGTTTTTAGACAATGGACATTGAGAGTCTGAGACCAATTGTGATTTTCGCCTATACCCGTTTAAAAGTATGGTTAAGAATCCGAAGTGGTTTTGGTGTGTCGAGTCCACCAGTCCTGACGCTACACTTTTCTCCGGCTCTTTATATACCTAGTACCTACCAAATTATTCTAAAGTGCTAAAGCACAAATCAAATTGTTCACCCAAAGACCTGTGCACATGACATCATTCCATCCAATTTCTTTCTCTTTCTCTTTCTCATCCTCATCCTCATTCTACGAAAGAAAGCTAATCCAAAAACTAACGTGGCTTATATAACCCCCATACCCTATAACAAAGGTAGAGTACGAGCTTCAAATCTTCAACAACCAAGGAGATTCCTAGAGATCCCATCCGAAACGAAACGAAACGAAACGATTCAAACCAAACGAACCATTCTCAACGTTCAACGTTCTTTTTCAGATCTTCACTGCAGATTACTGTACAGTTTACCGACAATCAGTGGCAATCCCTTCTATACATACCAGCCAATACCTGTACGCCGAGTATACAAAGTAGATACATACAAGCCTTGAAGCATACAGAGTACAAGCCTTAAAGTATACCTACATACAGAGTAAATCATCCTCTACGGAGCATTTTCCAACTGCTCACTCGCCCAGCTTCTTCTTCTTCTTCTTCTTCTTCTTCTTCTTCTTCTTCTTCTTCTTCTTCTTCTTCTCGTGCGTGCCCCAGTCTCCAGATCAGATCCCCACAATGAAACCAGGATTATCCCGAGAAGATCGATTGAGTTTTTTTTTTGTTTTGATTTCTTCGGAAGTAACCCTTTAATTCTGCGAGATAATCATTATTATTGCCAAACGCCCAATTATTAATATTAAACTTCCTTTGGGCAAATTGTGTTGAATGCACTCGATCTTCGGATAGTAGATGGAAACCTCCTAGATCATTTTGGATCTATCACGTGACTATAGATTGGTGGTATTATTATCCTATGCTATGAACATTGCCGTGATGGAGTTATTATACCTACCTAGATAGATTATTACTAACTGAGCATTTATACATACATACAAAAATATTCTCCAACCAAAAAAAAAAACAAAAATCTTCAAAGCAGCTTGGATTGAATCAGTAACAAACAAGATCTCTCTAACTTATAAGAGCCACCCATCTTCACTCACGAACTTCACCCAAACTTCCAGCCAAGTGGGTCCATCCCGGCCGTGACAGCCCGATTCGATTTTGTCTAAGATCGAAGTTGATGAAGTTGATTTGCTCAGTATGCGCAGCTTCTACTGATCTGTACAATAATGTCATCGAAGGCAAGCTGAGTGAGGTACAATAGAGCACAGTACATACATACTCCATACCTACTAGTAAAGGCGCGTGATCCAAGTACGGAGTAATAAGTACGCAGTAGTTTTAGCTGCAAGGACACGAACGGGAGGGCTGTACTTTACATACTACTACTAGATACCTAACAGACGCTTTGCATTGTATACGTGTATATTATATTATATTATATTATGTAAGCGGGAAATATCCGGCGGCCGACAAGAGATTTAGACTTTGAGAAATAGCGAGAGAGAGACGGCTCGCGGTTGAAGTTTGAGTAGAGCGGAGTGGAGTTGGAGTGGAAATATTTCATTAAAATATTTATTTATTTGAGTTCACTAACCGCCGGTCGATACTGCACTGACTTCAATCAATCCACTCACTCACTCATTCATTAAAATCTTCACCTCCATTCAAAATCTCAGCCTCATATTAATTCCAATACCAATTTCAATTACAATTCAACTCCAATTCGAAATCGAAAACTCAATCTAAATCAATCTAAATCTAAATCCAATCACCAAATAAACTTTCCTCGTGTTACGACGGCTTCTGGCCTCGTATCATATGACCACGTGCGAAGTCATGTGATCCCTTCGATCCCTTTACCGAAGGGATCGAAGGGACCGAAGGAACGATAGGCATGTAGGTCTATATAATCGAGATGGATTTCCTTTGTATAGAGCTTCGTGCTCAAGATCAATCATCTAGTATACTCTACTATTAGTTACGAATTGCATTATTGTCATTACTTTAAGTCCCTGCTTGACGCCTAGTGTTACGAGGTTTGCCGTCTAGATCACGTGGAAGTGCTCTAGGCTCTCGAAGTAGGTTTATAACTAGGCGTCAAGCAGGGACTCGAGAGTAAGGACAATAATGAGATGCGAATTCATAACTAATAGTAGAGTATACTAAATGATTGATCTTGAGCACGAAGCTCTATACAAAGGAAATCCATCTTGATTATATAGACCATCGTGGCATGCGTCCCAGTGCTCCCAGTTGTCCCAGTTGTACTGGGACAGCTGAGCCTACTGGGATCCTCATATCACATGATGCTAATCACGTGATGTTAGGTATGTGAGATCCGTCGTAACACCTAGTTATAAACCACCTCGAGAGTCTAGAGCACTTCCACATGATCTAGACGACAAACCTCGTAATATTATATTATATTATATTGAATTAAATTATATAAAAGTATATATAGAATTGTTAAAAGGAATAGAAGTTACCGGTACTAATCACGTGTCGTGATTAGTAATACGGTTACCTAAACAGGCTAGATTAGACGAACCATAAGCAGGCATATTGGTCCCCTCCGAGGATACAAAGAGGAGATTAATATGCCTACAGACGTAGTAATATAGTCAATATAGAGGCCTCTTCCACCCAATCTTTTAATAAGAATTAAGATTTTATACTTAAGTTTTGTGACGCCTCACACCTCCGGGTCACGTGGCATGCCCCGTTTGTATTTAATCATAGGAAAACTCTCTACTCTTGTTTTCCTTCTTCTTTTCTCCTTAGCTTAGTATTTTCTAATACAAGATACTTTACCCAGTATTCTTGAGTGTGACAAGTTTATTGTTACGAGGTTTGCCGTCTAGATCACGTGGAAGTGCTCTAGGCTCTCGAGGTGGTTTATAACTAGGTGTCAAGCAAGGACTTAAAGTAATAACAATAATATAATTCGTAACTAATAGTAGAGTATATTAAATGATTAATTTTGAGCATAAGGCTCTACAAAAAGAAATTCATACTGAATATATAGATCCTCGTAATTCTTGGATCATTACAGGTCACTAATGATCTAAGGTGATCCAGTATACTTATTCATATGCCCTGATGGTGTGTGTATATGAGTTTTTAGGGTGACCGAAATCTCATATTAAATTGAGCGAATCGTAACAGATTTACATATGGCCCAAGCTTACGAAAACAAGTCAGCTGTTACCATCGTAACACAAATCATCTACCCCACCATCGTATTGTTACTTCCAAAATCAGAATTAATATACCTTATTCTTCCTCTTACCCACACAATAAAATCCGGCATGGTGTAGTGGCTAGCATTTCCGCCTCTCATTCTTTCTATCCTTTCTGATATACAGAAGAGAAGTGATACAGGTCGCGGGAGACCGGGGTTCAATTCCCCGTACCGGAATTCATTCTTTTTTTTTGATTTTTGGAGTTCTTTGAGTTTTTTTAGGGGGAGGGGGAAAGGACAGAATAGATAGATGGATAGGGTTTTTGAATTTATCTTTTTGGTTTTGGGATTGAAGTTTCTTTCGTCTTCTTTCTTTCGCTTTTACTCACTTGTAGTCTCATAGATTTATATTAATAGCCGCTTAAAAGCCTTTCAAATAAAACATTTTGTCACGAATCACGATTATTATAACACAATAAAAGCAAGTACGGAGGTTTGGGCCGCTGTTTCCGAGGGGGTCCTTATCGATAAGGAATCCTAGGACAAGTGTCCTAGGATAAAATATGTCCCAGGATAATTAGTATCCTAGGACAAAACGATTAAGCAACTATGTAGGCTTAGGACAAGTGTCCTAGGACGTTATTCATCCTAGAATAAAGTGTCCTAGGATAATATTTGTCCCAGGACAATTATCCTAAAAGCTATATTATCCTAGGATCAGAATCATCCCAGGATTAGTGTCCTGAGGCCTTCAAAGGATCACATGATAAATAGACTAGATAGTCTAGTCTATCCAGTCTAAGGGATAGACCGAATAGACCAATCTATCCAGACTATCCAATAGTATTCAGAAGTATATAGTTAAGATAATTTCATAGTTTAGGAGCTTCGTGCTCAATTTAGTTATCAATTAGTTTACCTACATTCTACTTGATCTAGTAACGACTTCACTTCCAAGTGAATACCAGTGATAAAGCCTTAACCCACAACTACCAACCAGACGAAACCTCAGGCAGCCGCTGCCTCCAGTACAGCATCGTTACACATTTATTGATTGATTTATTATATAATGTTACGAAGTTTGCCGTCTAGATCACGTGGAAGTGCTCTAGGCTCTTGAGGTAGTTTATAACTAGGTGTTACGCCGGGTAACAAGAAAACGCTCACGTGCTACCAATATCATGTGACTGGCTCAGTGAGGATCAGCAAGCTCAGTACTGAGCCATACTGATCCTACTGATCAGCTAGAACACAAAGGTCTATATAATCAAGATGGATTTCCTTTGTATAGAGCTCCGTGCTCAAGATCAATCATTTAGTATACTCTACTATTAGTTACGAATTGCATTATTGTCATTACTTTAAGTCCCTGCTTGACACCTAGTTATAAACCACCTCGAGAGCCTAGAGCACTTCCACGTGATCTAGACGGCTAACCTCGTAACATATAGGTAACTTAATTCATTTTCATTTGTTATATTATTATTCTATATAGAGTATCTATCTGTAGAGTCTTAAGGTCTACGACTCGTCACTCGAGTAATAATATAATCTTTCCACCTAATCCCTATGAATCTTACAAGATTCCTACATTCCTACATTCCATCTATCTATCCATCTATCTATCCATCTATCTATCCATCCATCTATCCATCCATCTATCCATCCACCTCCTCACTCTAAAAGTCGTCTCAACCCTCTACCCACATCCACTCACCCGCTATCCCTACCCCTATCCCCATCCCTCTCCTACCTCAATCACTAAAAAAATAATAATTTCCTATTGTCTATTTCCTCAACATAAGATACTTAAATAACCACCAGATGAATTAAATTAAATCAATCAAATTAAATAAAATTGAAAAGAATAGAATCAAACATAACAACCACATTGAATTAATTCACTAAACTACCAACTACCTACTTAACTTATCAATAACCCACATCACCCACCACCGCATCACCCAACGACCCCATAGCTCACTCACTCACTCACTCCCCCAACTCAACTCAAAAAAAATAAACATAAACTACAAAGAATGAAAAACCAAACCCGAACCCAAACAGATGAAAAAGATAAAACGCCTCCAACTCCAATAGCCAGGCACCTATCAAAACAAAACCATTCGATCATCGCCTATTTGCTTAAGCAAGCAACCCTAGCAACCAAAAAAAAGACACAAAAATATTCGCTCGCTCGCTTGCCTCAAAAATGCATATCAACTACTTTCTGTCTTTCTTTCTTTCTCTAATCTTCTCTTCTTGCCATTTAATACTTCCATTCCCGTCCATCAAAGATCTGATTAATCCTAATCATACCTATAGAGAGAGCTACAATAAAAGGCTCGTGACTATTGAAGAAACACAGTCCCCTAGCATAGCACAAACATCATATCACCTCATCCTACCGTTCAAACTCTAGCACTTTCTGCGTAGCCGAACTAGAACTTCTATCCCTCCTTGAATCTCCTGAAATACTAGGCATCAAACCTCCATTCTTATTTTGTATCCCGGTCGCTTCAACTTTCTCAACACCACTCTTAATACTACCAGCCTCTGCATCCAATCCTTCTAATAAATCTCTATCTTCACTCCTTACACTTCTTCTCTCAGCATCTCCACCATAGCCACCTGAAACTCTTAATCCATCATCTTCTTCCTCTTCATCCTCATCTTGTACACCAGGTCTATGAACTGCATTCCTTTCCAATTCCTTTTGAGCTTCATCCATTCTTCTCCTAACCTCTGCAGCGACTCTCATTCCATCAGTAACAATATTATCCAATACACCCCTAAGTCCTTTTGAAGGTGGTACCACACCAGCAGAACTAGGACCACTGACAACATTTGCCGCAGCATTTGCTGCTGATTTACCAAATCCAATACTTGTGAATGTGGTTAGGGAAGAGGAAGAATTTGTGGCATTTGAAGTTGAGGCCATCTTATCTAAGATACGGAAGGAAGCTGGGAATGAAGATTCGAAGAATTGTTCTAGGAGTTCGTCGGCCAGAACAACCATACGGAAAGTGGGAAGAGTTATGTGAAGTGGTTTTGATGGATCCAGAGCAGCATTAGCTCGTTCTGATTGTGCTTTAGAAACACTTCGAGAAGGTGTCGAAAGATTGTTAGGTTTATTGGATGGTGGAGGAATAATTGGAAGACTAATTTCCTTTTTGGTTTTCTTGGAGTCGGTACCGAGATCTAAGAGATCTTCTTCTTCTTCTTCATCCGAATCATCCGAATCACCAACAGCAAATGAGTTAGGATCGGCAAGGCCATTTGTACCATATGAGGCATCTTCTGCTTTGTCTTCGCTTTCTTCCTCAATTTCAGCATCTTCCTCCTCATCTCCAACATTTTGTGGATGATCCGGATCAGCATACTCAAAACAGCGTCTGATGAATGCGCTCACGCTATTCAAAAATCTTTCTTGTGTTGTTGTATGTGGACCATTGAATTGTGCGGGGTTACCAGCCTCATATTCACTCAACCCAACCATAGATGGTGAAGGTGTTAAAGATCCATCTAAACCTCTTCGAGAGAGAAATAGTAAAGCTTCAGATATTCGTAGAATACCCTCCCTATCAACCTTTCCATCTCCATCATCATCATACAATTCAAAAAAGTAAGTAATGCTTCCCATAATATCACCCTTACCCTTGATGTGAGCCAATCCCGTTACAACATTTTGTAATGTCAATGCGGAATTCATATCCACATCCCATCTCCGGAACAATCGTTGCATGAATTCGTGATCGGCTGGTTCGGGATTACCAAAGCCCCAAGGCGAAAGTGAAATATCTTTACGACGGAAAGAATTGCCAAAGTAGGAATGCTTCTCCTTCTCGAGTTCCTTTTCTTGTGGTGATGGCGAATCGGATACAGCCCATCTAGTTATACCGGCAAGGAATTCTCGGAAGCAATCATAATCCATCAAAGTAGGACTTGGACCAAGTCCCACCCTACCTTTTTCAATATTTTGATTCTCTCCTAAGCCAGAAATAACGCTGGCTCTGTTGGCTTTTGCTCTCCTTTCTTTTTCTTCCTGTATCATCTGATTTCTTTGCTGTCTCTCATATAATACACCATAAAACCTGTCATACAAAGCACCCAACTCCTCAACACTCAACTTCTTGCTGTCCGGGCCTAAGTTTCGTATCGAAGTTCGTTTTGCAAAACTTTCAATACTATTCAAGACAGCATCTTTATGATTCATGCGTTGCTCTGAAATGGTATTTTGTGTGATTCCCGAAAATTCCTTGAAAGCAACAACCATCAACTCCTGGAATCTCGTGACAGCTCGTAATTTGGCGTTCTCGGATTTTGGATGCGCAGACTCATCGAGTTTCGAGAAATAACCTTTCAGCACAGAAATGAAAGCGCCATCATCAGTAGCGTCTAAAAGATCTTCTCCGTTTATGCGTAAAATGGCGAGCCCAACCTGAAACAGAACCTTTGGTCCTTCTAGAAAGAAAACATCTAAAACACGAAATGCAAATACGAGAGGCATAGAATTAATATACAGAGACAAAAACCAAGGAAGAGAAACGACTGATAACTGGACGTCGGATTTAACCAAATGATCCCATAATATTGGCATAGTCTTCTCTACTAAAGACTCAAACACGCGCTGGTCTAGTAGAGTGCCGTACATGGTTTGTGAGTAATATCCGGGTAATAACCTGTCGCAAAGCGCAGATAAAAGGAAGTAAGCTTGCGATTCAGACATATAGATCAAGAGTGCTGCCACAACGATATTCATGGCCTGGCAATATCCGACTTCTTCGTTGGTCCAACTATATGCTGTGAGAACTCGCCGCAATCGATCAATACCTTCCACACTCTGAAACCCAGGGTATTCAGGTAAACTTCGATTGAGATCCTTCTCTATTTCATCAATCGCAAGGGACTCTCGTCCCTCAAACTTCGCTAAGGTGTCTGTATATAGCGTCGGATTTTCCAAGCGCAAAAATAACGATCCGGATGTTTGTTCCCATATTTCTCCTCGTAATCGGTTCGGTAAACCAACTCGAATCAACTTATGAAATGTAGGCTGGCGTATCAATGTAACGTTTCGCCCATTCTCTCGAAGATACTCCCCCCATAGTCTCATCTTGCTTTTGTCCCGTAATTTTCGAACATCACCAGGATACCTGAATAACATTCCAAGTCCCGCATCCGGAATGTCGCCCGTTTTACTGTCGCCTTGTAGAAGATATTCAGAATAACACTCTGCGACAACACGTTTCATCTTCGCAACGTCACCCACTCCTGATTTCAGTCCTTTCTTTAACCCATCGCAAAACCTTTCGCAGGTTTGGCGCGTTCCAGCAAGATTTACTGTAATTTTTTGTTGATATGAGGGTTGTTTCGAGCCATCTTTTGCTGGTGTATTTGCGATTCCATTCCAGGTAGTAATAGCTAGGGCGAACTTCGGTCGATGTCAGCAAGTAGACCGCATGAAAACAAGGGTTGCATACCTGGTAGGATTGACTATGAAGCCGTTCAACTCGCCTTATGGCACATAAAGGCAAAGTAAACCCATTTCCTCCAGGTCCAGCACCATGGGTTTGTCCATTGAATCCGGAAGATATACCCGTACTTGCTGTTTGTAGAAAACTTGTAGGTTGTGTTGAGAAACATAGGTATGCTTCACTCAAGTGCAACTTTCCAGCATAATGAAAGCCTCTATCCCTATCCTTATCCTTCTCTCCTTGTGTGGCATTTGGTGAGTATTGATTCGGTGGGGCTATTGTAAGTTCGGCGGTGATTTCCTGTAGAGGGGTTTGGGAATCTGGTAATCTGAATTGATTGCGGAAAAGGGTAGATTTGGCAGGGTTTCGATCAGAAGCAGAAATATTGAGAGCTTGAGTTGGGTCAATGAATGATTGAGCCTTCTGCACAAAACTTGAGAAATTGAACATTGTTCATGGTATCTGCTGGTAATACAGCTTTATCTGGAGAAGTTTGGTTCTTTACAATCCAGTTGAGTTGAGGGACATCCAGTTCTCAACTTCCGATGTCATCAGCCTCGGCTTATGTAATATAGTAAGCCAATGATAATTCATTGAACGGGCCCCTTAAATACGATGTGTGTTTTAGATTTAATAGCAAAATGAGTCTTATTTGTAATTCACGGATTCTAAGACTGCTGTTTATGATTTTATAAAATTAAAAATTGTAAAAATACATTGTATTATACACCTAGGTAGTTTTATCATTTCTTCTATGAACTTATCTCAAGTCTGGGGCTGGCGAGTCTACTCTTACTACACGGATTTTTGGCATAATGTGTGGAATGAGGAATGATTCGGAGAAGAAAGTGAGCATTATGCTGATTTGAATACTCAGAATGTGGTAATAGATTATGAGGATGTAGATTATAAGGATGTATTGATAGGCTACAGGCTACTAGATATTGAACATTCAACTTTCTCTTTGGTACAATAGAGGTTATGCTTCATAAGCACGAGATCATGGTTTCATCGTCATAACACATCATCAATCATTGTAGTTTTGATTGAGTACTGTTATTTTTTGACTAATATGGCACTTTCCAACAAAATATTACCATAACTATCAGTCATGTCAACACTCTGAATCAAAACTAGTCAATTTCAAACCCAACCACTAACTCCTCCATTCCCTGATACAATTGTTGAATGCTATCATTGAATCCGTGGCCCCTTAAAACTGAGCCTGTGCATTGGTAAATGAAGTATCAATCGTATTTAAATCCTCAGTCAATCTTGGCTTTACATCAGAAGAAAAAATGTCAAGGAGTGCCTTTCCAAAAGCATCAGTTTCCTTTTTCAAATTTTCTAGGTCGCTCGCAACAGTTGAATCGACCCCTGCCGAGGCGAATGTAGATTTCTTTCCTACTAGTGCATTGAGTGCCTGATCGATATCGGGCTTTAGATTGTTGATTTCGCCGAGGATATTCTCAGAGTCGGCTGAGGAAAGAGGGGAGGTGTTGCTGGCATCGGTGGCAGCGTTTTTGATAGCTGAGGTATAGAGTTAGTTTCATTGATATTGGGGCATCTCGGCTTAATTCTCACAAGTCTCCAGAGTCGATTCAGCACTGCTGACTGAAATCAAGCCAAAGAATCCACCATTGTAGTTGTCCACAGCAGTTGTAAGAGCTTTGACGTTGGTATCAATGGTGGTTATATCAGAGAGAATGGTAGCCGGTGTACGCCGAGAAATAGCAGCTGCAGAAACTGCAGATATGAAGAGGATAATGTTTTTGATGGCAACCATTGTGTTGATTTAAGTTAGATAAAAGGAGAAGGATGATTAGTGAATAAGTTTATTAGATGCTGGGAAGAGGAAGCGAGTAGATGATGATTAAAAGTATCTTCCAAAGATATGTATTGGGGTATTTATGTATAAAGATGATGCATAGATGCCATTAGTGTGAACAATACTAAAGCTTCCTTGATTTGATTTTTGTCAAGTAACTCTAGAGGTCCGAAAATACCTTGATCACATATGCTACTTCTGCGAGTAGAGGACATAATCAAACGCTTGCAAAGGCACACATATTCTCGGTGGTACTACTCCAGCTCACAATCCTACAACGACCCCGCTTCTGGAAGTAACATTTTGCTAGTCATACCGTGAGTGCCATGTAACTTTTAGCATCAGGAGACGACCATATCGGTCCTTCGTACCGGTTCTAGATCGAGCCGATATTAAAGTGACCTGAAAATCGGGAGGCTAATAGCAGATGTGCTATGTCATAAATGTTTCTAGAGTAACTTGATAGCAATAAACAACTATAGTGAGCTCATATTTCTCAACTTTTCGCGACAAAGCAACCTCGGACAACCCGATTATTCTTCTGGTGCTTTGGGTGATAATGCTAAATGAAAGCTTCGTTTGTCTCGATGCCTACAATTGTTGGAACTTTCCAATAGCTCAGCCATAACGAACTGTCATACTTGACCAGTATTACCACACATAAACCTAATTAAGACGCCATCATACGTAGCAGATGAGGTGTGTAAATCGATATTGAAAGGGGACTGATTGCCAAGGATAACGGGTGTAGATCTCGAACTAACAGCTGCCCGGCTCTTGTATGTAGCTTCTTTTATGGGTGTGAGTCTGTGAGATGGGAAAGAATGCTCGAGTACCTGGAAATAGGAATGTCATAGGCGAATCATCCAACTATTTGTTGGTAAAGAGGCATAAGAACGGTTTTGAGGAGAGAGAGAAAAGTTCTGAAGCCGAGATCCGCTTGTAGGCCAACCATCTTGAGATTGATGCCGACTTCGGTACCTTGAAGGAGTATTTTTCAATCCATCTAGTATATAAGTCAACATGTGAAGACGAAAGTTGAATTGCCATTACTACCTATCCTTCCTAGCATTGACTGTATCCTCATTTTGTCGCTCGAGATAAAAATGAGCCAACGCGTTTGCGCGTGTGATCATTTGCACTCACGTGATTACGAGGCGGAAACATGAAATCTGCCCCACTCATCATCATAGAAGAGCTCAAGAGTTCGAGACATAGAGCTGAGCAACCTTCTCTCCAGAAAAGCAACGAAATCCACACTCTATACTTGAAAAAGTGGAAAGATATCTTTTCCCCTTAAGGGAACCTCTAAGCATTTCTTCCTGATCACTGACGAAGAGTTCTGAGCAGGTGGATACGTAATGTCTTGATAAGGGTATGGTGCATTGTCGAAACACTATCCTAGAATTCCCAAAGCAGATGAGGGAGGCTTCAAACATCTCCACGTGTGACTATCTGTCATCATGTCTTTGCCTTTGTATCAACCTCCCAGGTCGGCTTCCTGCCACCCTCACTAACCTCAAGTGATTGTGGCTTAATTGCATACAAATTGGCTAAAGATACTCACGGTCCGACCCTTTTATGAATCCAATATTTACAGATTGATGATCAAGCACGGATTCAGGGAGATGTCGACACCCAATCAAGATACCCATACACTTGGCAACAGAGCTCGTATGTAAATGAAATCCATCTACTCAACTTTGACATTGTTCTAATTGTTTCTGGAGATCTTCCGGCTCAAATTGAGAACAGTCGTCGATATGGCGTTTTGAAAGTTACTTTGTATGAAGGCTCCGGTATCTCCATGGTAGACCAATATAGCGATATCTTCCGTAGACTGGAGCACGAACCTTTTCATGAGGAAGAGGAAGCCCAGAAATGGGTGTTTCGGGGTTCAACCTTACATCATCACTCTTTACCATATGCCCTGCTAGAATTTGAACATTTGCAAGTGATTGTCGACGCAATTTCAAGAACCGCGAAGAGTCCATTATGGGCAGGAAAGGATACTTCATACAGATTTGAAGTGTCTAGGGTTGCTGAGCTGTAAGGTTTCTCTTTATCTCAGGAATCCGCAAGCTTTCATGGGACAACAGGACTTTTCCTAGGTGTCGTAAAATTGCATGCTTGGGATGATGAGAGCTACAAATACGGTGGAATAAACGTTACTGCGATTTTGGACCAAGAAAGTTACGCTACCGTTCCAAAATGGCTGGATGTTCAGAATGGGGCTGGTAAAATCCTCATCGGAATTGATTTCAAGGAGCGGAGACATCCAAGTGTGGGATATATCCATTCCTCGGAAACTTTCGACTATATGGAGATTATTGGAGGCAGAATGGGCTTCGCCGTGTTAAGGGTAAGAATGAAAGGGACGAGTAGATGTTTCGCTGTTAGAGAGCTTACAGACGGGCATAATTCTGTAGCCGATGTGAATTGCGCGGTTGTTCCTACTAAGACGAACCCTTTTATCATACCACTCATACGTGTTTTCCAGAATTCGAGAGATTTGTTTCTCTGTTCACCATTTGCCAGTGGTGGGCACTTATTCTACCACCTTCAAAAGGAGCGGCGTTTCAATGTCAACAGGTCAAAATTTTACTGCTCCGAGCTTCTTTGCGTATTCGATCATTTACACGACCTCGACATCATTTATACTAGCATAAAGCCTAGAAATATTCTCTTGGACACTCTGGGACATATTGTATGTGCGATTTTAGTCTCCTGTTGTCAAAATCTACGACCGCTCCAGAATCACGAATTTTGGAATATCCAGCACCTGAAGAACTGCGTGGTGAAAAAATCACGGAGGCTGTGGATTGGTGGACATTAGGAATCTTTCTCTACGAATCCCTGACAGGATTACCCCCTTTTTACGATGAAGACACTATTGAAAAGCATCGCAAAATACTTTTCGAGCCCCTCGAATTCCCAGGACCAAACCTCATTCCTTCAGTAGCCCAAGACGTACTGAACAAGCTTCTTAATCGCAACCCTGAGCAAAGATTGGGGACCAAGGGTGTTTCCGAAATAAAAAGCCATCCTTTTTTTCATGGAATAGATTGGCAGAAAGTACTTCGACGAGAATATGAGCCCGTTTTTCGGCCCAGTTATATTAAAGAATTCTTTAGAGAAGATCGCGACGCTCCGATAAGGCTATTTGGAGGGCAATCACCATGAAAAATTCCAGCTCAAAGAAAAAGCCCAATACAACCAATGATGAAGCAAGTAGATTATCCAAACAGCTAGATAGAGCAGATTCATCGTCTCACGCTCAAATAAGCTCGGACCAAAGTGAAGGATGGGAGTTAATATGGGAAGGTGTATCCCAAAACTTTTACTTCCGTGACCACTACACGGGTGCTATTCAATCAGGAATCATTCGAGTCCCAGAGCTCGAAGTCGATCCCACCATCTCAACCTCACAACCTCCAGAAAATGAGATTCGGATTAATTCTCTCCCCATACGAAACTCGCCTAATCAAACTCAGATGCAAGATGCACTCGAGGTAGCTTTAATAAACGATTATAAATCCGCAATTCCGCAACTTCTAGAATACAGCATAGACTTAATCACTATATTTTCCAGCGACGCTAAAACTCAAACACCACTAGAATGGGCTACCGAGCATGAAGATCTTGATTTAGTGGAATTATTCCTGAGTAAGGGGGCTGATGTAAATTTTACGTCCGCTACCTTCACCAGAAATCCAGCATTAATAAAAGCCGTGGAGAAAGCAAACCAAAGATTGGTCAAAATATTAGTACCCAAAACAAACTGAGTACTTTCTACTAGAGCATTACGTCTCGCTGTGGATCTAAAGAATATTGCAATTGTCAACATCTTGCTAGAACATGGTGTTTGCCCTGATTTCATTGATGGAGACCAACAGCCTTTTAAAGACGCTATCGACTGGAATACCAGGGAATCTGCGGAAGCAAGAATACTCACAGCACCCCTTGTACGCGCCATCATTGCAGACATTATACAAATCACGAGAATATTGCTCCTAAATGGCGCAAATCCAAATATAGATTATCATGACATAGGTCGTGAATATGGATGGCCCTTACATTCGGATCTAATACATATTCCATGTGGAAGAGTCATACAAATAGCTATGCAGTTGAATCGTTATGAGATAGTTGATTTACTACTTGAATATGGAGCAAACATCACCCTTCCACAACCCGTTTGGTTATATCATCGATGTGAGGGTGCACCGAGGAATGTTTATCTAAAGACTACATCTGGATTAAGATCTGCTTTGGTGGGATTCGAGTAGAGGAAACGGGAGAGGGGTTTGATTAGGTAGTTGGGATAGTTGATGGTATGTATGCTGTGATCCTGATCCCTATGACAATATATCATTTTATTATTGCTTGTAATATTTTAACACTCTTTAAATTGTAATTCAACATTATTTAACTTTCTAAGAACATCTCAAATCCTTCCCTCATTACTTTCACACAAGATCCAATAATAATTTCAATCCCTATGTCTAATCTACAAACCCTTTAAAAGTTAAAATATATAAAAGTTGAAAGTAAAATACTAGATTTAGATGAAGGGGCATGAAGATTTATATAGATAGAGTGATTGAGGTCTAGATGTTTAAAAATTAAACAAATAGATAAATAGATTTATAAATAATAAAACTTGTACGGCGATTATCAATCTTAATGAGAATGAGAAAAAGAAAAGAAAAGGCTAGTATAATAAAGTATATAAATAACTCTATAATTAGTCATTTATAGAATAAAACAAAGGAGCCATTCATTCTCTTCGACCCCTCAACTGAACCCCAACCACTGGTCAATCTTAACATCAAAACGTGCATACCATTCATCATCATATGTCATAACCCTTCCTATCCTCCCTAAAACCCTCCTCAAACCTCCACCCTAAGCCAAAGCACCCATCGGATCCCAAAGACTCAAAACCTTCGGTTCCAAGCCCAAAACATCCCTAACCTCCTTCGCCACAAACCTCGGTTCCACCACCGCCTGATAAACAAACTGATCCATCCACTCATCACTCATAACAAACCAACCATGATCACCCGCACCCTCACCCCAACTATTCTGCACTCTCCACCTTACACTCTTTCCCTGGTCATCCAGATGCACCGCCGTAAGAACCATCGCATGAGTCATTGCGCTTTCTCCCGTCATGAGACGTTGTGCTTTCGTCATGCCAAGTTTAACATTAAATCCTAATTCGTAATCGATGAGGTTGACGTCCATGATTCCTTTTTGGGAATTGCTGTATTTTCCTACGTCGGATCCGAAGAAGATTGGAAGTCCGACTTTTAACATGGAGATGCAGGCGGTTTTCATGGTGGTCATGTCAACATTGACATAGGTGATGGGACGACCACCTACGATGTTACCGAGACGATCAACCGTGAGGAGGGTATTGTATTCATTTCTTGGATCGTTGACTAGAGAAAACATATCATGGACGGTAGAATTTGTGATTCGAATTGATTTTGGAGAATTTAATTCCTTGGCGAATTCGATAGGAGTAGTTTTTAATTCTTGAGCTTTACCATCTTTATCTAGATATTGCCATGTAAAAGCAGTATCAGATGGAGGAGGTGGACCAAGAGCGAGAGTAAGAATGAGATGAATTTGGCGAACCATATTCTCCTTCATATTGTTCAAGATATTTGGAGACTTTGAGGCAGCAGCAGCTCTTAATTTAAGAGCATCTTCTCGAAGTTTGGTTGTGATGATACTATCAATCACAGAGGATGATTGAGCATTGAAGCTATCTGGATAGAGAACTTGTGGTACGAGTCCATATTTATGGACAAGATTGTAAACCCTATGCAAATTATTAGAATCTTGGTGAAGGTTATATCATATAATGAAGAAACATACATATCCCACTGTCCTCCATCACTAACTGGACTTCCCATTAAGTTCTGCACCAATCTTCCATCTAAATCCTCTCCAACTGTATCAAGAATCTGTTCTAAAAACCAATTTGCCTTTTCTAATTTATCCCAAAAGAATAAATATGCTTGTGATAATTCAAATTCTTTAAGATTATGTCGTTTCATGATTGCAACTCGGAAAACATTGGTAGAAGCAAATAACCAACATCTTCCAGATTGTCTTTGATTTGTAATTGGTGCTCCTTCAAATGGAATTTTAACTGAGAAAATTTGTTGATCTTGATTGATTGTTGAGCGGGATGTTAAGACAGTTCGTGGATCTGCAGAGCTGAGAGCACTGAGAGCGAGTCTGGTTGAGTTGTTAGTATATTGAATTTGAAGTATGTAGAACAGCAATATTCCTTTCCCTTCCTCTTCCCTCATTCTCTTCTCTTCTCTTCTCTTCTCATCCTTTCCCCACTCCCTTCCCTCATTCCCCTCCCCAGCCCAAGCTTACACCTTTCACACCTCAAAAAAACAAAACAAAAATAGAATCAAAACACACCTATTCTTCGGATCACTCAAAAGTTCCTCTTCCCATTTCTCCACCCGCGCCGCACTTAAAGGAATCCACTGTGCACGGGAAGACCGAGCCTGCGAGGTCCCCTGAGCTTGCGAGGTCATAGACTGGGCTTGCGAGGTTTGAGAGATACAACCCTTCTCATCCACACAAACATAATCATAATCATCCTTCATCTCCAAATTTCGAATCTTTTCAAGAAGGATTCGTTGGGTTTCCGTTGGAGATGGGGAGATGGAATTATAAGGAGGAGATTGGGGGGTTGAGTTTGTTGAGCCCATTTTTGGGGGATTCTGTTCTTTTTTTGGTTGGGGGGTGGTGAGGTTTGTGGTGTGAGGAGGTTTATGGTTAAGATGAGGAGGTGGGTGGGTGTGAAGTGTGAAGTGTGAGGAGTGAGTTATAACTAGGAAGGTGAGATCACCAGATGAGGTAAAGTGAGGTGAGGTGAGGTGCTATGTCGTGATTGCGTAGAACGTTGGTCCAAATCAAAGAAGTTTAATAAAACACATAAACACAAACATAAACATAAACCGAATCTTCAAAGGTTTAAATCAATCAAACCAATCAATCAAATCAAATAAATAAATAAGAAGGAACAACAAGAGCACATCAATCAATAACCTTCCTTAAAAATAAAAGAATCAATCAATCTAAGTAACAGCACTCTACTCACGTTACCTTATCTATCCCTCAATCAATCAAATCAACCCCAACAAATAGCACAGCAGGAAAAGAAACAGAGTTAAAGCTTGAACTTAGAACTTGGAACTTAAATTTCTATCAAGGTATCAAGATATCAAGATATCATGTATCATGTGCACAATTGCATAACTATCTAGATAAAGAAGGTAAGTAAGATCTTACCTACCTAGTAGCACCTTGAGTATTTTGGTGCGAACCATCAAGGTACGGATGAATCAATCAATCAGTCTTAGATATACTAGGTACTAGGTAGAGAGCTGATAACCCCCACTCTTTATGATATGTTTAATTGATATTGATTGACGGATTTAAGTATGTATGATTTTATGATTATCAAGATCGATCGATCGCGAGGGAGGGAAGGAAGGAATGGGAGAGAGTTGGATTATGTTATGTGCATTCTTGATTATGGCTTGTACATTGCTAAATTCACATTCTTCAAAAGGTGTCACCAGTCATTCACCAGTCACACAATATAATTCAATCAATCAAAAATAAAAAAAATCAAGTAAAAGACAAGCAGCTTGTTTTCATTCTGGGTCTTCTCCTATTTACACAATTACAAAGTAGAAAAAGACCTCAGCATCAAGGACCCTCTCAACCATCATGTTAAAACCACCAAAGTAGTTCTAACAAGAATAGCATCAAAGGACTACTTGAATACGTCGTTAAACTAAATAATCCGAAAGACCAGATAAAACCCGATCGTCCAAATTTCATCCCTCATTAATCAATCTGAATCCATATCTACCGCCATCATACGTTTCAAATTTTCCCCTCCGAAAATGCACAAAGAAATCATGATGAAAAAAGAAAAAAGAGAATCCACCCTGGAAGGCCACTGGATATTTGCCGGTAGGACGCCATGGTATGACTGGTACAGGAAATCTATAGACGGGATCCGTGGACGGTCTTCATGTCAACGGCGATCTCACGACCTCCATCGGCAACGACCATGATGCGGATGCTACCACGTCCACCTTCGAAGGCCTCCTTGAGACGGGTCCAGAGGTTGGATTGGTCCAAAACGGGAATGGCTTGCTTGACATCTCCGGTCTCGGTCATGGCGACAACTGGTGGAATGTTAGAACAAGATAGTCATATAGGTGATGAAGAAAACTTACCACTGTGGTCTTGGAGATCGAGAACACGGTATTGCTTGAAGACTGGTCCCAACATGGTTTGGACAACGACGCTTGGGCTTGGGTTGGCGATGAAAGATGACTCTTCATTCAATTGTCTGGTGAAGAGGTCGACACCCAAGTAACGGTGTTGGCCAGTGGCAGCGGAGGTGGTGATACGGATAACCTGGCAAGGACGTCCTTGGAGCATCAAGAGGTCACCCATACGGATGTGGTGGCAAGGGATGGTAACGGTGTTGGCAGGTTGCTTTGGAGCAGCAACGGCTGGGGCTCCGGCTAAATCGAGAGAGTCAATTGGGTCCTGGCAAATATCCTTCCCGTTCCCGTGTCCATGGAAATATTCCCCACGCAAGGAGTGGTAATTCCCTGAATTTTTTTTCTTAGGGTACATGAGGGGGTTAGAGAGAAAAACAAACAAAGATTCTTACCTTCTTCATCGTAGTAACCCATTTCGATATTGACTGGTTTGAAACTTGTGGTGGATTTAGGTGCAGGTGGAATGTACTTGACGAGTTGACTTTCACGAACTTCTTCGGTGAAAGTAGAGCGAGCTGGTGTGCGAGGTTGTTGGACGTGAGCTTCCTCGAATTGTTCTTCGTGGAAGGTTGACTTGGGTTTGTGAGAGTGAGTAGATCTAGGAGCTGGGACGATAGTAGTCTCGGTGATGCGGGTCTCCTCGATGTATCTGGGTTCAGAAGCACGAGATTTGGGAGGGTCGACGATGGCAGAGTCTTCCTTGAAGCTTGGTGAAGTTCGAGAACGGTATTGACGTTCGACGAAATCGATGTTGGTCTCGGTAGGACTCTTTAAAGGAACAGAGTATTGAGATTCAACTTCGGAAGCTGGGTAGCGAGGTTGACGTGTACGTTCTAATTGGAAGTCTGCCTCAGAAGACGGACGACGTTGATGGTGATGATGGTGTTCACGACGGGGAAGTTCGATGTTAACTTCGGTGTGTTTATGGTGATGATCACTTTCTCTATCGAAAGAAGCTTCGAAGTGTCGGTGATGGTGTGGGGTGTTAAGATCGAAGGAAGCAGAGTGGTGTTTGTGTTTGTGTTCTGGTCTAAAAGAAGGTAAAGAAAACCAAAGGTCAGTTAATGAAGAAAATTAAACGGTGAGCGTTACTGTGTCAACACTAAAAGAAAAAATAGCCCATGTATTTTGGGGTAAAGGGGGGGCTGGGACTAAACCGAAGATCGTTGGACTGTGCGTCGTAATAAAAAACAAGAAAGCTGGCAAATTTGTCTCAGAAGGACCCAATTAATTGTTAATTGGGGACTGGGACCTTCTGATATGGCCAGATCCTAAAATGTTGTATAACTGAGAGAAATAGGAAATGGTACAAAAATTGTGAAAAAGAGGTGAAGGGGGTGCAAATGTAGGTGTAGACATTTTGTGGGTGTTTTTTTTTGGTAAGTCGATTTGGAAAGTGTATGTGTATTGTTTTTTTTTCTTCTTTTCTCTTCTCCTTTTGATTTTATTGATAGCGGATTTTGGGGGAAGATGGTGAATTGATTGAACTGGTAAAGAAATGCATTTTTACTACTAACCTGCTGCGTTCTTCACGAATATAAACTTCTTCTTCTTCTACTAGTTCTTGTTCTCGTTCGTGTCGGCTCGGACGGTATTCAGAACGTCGGTCTTCTTCACGGATGATGTGAACTTCTTCTTCTACGTACTCCTCTTGTTGGTGTTGGTGTTCGTGTTGGTGGTGGTGATGGTGATGGTGCTCAGGAGGGGGTGGATGGGGAAGAGTGTGTTGTTGTTCAAGTTGATGATGTTGATGATGTTGTTGTGAGTAAACAGATTGAGCGTCCTCTTCTTGACCTTCCCGTCCGACGCGCTCGTGATGATGGGGTAAAGTGATTTCACCTTCGACGTGAGTCTCGGTGATATGAATAGGTTGGGCAGCGGCGGCGTCGCTTCTATACGACGACGGGAAGATGCTGAAGGGGATCGGGATTCTAGCGTCAAAGTCCAGGTTGACGACCTTTCAATGCGAGAACACTTCTCGAATACCTTTCAGCGTACCGAAAGGATATCACAAGAAGGATCTCTACTTCTTGAGGTAGAAGGAAGAGGGAAGAAAACGTTTTTTGGTTAAACGTTTCTTTACTCGACTTTCAATTTTCAAAAAATTATTTTGAGGTCGTTAAAATGAACAAAAAGTGCCAGAGTATATTGTTATTGCGATGTGCAAAAAAGTAGTGTAGGTAGGTATGAAAGGTGTGTGTACAAAGTTGATTGGGGATTGGGGATTGCGATTTTGAGGTTGTATTTGTGTAGATGTGGGGTGGAGGTGGGAAAAGATGGAAGAAAGTCTCGAAATTGAGATTGAGTGAAGGTGGGAGAAGATTTTTTAGAAAATCAAGGTGGTTGGATATTCAATCTGTGTATTGATTCCCGCAGGGTAATTCAATTTTTAAATTATACGGTATTTTTTGATTTTTTGGGATTTATTTATTTGTTTGTTTACATTCACTTTTTTTTCTTTTTTTTTTTGGCTGGTGTTGTTTATTACTAACTATATTGAGTAATTACCTGCTGATTCAGATAGTTACATCGAAGTGAAGCCAAGTTACAATGCAGAAATTGAAAAATGTAGGGAAGAGGGTTGTTTTATGATGAATGAACAGATGAATAGATAGGTGGGTGGGTGAGGGATGGATGGATGAATGAATGAAGGACTGAAGAGTGATAAAAGTGACTTTTCGTGTGATGAGACGGAAATAAAGAAAAATGATATTTGTCACGCTGGTCACTTTTTTGATGTACCGGCAATTTCATTTTATCTATTGAATTTTGTTTTGTTTTGAATGAATGATAAATAATGAATTATGAATCAGGAAGCTGATTGAAGTTTGGTACGCTCCAATTTCTTTTCTTTGGAATTTTTTGCTACCTTCTCTTTATGGTATGTGTCGTAAGGTCCGTACCAGGTACCTCAGCTACCCCAGATAGTCTAAACATCAATACCAACTGAACACCGAGTTGGATCCATTCGTGAACAAAACTCGACAAGGTACACTTTGAACCATACCGACAATAGTGTTACGGAGTTTCTTCATGTGTTCACTGTTCACTGTTCACTGTTCGCCATTCACCAATACATATCATACATATCATGTGTAAAACATATCATCTGTAAAGCATACCATCACCAACGACGCAATCCATTCATGTATGTTTGTGGCGTTCATAAGAACTTCTCATGCATTTCTTTGGTTCTGCTGTAATCGGTCTCGTCTTGACTTTTTCTTGTCCTTCCATATCGACATCTCTCCACTCTTCTAGACTCCACTTCCCTACTGAATATGGTGTGGAGCATCAGTGGATCTTCGTGTTCATGTTCTCGGCCCCCAGCCATCTACGATGTAGGAGATTCCGTACTCTGTAAGTTTCCGATAGAAGGAATCCTCCGGTTGGATCTCTTGGACTCTTGGACACCTTTTCTGCAAATCAAAACAACCACAGCCACCGAAAAAGGAATCTAGGTAGCCTCACCATTTGGCCGTGTTCCTCGGACCACGTCTAATGTGGATAAGTCACAGTTTCAATAACTCTTTGAAATCATGGTTAAGAATTTAAGTGGTCTGTTGAGAAACCATATCCAATTTCCCTTGAGCTTCAGCTCCTCACAAATGGTGACATCCTTGACATGACTCGTGTCGTGGAATGCATTCATTGGATGATAGGATGAAATGGAGTATAAGCTCAACGTGGGCTTGCCTGCTGTTGTAGCTCCTCTACGGTCTACCCGAGCTTCTAAAGTTCTCACATGTGTGAAAGAACACCCACAGCTCGAATCAGATTTCGGTATGATGCAGAAGGAACATGAATCTAGAGCTTCATAATCATAAATCAATCAATCAATTGGATTGGATAAAGTTCAATTATTCATATGAAGTTGCACATGAAGCTGTCACACTTGTAAGCTTTATTAGATAATTTTGATAACATCTCACATTGTGAGAATTGATTGTAGATACTGAGACTGGTCAGTGATGATAGAGTTGGTTGATAAGGAAAAAGACGCAATTTGATTTACACCTCGGTTCTCCTCTTTTTTTTGTTCCTCCCCTCAGTCTTCCACGTTCACTCCGTCCAAGCTTCAAATTAGTAAGGGGTCTTTTTCCGCTGCTATCAAAGTTATCGAGCTATCTCATTAGCTTACCATGGTAGACCCTGTTAGAGTTCAGGTACCTTGTTCGAGCTCATTTTAAATTTCTGTCCTTTCTAACACAACTCCCGCTTCCGTCTCCCGTCCGAGACTAGCTTATCCATTAGCGTCAAAGCTACCCTACTCCGCAAATTCTTGGCAGAAACATCCGATCCGACCTTTTGAAATTTTCTGATCCAACCGAAGTTTTTCATGTGGCACTGACACTGTGGAACAAATCATGTTACTTTTCTTTTTTCTCTATTGACAAATTGACCGAGCGTAACTCTCCAGCCATCTCTCTTTTTTGAATTCGTCGTCAGTGTTGTATCATTGACATTGACAATTGCCAATTGACACGTACCGAAACACCGAAACTTCAAGAGGTGGCAGGAAAGTCTCCATAAAGTAAATGCTACTACGGTAATTGCAGGTCGGTGCTGCCGACGCGATACAAGGTCTACAATGTACATTAACATCACGGATCAATTGCTCTTTTTCTACCTCGAAATTTCTTTTTCGTTTCATTTTAACTACCTAGGTACTCACTGTAACTGTTACTGTAACTATCAGGCATAGCCACCCCAACCCCGCCCTTTTCAAACACTGGCTCACTAAGAAGCCAGAACGTGCAATACAAGCTGGGACTATTCTCATACCATAGCTTCATCTGCACGTACTCGTTTTTACTATCCACAGCCATCGTATTTTACTCACCGTGTTAACATCCGTCAGCCTTCGTGGCACAAAACTGGCACGGCCACAACCATACCACCGTTTGTTGACGTGCCAGCTTGAGAAGCGAGCCGCAAGGTCTGCACGATGTCGGGCGATACCCGAGGATCCATAAAACACGTCGTCGTACCTTGCTCGGTGTGGTGAGGTGGAGTAGATCCATTCTTCAAGAATCAAGAGACTCCATCAGTGATGCAGTCACTGTCTTTGCTGTGGAAACAACTCAGAGACCTGAAGCTTGAGACTTAAGCCGAGGCATGTTGGTTGACATCACTAGATGTATCATTGTTTACTTTGCTATCAGTCACATTGGACTTACAAATTTCTGCGTGTTGACCTTTTGATTAATTTGCCAGCTATCATTGCAGCCAGCATGGTATTGAAACTGCGTCGGTAGATTCTTGTCAACTTGATCAAAATCTCTTTTCTAGTCATAGGAAGAAAGCTTACATGAATAGTACATGCGGCCAGCAGACCCTGAGGGAAAAGAGGAGAACATGTCTTTATGTCTTGCACGATTGACATAGTTTGAGTGCTTTAGAAACTTCGACTGGAGTTGGAGTGTTGCGCATAGAAGTTCCACTCGCTATTACCTCTCCAGGAACGGCGGCAACAGCACATGGCTTTTCATCGCTGTGGAAACAAAACCGAATCTTTAGGCATGGATATCAGAAAATTGCTAAGTTGATACTGAGAATTTCGCTTGTCTTGTCGCGCAAGGGAGTCATTATACAATTCTGATATCCCAATGCTGATAATCCAACAGCTCTCGAGGTCTTTTACATTGGACTTAGACATTGGCCGTTGAATAACCTGAGTTCTATTGTCAAATGACATATTGGAACATCAATGTCTTTTTTTACTTACGACTTGTTATGGTCCTACGCTTACCCTAGCAGTCATTACGGCTGGAATTATCTATCGTTGATGTTTTCTACTTTTCATTCAGGTTGAAAGTCAGGCAAAGTAGGGGTTCAGTTAAGTGTTCCCGCAATTGTTTCTGATGATTTACCCAGCCAGGGAAAGAAATATAAATCCCAACCAGAAGATATCTTCATCAAATAAGGATTCTCATCTAGTCGAGAGGCGCACAGAATTCTGTACTGTCGTGTGTCTGAAGTTAGCTCTCGGCTCGTTTGTTTCTGATGGGCTGACTTGAATTTTTGTTTTATATCCAGTTTACTGAGAATATCTTCAGTTTTGCTCAATATATTGAAGGAATTCATCATGTATGCATCTGACATGTAGGTAATGTAACTATCTTCTTCTTCGACTTGAGGATATACTCAGGTGAATGAGTCCAATAAAGTGTTCATAATCGACTGCTTTGTTATCTACTTCCAGCATGCGATGGCTTAAAATACTTGCACAAGATTATTCATGGGCTATGATCATGTAATTAATCAATACAGTATTGAACAAAGGTCAGACAATTCCACATCTCAGCAACCGCAACTTTCGGACGAAACGTTTAAATCCTAATCACAATACCTTCTGTTAGCAGTTACCATAAACATAGACTCAGTGGAAAGATACCAATCTCTGCTCGGCTATATATGTATATAAATCTTCAACCATCAAGACAATCTTTTTCTCCCAGCTCAAGTGGTTCTTACAAGATGTTATTAGCGAAGAAGCAAAGCTTTGTGTTGCTTTCGAGGGAGTGGAATTCTAGGTTTGATTAAAATAGACAATAAATTATATACAAAGTATCTAAAAGAAGAGATAAAACATTTCTACAATTCCTCCTCGGCATTGATATAATATATATTCCAATCTTCACTATAATTCCAAGTCTCCTGTTCACTATTCGCCTATGATAGGGATGTATAAATTTCTGTTACGACGGGCTACACAACTACCATTACATGACCAAGGCACGCGATTACAAGTGATCAGTAGTGATCATAGAAGCATGAAGGTCTATATAACCAAGATGGATTTCCTTTGTATAGAGCTTCGTGCTCAAGATCAATCAATTAGTATACTCTACTATTAGTTACGAATTGCATTATTGTCATTACTTTAAGTCCCTGCTTGACGCCTAGTTATAAACCACCTCGAGAGCCTAGAGCACTTCCACGTGATCTAGACGGCAAATCTCGTAACACTAGATTGAGAAGCTCTCTGTAGGAGAGCTTCGCACTTCCATAGAACTATGATTATGAGTGATTAATATAAAAGGCCAATATAGCCTCAGTTCTGCCTTATCAGCTTCCCACTATTCCCTGTGTAAGGTCATTCCTTTTAACAAATATTAATATAATTTTAATATTATATTAAATAATTACTCTATTTAAGTAATTTAATAATGATAATTAATTCAATTTATTATAATATCAATTTTATAGATAACGAAAATCATATATAATATTTGTTTAAGATCTATATCTGTATTTCATCCACTCCCCTCCTCTTCTCTTCTTCCCCTCCCCCCTATTCCCCCCTTCTAGAACAACCAAATAATCAAACACCAATCAACCAAATCAACAAAACATACAAATAAGAATTAAAAAAGATTATATATATATTCTAAATAAACATAAATAAACATAATATATATACATCTAAATAAATAGACGTATACATCTTCAATCTCCTAATCTCTTGATCTTTAACCTTCAATCTCCAAGCCTTTTCCATCCATCCATCCTTCATCCCAAGCCTGAAGTCCATCCCAATGGTATCTATTCCTCTCCCAGCCTCCCAGCCACGAAACCCTAGCCCTAATCCTAATCTTAACCATAACCATAACCATAACCCAAATACAAGTATACAAGTATAAATACAGATACAAATACAAATAAAGTAGAAGAAAGGGAGAAAAAAAAAAAGACATAGTGCATATACAATTAATTCCTCATTCATCCATCAATCACCATCCACCCACCATCCACCAGCTATCACCCATCACCATCACCAATCCTCAAATTACCAATTACAATTACCACCACCACTTTACCACTCAATCATCCAACCTAAACATTTTCCTCAAAGCATGAAACTTTTTCTTCTTTCTCTGTGCACCACCATGAGCCATTATATCCACATCACTCAAACCCGTAGCTGTGAATCTGCGATTACCTACATCAGGTCTCGTCGCATCCAAAATAACCTCTTTATTCTCTCCGCCGACAATCCCCCCTCCTGTATCTGCAGAATAAGGTCTTCCTTCTTCAAATGGTGCTTTGAGCCCTAGATCATCCTTTTCATCAGGAAGAGGCCACGAATCACTATTTTGTTTTGGATTCTTCTTTAATAATTTAGGTGATAATGGATTACCTAATGAGTCTTGCCGTTTAATGGCTTCAAGATCCGATCTGCTACGTTCAAGTGGTGTATCTCTTCTCGCAGGGCTTTCTCCATTGTATTTCCTCACCTTATTATTAGAATCTGGCTTTTTGCGAAAAATAGATAATATACCTCCACGTCTAGCATTAGTTGGTCCCACAGGAGAAGTCGCAATTGTACCTTGACCATTAACAACTTTAAGCATTTCGCGACCAGAACCAGAACGTTGTAAATCCCCAGATGCGAGAGCTTTATTCCGAGATGATGGTCTAGTTCCATTTTGTTGAGACTTTTTAACACTCTTGGCTGTCGGCGGCCTACTCTCATCATCACTATCCGGAAGATCCGAGGAATCCCCATCCTCATAACCTGCAGGTCGAGGTATACTTCGAAGAGGTGTACCCCTTGATGATATAGGTCTAGCCATTATAGGTGTTGGTTCATCATCATCACTCGAATCAACAAAACGACTTCTAAAACCAGGACGAGGTTCATCTTCATCACTGGAATCAGCGAATCTGCTTGACTTTGACTTTTGTGCTGGTTTAGCTGATAAACTTCTGCCGAAACCGGGAATTTGAATAGGAGATTTTGCCCGAGAAGTAGACTCATTGGAATTTCTTAAGGAATTTCGCATCGTACCACGCATGGTAACTGAGGGAGGTCCACCAGGTGATGCTGATCGAAGACTAAATCGACTTGAACTTAAAGGAGATTGTTGACGACCATTATTTGATGTTTCACTGCCACGACGCATGGATCGCCTCATACTAATTCCTTCTGTTGCGGGTCTAGCACGTTTGAAACTAGTATCACTATCACCTGATGATTTACGTCGAAGAGGAGTTGGTGCCACCGTTGTGATATGCCTTTGAGAAACAGGTGAACCAGCAGTAGCAGCAGCACCTTGAATAAGCCGTTGATGTTGGTTATTAGCTTGAGAACCTGCTCGAATTTCACCAACAGGAAGGGATACAGGCCTTTGCTTCTTCTGAAGTGTTCCATTTTGTGTCGTTCCTTTCGTTGAACCAGATCCTCTCATCGATTTTCTCATTTGAACATCCGATTCTGCGTGAGGAGGTTCCGAGCGCAAAGATGATCGCATAGTCGTTTGAACGTGGCCATTCGGGCCTGCCTTTGACCCTGGCTGAACCATATAACTCCTTTCGTTATTGCCTTGCTTTTGAACGATTGGAAATGAAGATGCTTGCATCGTTTGCATAATAGGAGAAATAGGCGATTCTATCGTTACCGACTTCTTCTTTGCCTTCTTTGACTTTGGAGCTGGCTTTTCCTGTTCAGTTTCTCCTTCGGCGTCTGCATCTTTTTGTGCCTCTAATTCCAATTGCTTTTTTCTGTCCACTGACAGGTTCGTCCAGTATTGCTGAGCTTTTCCCCATCCTTCTTCTGGATCGGGTTCACTACTTTTCCTTTGTAATTGACTTGACATATGCGCTCTTTCTTTCGACAATCCTGCCGTTGGACTATCCGGTATAGAAGCGTCAGATGCTAGGACGGCTGGTTTCATTACAGGACTTTCTACCACAGCATCTAAGGACATAAAACCACCGTCATTTGTTTCGTCAAATTCTTCGGCAGCATCACTATAAATGCTTTCATTCTCAGAACCATCTTCCGACTCTTCAAAAATTGGTGCGGGATGAACTGTTGAGCTTTGTCGTGTATTATAATCGAACTCCGAAGTATTAGGGTCATCAGTCTTTGATTCCGACATCGTAGCCGAGCCAGCCAGACCATTCTCATCAGCACCGCGAAAACCCTCATCTTTAATCCGATCCTCAGAAGTTGAACTTGAGCCGCCTGAAGTCGGAAAACCACCAGGTATATTCAACCATTCTCCGGATTTCGTAACTTCAGGGTTTGGACTAGGAATTTGAACAGAAATTTCCGGAATATTTTCATACATGTCGTGATCATCAAATTGGTCTTTCGTTGGACTTGCCAAGTCTCGGTATGTGTTAACATTTCCATCTTCTGGTCCAACTTTGACACTGTTACTTCTAGCAATGCCAATGGTGTTTGTATCCATGCTATAAGTGCTGCTAGCATCTGAAAGCTGCCCAGTTCCTTCCACAGATGTTGAGTCAGGAGGTAAAGGCTCACGAGATTTCGAGATATTCGCTGCATTCTTTGAAGTAGCATCTTGAGCGATTATTGCACCTGCTACATGATCATTCGATTGTCCCATGGGAAATTCTGACACGTCTCCCACTTGAGATGCGAACCGTGGTGATGCAGGAGCTTTGACCGGTGCAATAGTGTCCGCTGGCTTTGGTGGTCTGACTAAAGGTCTTTCCTCTGTCTCTCGAGGATTTTTTCTTTCCCTCACGCTTCCAAATGATGGGAGAGCCGGCCTTGGTTTCATTACTTCATCATCATCGTCATCATCCGTAGCGGTTATGTCCTTCTTTTTCCCACGACCAATATTAAACCAACCACGCTTAGTTTGTGGGCTAGCAGTAACAGGCGAATCAGAAGCAATTATTGTCGATTGACCTAAAACCATGTTACCACCATCATCAAAGCTTACTCTGTTTCCTTTCTTTCTTGGTTGGTCCTCATCATTAGACGCTTCACTAGGTCGAAGGGAAGCTCCATCGGAAGGTGATGGCCCTCTTGGTTCCATCGAGGACACAGAAGAATGTTTTAAAGCAGATTTTCGAGGAGACACAGATCGTGCAGGTGGCTGATGTCTAACCATCAAGGTTTCGGGAGTTGCCATAAAATGTGGAGTTCTCGCTGGACTCACAGATTGCACGCGGCCGCTACGAGGAGAATCTCCATTTATTATAGGGGTAGGTATAGAAGTCGTTGGAGGTTGACTTGCAGATCTGGTATGTTGAAGTTCTTCGGAAACATTTGCCGGTGCTTGTGCTCGACCATGACCCCTACCAGCAGCCGACCGAGGTAACGGGGATGGAGAAATAGTTCGTGGAGGTTCATTCCAACTAGCTGAAAGGCCTCCTTGTCCATGACGCAACGGAGAATCATCCTCTTCTTCCTCCCTTTCTCTATCTTCACGAACGACGGATGGCTTCTTCACTAATGACGCACCTGCTCGAGTTTTATAATCATATGTTTGAGATGGCGCATCACTCTCATCAGCGGATGAATATGGTAGAATTGATGCTTGGTCACTATCAGAATCATTGATAATGACCCTCTTCTTTTTCTTCTTTGGTGGAGCTGTCACCGGAGATGCTTGTTGGGTATATGATTCCGAAACAGGTCTGGCCTCAGAATTTTTCCAAGAACTTTCGACTTGTGCTTGTGAGGATTTCGGTATAATGGTAGTTTTTGATATAAGCTGTCTCGATTGTTGAGTAGGTTGTGATACTGATTGCTGAGTAGGTTGTGACATTGATTGTTGAGTAGGATGTGATATTGATTGTTGAGTAGGATGTGATATTGATTGTTGAGTAGGTTGTGATATTGGTTGCTGTACAGTTGGCGTAGTTGGTGTACTTGATGTATTCGATGCCTTTTCCATTGCATCTACTGCCGTCCCTTTAATCCTCCCACCCACCGTTCCAGCCGCAAGATGTGTACCTTGCGCTGACGGTGTTTTCTTCTTCTTCTTCACTGGTGCATTAGCAATTTCATTAAGTCTTTGCTCGATGGCTAGAATATCTGCCAGGGGTAAGAAACGCCTTGTATTAGGATCGTATACTAAATTTTGGTTATTTGGCGAAACGATTCTAGGATTTACACTTGAGATTTGATGACATGTTAGCCGTCTTTGTCCTTCAGGAGACATTGGCCTTGTATTCGTAGGGTAAGAAAAATTGACGGACCCTCTACTCTCCCCATTTATCCCAGATACACTTGATACACTTGGGTTTCTTGGACCCATCCCTAGCGATGATGTCGCCGATGGTCCTAGACTCGAACCACGCCCACCAGGTTTGGTTGGAGGTGGTGATGCGATTCTCAATCCAGTGGCATCCATACTCGCAGATCTCCGTGACGATTTACCACCAGCTGTGTTTATATTCTTTGGAATCGCAGGTACTGGTGGTGCATCATGCGCACTAGGAACTGGTGAAGATCTAGATGGTGATGGATCACGAAAAGTTCGTTCAGTCATCGAACCGGAACTTCCTCTTCTCACAAGGGCAGATCCTGGTGGACCACGTACGGAGCCACCAACAGAACTTCCAGCAGAAGAGGTTGAGCCGTTTCTCCGAATTGTTCTCTTCGTTTGAATATCTGCCACTGATGTAGGTGTAGTTGGTCTAGATCGTAATGCGGCGGCAGCTGCAGCGGATGACAAGGAAGTATTCGATGCTCGAGAGGATAGAAATGCCTGAGCCGCGGCGGTCGCGGCAGATGCGCTGACATTGGAATTAATTGGCTGTAAAATCAAAAACTTGTTAGCATTTGTTACAATTGTGGCTGCATGTCTTCTCAAAAGATCTCCGGACCAATGCGATCAAGCTGTCGCGCAACATTCACAACTTATGAATTCGTGGAACGTATGTTGGATGGAATGCAAATAACGTACCGGGTTCGAACTCGTTCTTCTCTTTCTATTCCCAAACATATTGATCGTCGTAGGCGTAATGGCCTTTTGAAACCTCTGCCAACTATGGGCTAATGAGGATAATATCGCATTGAGGAAATGAAGTAGAAAATGGAAACGAAGACTTTCTGATGGATTTCCCTTTTCTTGATGCAATAATATGACGATCCTGTAACACCATTCACTGCACGATGCGTGATGATGACTGGTGGTGTAGGCGAGGAATTTCGGAATCACTGGGATGTTTTGTATCTCTCGTACGGTGTTTGGTTGAATTGATTTGTGGCTGATGATGCTTGTATGCAGGAAAACAGTGGATTATGGTCGGGCGGTAGGTGGTAGATCAAGATCGTTAATGGAGATTTTTGATGCTTGAAATGGATTATGGGTGGATACTGAGAATATGCAGCAATGTGGCAATGAGGGTGAGGATGAGGATCAAAATCAGGGAGTATTTGACGGGATTCTTGAGTTGTAGTGGACCTCCAGAGAGACGAGGTCTAAATAAAGTTGTGTACAATACAAATATTATATACTCAGTACATAGATATATTGTGAAGACCGGAATGAAATATTCAAATGAATCCTTGTAGTGAAAGGATACAGCAACGTGAATAAAAAGTAGGGAGGATTTGATGACTTTTGAATATAAGAATGAACTTTAGATAAAGTTGTATTATAAAAATTTATTTAGTATATAGATATAGTAGGTAAAATAAGTATATTCGTGACAGCCCAGAGGAAATAGATTCATTCCATTTTAATAAAAATGACGCAAATGAAATTTTCATCTACAAAGACAGAGCAGAGTGAGGTAAAATTTCAAAGATTTCTATGTTCATCTACACGCCAGCACCAACCAGCACCAGCACATATTAATACCTCTTCACCATCCGTCCACTCATTTATTCATCCATTCAATCAATCACTTCCTAATCGTGGCAGCTGAAGAGCGAAAGCCGGACATGAGTTCGTTCTCCCAATTACCAATGAAATAAGAGTTCAAACCGCATGCATCGATCGACTCAACATAACATTTTAAACCTCCACTTTGCACCAGCCGCCTTCTTTGAGCTGAATACCCAAGATCTATTTGGAATGTCCCAATAAATATCACGATGATTACCTAGTAGATACTCGAGTATTTACATGATTCAAAGATCAAAGTTTACATACAATTCCCTTCCTTGTCCTTACCAGCAAGTTTGTGATGATATGCATGCATGCGTGCGTCCGTGAATTGAGCTAGATATGAGACGGCTTGAGGGGTCTTTTCCAAGGTTTCTTCTAGATTTTATTAATGCGATACTACTCGAGTAGAAGAGAAGCTTTGAAGAATGTTACACAAAAGGCTGGTGGACAACAGAGAACGTTACTACCGATAACGTTACTCATATGAACTTTAAAAACAATATCCTACCCCGTCAAAATTTTCAATTGAAACACCGGTTGCTTGATATATGATGTTTAGATAGGTAATGAAATATCATTGATCCTCTCTACGAAACAACCATCACGGATAGATATTTAGATAATCAGATATTCAAAGGATCAACAAATATATCTCGGTCACTAAAAGATCCGTTCTAGACACTATGTTGAAAAGGACTAGACTCGAACTATCCCAATTACTATATCCAGTACGTAACGCGTTATGACGTAGTTAAACACCTAATCAATCAACTCTTCATTGTATTTTTTACTTCACAGCTTAAACTTCTCCTATAAACTAATTACCTAGTAATGAGCGAATCTCTCCCTTCATCTCCCTAGTATAGAATCCCTATATCCCGATACATATTTTCACAAATCTATCCCTCCAATATCAAATAAAATAAAACATCACAAAAATGTGAAAATTCCCTTCACATATGAAATTATCCAAACCGGTAAACCAAGAAGCACTGGCCAAAGCTTGGCAATTTTGTATGCATTTGCTTGGATCTACAAAGTACCGAGGATCTCGTTCGTAGATCGATCTCTTTCTCCGCAATTAATAACTTGGTATATACTCAGTACTCGAGTGTTGCTACATTATTTAGATGTGAATAATTGAGGATAGAAATATATTTTATATTATACTATTACAATTTCAAAAGCCAGTGCAACAAATCATTATCCTCTAATAATCATCTCACTCTCATTCAACATTAACATCAACACCAACAATGTCCCCACCCCTCCCCCCTCTCCCCCTCCCAGACGAAATAACATCAACCTACATCCCCACCCTCAACCTAACCTACCACATCCTCCGCGCCGGGAACCCCTCTCATCCACTCCTCCTCCTCCTCCACGGCTTCCCCGAACTCGCCTTCTCCTGGCGTAAACTCATGCCGCTCCTCGCCTCCTCAGGCTATCACGTGGTAGCACCCGATCAACGCGGCTGCGGAAGAACCACCGGATGGGATACCCGAGCATTCTCCTCTGTTGATTTAAATTCTACAACGCTTGTGCGACTTGTACGTGATGCGGTCATTTTGGTTAATGCTTTGGGATATAAAGATGTGAAATGTGTACTGGGTCATGATTTTGGGGCTGTGGTCGCGAGTTGGTGTGCGCTGATTCGTCCGGATGTGTTTAAATCGTATAGCTTTCCCTTTTTCTTTTTTTTCTTATTCTTTTTCTCTTTTTTCTTTTTTGGAGTATTGGTGATTTTTATGCAGACTTTCCTAACGAACAGGAATATAGAGTAGTAATAATGTCACATCCCTTCAAAGGAACCCCCATCCTCCCGACCAACACCTCCACCACCAACCCCACCCCCGCATCCCCAACCCAAGACATCCACGAAGCGCTAGCCCATCTTCCCTCCCCCCGTAAACACTACAAATGGTACTACTCCACCCCGACCGCAGCCACCGAAATGGACAATCCAAAATCCGAACTCCTCCCCTTTCTCCGCGGATACTTCTACCTCAAATCCGGCCACTGGACCACCAACACCCCACATCCCCTAACCTCCTGGACCGCTTCCGAACTTCAATATCTCCCTCCTTACTACATCATGCCTCTGCACTCTTCCATGCGCGAAGTAATTCTTCAATCTATGCAAAATGAATCTTCATCTCTCGTCCAACAATCCATGAATAAATGGCTCACCAACGAAGAATTATCCGTCTACGTAGATGAATATTCCCGCACTGGATTCCAAGGAATGTTAAATTGGTACAGAGTTATAACTGATCCGTACTGGATGAAAGATACGGAGCTTTTCGCGGGTAGAAAAATAGATGTTCCGTTGTTGTTCATTAGTGGTGAGAAAGATTGGGGTATGTTTCAGGAACCGGGCGTGTTGGAGAAGATGGAGGATGTGTGTTTGAAGTTTAGGGGTGTGAAGGTCTTGGAGGGAGCGGGGCATTGGGTGCAGCAGGAGAGAGCGGAGGAGGTGGCGGGGATTATGGAGAGGTTTTTGAGGGGGGTTACGTGGGAGGGGGTGGCTTATTGATTTAGGAGGTGGGGAGGTGAGGATTGGGGGGTTGTTGGGAGTGGGGTTGTGGTATATTTGCGCGCTATGGATTCTTACTATTTAGCGCACAGTTTTAGGGTTATCAACTTTAGTCCTTTCTTACTCTGTGAGATTATATTGGATCTCAGTATATGATATACCTGCTATATCCGGAATATATATAAGATTATGAGAATAGAATCCAAATCTCATTGAACCAACTACAATTTACCACTTTCACACTCTCTTCAAAATTTTCTCGACAAATCCTTTCTTTCTCCAGCTTTACCAACCTAGTAGTCAACGGTATACGTACGAACTTACTACCCACACAACTCCCCACTCTTAATTTATTCTCATCTACTCAATAAGATTCGTATAGAATTTTCTACTTCTCCTCTAGCTCTAATATAACAGCGATCATAGGATCACTTAATACCTACTAGATACCAATATTAATGTAACGACGGCTTCGGATCTCGTATCATGTGACCAATTATGTAATCACATGGTCCCTTAGATCCCCTCGGTCTCTTTATCGAAGGGACCGAGGGGACCAAGGGGACGATTAGCATGAAGGTCTATATAACCAAGATGGATTTCCTTTGTATAGAGCTTCGTGCTCAAGATCAATCATTTAGTATACTCTACTATTAGTTACGAATTGCATTATTGTCATTACTTTAAGTCCCTGCTTGACGCCTAGTTATAAACCACCTCGAGAGCCTAGAGCACTTCCACGTGATCTAGACGGCAAACCTCGTAACAATTAATACACTAAACTGATTTTTCCATTTCAGTAGATGGAGTATTTCCTCTTATAAATTTTTTTTTTGCTAAATAATTCTTTATTTAAATAAGAATTTATTACTGCAGTAAAATTGAAGTTTTTTAGTTAGGTATTTAATTTATAATTATGCAATCTTAGATGTTTTTTTATTTTTTTTAAAAAATATTAATTTAAATTTCTCTTAATATGGTCTTGTGTACATTTCCACAGTTAATCTTGCCCTCTCCTAATTCTACTACGAGAATGGACTTCCTCAGGGATCAGTCTTCTAAAAGTTCAATTCCAAAGTAGTTAAATAAATCCATTATGCATTCACGAAGTTCTTCTCTCCGCACATCCAGAATCTGAGATTTGGGTAGAAAAGTGAGAGTTCTTAACCATGAGCTAGCTACATACATAAAAAAAGGTTCTTCTAAAATGAAGACTGGTGAATTATCCCTAACGATATTGGGTACGGAGCTATTTGCTTTCTATTTAGAATACATTTATAGACAAGTGGGTACACCAACTTTGGTATGGAGTAAGATATTTTTGGGTTTGTTTTGATAGTTATACAATTCTTCGTTGCGAGATGATATCGCTACTGTCGAAAGCGTGCAAATGGCGAATATCAAGTTCATCGTCATACTTTGACTTCTATCATCGACATGAGACTACATTCCAGCAATTTGGTAGATCTCTCAAAGAATTGCGAAAGTAGTCGTTAGGGGTAATTCTTTTATTCGCAGCACCTCTATTTGTATTATGCTACTGTCTTTCCGTTTACAAAATTTGGATGGCGATATTCTACTCGAATATATAATATCAGAACGATGAGAAATTTTATGTATAGGTAAATCTTAACCAGACAGCTATTGTGAGAGAGACTGGCTGAAGTGTTCATGCATTTATTGGACGTAAGTACGAACAATGTGGCATTATAATCAGAGCATTGTGAATTTGTCACCCAAGCAAGGACGTCAATTGAGGAAGATCAACTTCTCTCCCCCTGGATCAGTGTTTCTGCGCCTTTATGCAATCTCACATTTTCGATCTTTCAATTCTGTATCGATTGCGAATAGCCATCATATCGCTTGAGGAGTAAAACTCTCTTGGGAAATGTTGCATCATGGAATCTTCCCACTTCAAAGATTGAGGCAGCAATGATGCCTTCACCAACAAGCAATTTCAGATATTCTAGGAACTAAGAGCATGTAAAATCACTCTTGGCCGCGTATATGAAGAGAAGATGAGGCTTTTAATGAGCAGGTAGAATGATATGGCACTGCATGAGGATGAGGAAGAAGATGTTGGGAAACGCGCAGAGAACAGGTCGGAAAATGCATTCGTGTTGAATATAGCAGTTTCTTCGCCCGCGGAAGACAATTGACCACAGCTTCGTGAATAATATCTGTTTGATTACTCGAACACGAGCCCTTTAAAGCCCTTTAAACATGGAAACACTAGTTGTGCTACTGTGGGATATTCGATAGGTTTATGGATTTTGTGTATGTTGACTAGACATATAGTACAAGGTGAGTATCCAAAAACAGACGGATATCAGGGAAGAATATTGAAAGATTATATAGTACATGTACTCGGGTTTCTCGTGACTCAATGTGACACCCATGAAATAGTAAGTCATCTGATATTAGGCGAGGGCGATCACTCGGCCCAATAGCACAGCTGCACTAGCAACTGATACTTCCATTCAAATGACAGAGTTGAGAGTGTTCCAGTCATTCTTCGTATAGGAGATTGATTCAACTTATCTACTACGTATACATCGTATGATGTGGTAGTAATACCTGACTTATATGTGCAATCGGAATGCTCATCTCATATACTTACCATGAGCTAGCTGTCATTAAGCAAATGTTTTTCTGTCTTGATTCTAACCTGATAGTATCTCAAGGACAAGTTGGAAATGTGATGTGTATACCGGGTATCCCAATTACTATAAATATTTATAATTATGTAGATAGCCAAAGCCCAATATAACATACAGGTACTTAGGGAGATACTTATTGCAATGTGACGATATGAAGGAGAAGCGATCAGAAATGCCAAGCATTTTATCTAGGGTAAGCCACTAAAAATTAGGCTTCACACTAAGCAAGAGCCACTAAATGATCATTACCACTTACGACATCGTCCCGAATGACAACAAGACTGAATACCTAAATAATATCTCTAACTCTACAATATAATTCAGATCTTACATTTCCACTTACGTTAACACTTACACTTACAATTACAATTATATTCCACAATCACGACTAAATTCCAAATCTATTCTACGCATCGCCTGTACCAGCATCTCCTGGATTGCGGAATCTTTATATTCTATCGGAATCGCGCGATTGTCAAAACCCCACAATGTCCACAACCATCACAACCACCACAGCCCCTTCATTCCTCAACCTTCCTTCTGAGCTCCGCCTCAAAATATGGTCTAACCTTCTCCCCGGCCCTCGTACCCTTCCAATCCGCTATTCTCGAGTCAATAAATCCTATTTTAGTCCTATTCCCCCTTCAATCCTCCTATCTATCTCCTCCGAAACCCGTACTCTATTCCTCGAACACTATGTCCTCCTCCATCTCAATCCCTCCTACAACTCCACAATATACATAAATTTCTCCCTGGACACGCTTTGTTTTGACCACGAAGAATGTTCAGCAGTAGGAGATTTGGCTTTGGATTTTAAGAATTGTGCGCAGAGCAGTTTAATTCAACGGGTGGATATTGATGTGCATTTATGGGAGATCTTAAGACTATTTCGATTCGATGCTCTTTCCGAGATTAAATATTTACACGGGTTGCGGAATTTGACGTTGTTTATGAGGCGGTATGAGGAGGAGCAGCAGTGTTATGGAGAAGCTTTTGAGAGGAGTAGATTGGCGAGGAGTAGGGAATTGCTGGCTGGTAGGATGTTGTTTGAGGGACAAACGACGGATAGAGAAATTGCTCAGTGTCAGTGGTATGTACAAATGGTGAAGTGGGAGGTGGAACATGGGGATGATGAGTGGATTAAGGGGAAGCCGAGTGTGCAGATGTGGATAATATGAGGGGAAGGAGTTTGATATGACGAATACGAATAATTGATTGGGAATTTTCCAATGGAGCTTCCGCAGTTGAAGATTCAGCTCATCTCTGAACGCATACTTCCTGGATTGATATCATCACACGGAAGAGGTTCATCTTGGGTATTTAGGACTCACAAAGTACGAGAGGGCTTGTTCGAATAATGTTTATCTAATAGAGGATGACTTGATAGAAGTGAGCGCTGGGTGTGGTGTCCTAGTGGACACCTATAAACAAGGACTTTAGCTCAATTCCATGTATAGTAGGACCTCATGATACGGAACTGAAAATTTTGTTTAATTAAAATTAGTTATTAAGAGATATCTGAATGATACATAATAGCAATATGAATATTGTATAATGATCTAAGTTTCAATTTTTGATATTTCCGAAAATAATTCTGCAATGATTCCTTGTGAGAATATCAAAATTTATTTTCTATTTCGATTTATATCGGATTTGATGCTTTAAACTTTGCGAATAATGATTATAAATAAGAGCCAGAAGAGTCAGCTATACATGATATGAAGAGGCACTAAACCTAAAAAAGAATCGAATATTATCAAACGAATGACCTGTGTACCGGTATCGCCAAGAGGCTAAGCTTTTCCGTCAAAGTTCGGTATTAAGCAAGTTTTAGTGTATAATTCATCGTCTGTCTAATCGTCCTCCTCATCCATTCCTTCTTATATCGCCACCTTCCCCCCCCTCCTTTTCTTCGTTCTGCTTTGAAGCTGATCTTATCAATGAGCATCATCACTAACATCATCTTCATATTCGTCTTCATCATTACCTAGACTACCCTTACTCCGTTTGTATATCAATTCCTCAATCATAAATTCATAATATCAAACCTCATTTTCTAACCACAATACATGACATTCTGCTATCAAATGGGATGCCCCGAAAAGTTTGTATTTGATAACTCTCTATGACGATTTTGAGTCACTTCGTGTGCTGTGCTGTTATTTGATTTGACTTGACTGATGATGGGAAGAGTATAGGAGAATAAGATATAGGTGATGGGTATTGGGCTTGCTGCTTCCTTGTTACTTCTAGGTTTTACACCGAGTGGTGGGTAAATTAGAGGGAGGTCAAATCATCTCGAATTCTACTGTACTACTCGGACTGGAGGTGTGATGCAATTGTGTTGTTACTTATAAGTTGGTCTTCTGGTCGATAGAGGTCTTTTATATTGGGAATAATAAGCATTTCGTGCATATCAAACAATAAATCATAGCAGGAGCCCATGCGTTGGTTAGCGCACTCGCTGATGGTGCAGAATAGATAGATTATGAAGCTGCCGAACTAGTTTTTTGAAAGTTAGGAAAGATAGCGGCGACGTCGACGATGCATTATTGCTGGTAAAAATCGGATTTTATTGGGTTTCTTGAGACCAGAAAGAGCATCAGATTGAATTGATTGATTCTCTAGCTAAGCAGTTAAGCTGCGAGTATATATTAAAAAAATGAAGGAATAGGGTTAGGTATTCGGCCTTCGGAATTAAAGTGCTTTGAAATCAAAATATTGAAAGCAAACAAACAGTATACCAAAAAGGAAAGAATGAATTAAAAGTTGAGTTTTGTTTGCTCCTTATATGCATCATGCAATATATATGCATATGCTGCCAAGATCCCAGGAGGTCAACAGTTTATCCCTATCCGAGAGTATCTCCTTTGGTAATCCATGTACTGCAATGACCTCTTTAAGGAATATAGCTGTTAGGGTTTCTGCAGTTAAAGTGGTTTTGTATAGTACTAATATTATATATTTGGTTAATCGGTCTATGATAATTAGGAGATAGTCGTATTCTACTTCTGTCGTTGGATCTTTGGATTTAGGTAATGATCTTATGAAATCCTATGATATTGATTTCTATAGTGATGATAGTATTTCGGTTGTATGTATCTGTCTGTAGGGGGCATAGCAGGAAGCCTTGTTCCTGATACATATATTACACTCTGTGATTACTTTATTGATTATGGTTCGGAGTCCTGGACTCCAATATTATCTTTTAATTCTTAAATACATCCTTTGTACTCCTTGATATCTATAAGTTGGCAATATATATTGTTCTTCGATGAATTCGGGAGCAATGCTACTTGGTAGCTATATTTTCCCTACTATCCGTATCAATCCGTCAACGGTTACTGGTGGCTCGGGCTATTTGACATCTTCCTTGTTCTGTTGTACCTTTATGAATTTGTTTCTTCAGACTTCCGTTAGTTTATTTTCTAAAACGACGATTTCTGTTAGATTCGGAACGAGATCCCCATTTGGTAATGCCTTTAGGATTGCTGTCTCCTAGTAGGTCTTATCATCCTCGTAACCTGGTGGCCTACTCAGTGCGTTTGCTCTTGCATTATCTTTGCCTTTGATATGTTTGATTATTAAATCAAAATTGGCCAATTCCTCAGCTCATCGAGCTAGTCTACGATTATCCAGGACCTTAGTGATAGTAAAGGTTCGTAGGTTCATATAATCAGTATAGATGATTACTGGGAATTTAGCCTTTTAGAGGTAGATCCTCCAATGTTTCAATGATTTGACTATAGCCATAAGTTCCTTCTTATAAATATTGTAATTTTGTTCTGTTTTATTTATCTTGCTGGAATAATAAGCGATTAGGTGCAGTTTCCCGTTGTTGTCTCTCTGGAGATGGACTCCTGCTATACAGGTATCGGAAGCGTTTGTCTCGATGATGCTCTCCCGATTGTTATGATAATTATACAATATAGGTTCCCTAGTGAATCTATCCTTGATTTCTTGAAAGGCTTGCTTCATTTTCTTATTCCAGACGAATCCCACACCCTTCTTTGTCATCTCCATAAATGGTTCTACCATTTTGGAAAAGTCTTTGATGAATACTCGACAAAAGTTGGCGAACCCTAGTATGATTTGCATATCCTTGACATTTCTAGGTCGTTCCCAATTCTTTACTTTCTCAGTTTTCTCCGGATCTATGCTCATTTGTCTTGGTTCTATAATATATCCCAGGAAGGTTACCTTTTTGATACTAAACTCGTATTTCGATAACTTGAGTCGTGAATCGACCTTCCTAAATGCCTCAAATACCTTAATGATATATCCTTTATACTTCTCTACCTTCTAGGAGAAGACTAGGATATCATCCAAGTAACAGATTACAAATGAACTAAATTCTTTGAGTATTTCGTTGTTTTGTCGTTGGCATATGGCAGGTGCATTTGTTAGTCCGAACAGCATGACAGTGTATTCCTATAGCCCAGAAGGTAGTATAAAGGCAATCTTCCATTCATGCCCTTCCTTGATTCATATCAAATTGAAAGCATTTCTCTGATCCAATTTAGTGTAAATCACTGCCTTGCTCAATTTATCCCTTAGCTCTTAAGCTTTGAATATTGGATACACATCCCTAATAATCCCATCGTTTACTCGACGATAGTCCCCGCAAGGTCGACCATTCAGGTCTCCCTTCTTGAACGCTAACAATACATTGGCTGCGTAAGGGGACTTGGATTTCCTAATCCATCCTTTCTTCTTAGTTTTAGATCTGTATTCTTCCTATATTCTCAGAGTACTGGGGTTATATGATCTCAACTTCTCGACCAGAGGTACAAATCCCTCTTTGAAATTGATCTCATAATCCCAAGGTTTATGTTCTGGCAGGGCTCTCAAATCCTGCAGGTCTTCGAACAGCTTGGCGAACTTTCTATACTGCACTAGAATCTCTTTTGCATTGGTCTTGTCGACCAGTGGAGGATCCGTGGCTGTTATAGCATAGTATCCAGCCTTCTCAAAAATCTATTCCTTCAGGCTATATAATCATTCATTCTTATATCTGTAACGATCGAATATAAAGGTATCCTTTACCCAATCAATGTTTGGATTATGCCTCTTAATCCAAGGGGTTCCTAAGACAATTGCATGTCTGCCCAACGGTACTAAGTCCATTTTGACTTGCTCGGTGTACCCTCCTAGCATGATCATTTTGATGGCGCTAGTTTGTCTATGTACCCAACCATCTACTCCGATCTTCTTGCCTCCCAACAGTATCAGCTGATAGGGGTGCTCTTTTGGCTCGATGGGGATCCCATTTTCTTTGGCAAAGTCGGGATCTATAAATATTCCCATAGCTCCTGAATCGATCAGGGCCTTGACTTCCTGATTCTCCAGGTTGACTTCTATGATTAATTGTCCAATCTCTCGGAAGCTACCCTCTAGGGCACCCGCTTCTCGGGATCCCAGTTTCTTGGTTCCAAATCTTACTTGTTTCTTGCCCTTCGCGGCGAAAGGCTTTTTCTGGGAACAATCCCTAAACATATGTCCGCTTTTCCCATAGGTGAAGCATAGGTTGTTTTCCCTGCGTCTCTTTTTCTCTTCAACGCTAAGTCCATTTGGTTTTTGGTGGCGTTCAGCTCCGTCCAATTCCATTGGATCGCTGGTATCATCGTATCTGTTCTGGCGCTGATGTTTTGGAAACTTTCTACTCTCTTGAGTGATTCCCTTTTTCTCCATTCGTTGTTCATAAAAACGATTGTCAATTAGGATAGAGATCTCGATTAACTCGGAAAGGTTTGGCGGTTTCGGAGCTCTAGCTAGCTCGCCCTTGATGATATCCTTGAGTCCCTTATAGAACTGGGATCTAAGATAGTCATCATTCCATGTAATACGCCCGGCTTATTGTTGGAATTTAGTAGTGTAGGCTGTAATTGACCCTGTCTGCTTAAGTTGTCGTAATGTTCTCTCAGCCATATGATCGGGGTCAACTTCCTCGAAAGCTCTATTGAATCCTTGTCTGAATGATTCGTAAGTATTGAAGAGGCCGTGTGTCTCAGGTTTCATGTTTTCATTGAGTTGGTCGTCGGTTGTCTTAATCATTAAATCATTGAAGAAAGGTTCGATCCAATTAAACGTAGTTCCTCGGAAGAACAAGATCAACCACAAGATCCTTTGCATTTGTGTCAAGAAGAGGTGTCCATTGAAGGCGTAGTAAAGATCAGCTTGTGCGACAAAAGCTCGATGCTTGCTACGATCTCCGTGGAACAAGTCAGGGGTGGATACCTGGGTTGCTCGTCTCGGCTCTATGGTGGCGGCGGCCTGCTTTAGGGCCCCGATGGAAGTAAAGGAAACTAATTCGGTGGATTGCTGACTGGAATCCATCGTAATTTATATAGCTTAACTGTAACAATGCTCAAAATGTAACGATACTGTACTAAAAACAGCGATTACCTAAGGTTTATCGATTGATAATTATGGATTAAGGCTTTATTACTGGTATTCACTTGAAAATGAATTCGTTACTAGATCAAGTAGAATGTAAATAAACTAATTGATAACTAAGTTGAGCACGAAGCTCCTAAACTATGAAACTACTCTGATTATATAATGAACGATAAAGGGAGCCCTTAGGAGCTTTCTGGCTCCTCAGGGCTCCTGGAGCTCTAGGAGCTTTGAGGGCTCCTAGGGCTCTTTATCACATGATTTCTGATGGTGCATGCGCATACGATCTTCAGGTGACCAAGATCACATACTAATTCGATGAAATCTGATCGTGTTTGCACAAGGCCTAAGCTCTCCTAACTAATCAGTTTGCTACCATCGTAACACCATCAATCCTAATGGTGAATCGTGACAATAATAGATTAGAAATTTAAATTTTAAATTACATAGAAAATCTTTTATTGATATTTTTAGATTTTTCAAAGGTTAAAAATTAGAATATTTTGATTAATAAAATTTCTGTAAATTTTTTTCTAAAATAAGTTGATCTATTCAATCAATTATAATATAAATATTTGAAAAACTTTTATAATTGATTTTTGTTAAAGTGAATGGTTCCTGCGTAGCACGTGCACAGGGCACTAGTCCTATTAGGACTAGATTGAGAAGCTCTCTGTAGGAGAGCTTCGCACTTCTATAGAACTATGATTATGAGTGATTAATATAAAAGGCCAATATAGCCTCAGTTCTGCCCTATCAGCTTCCCACTATTCCCTGTGTAAGGTCATTCCTTTTAATAATTTTTAATAATTTTTTTTGAAAAGTTATTTCAAATTTTGATATTTTTCAAATTTGTACATAAATCCTATATAAATGTTACGAGGTTTGCCGTCTAGATCACGTGGAAGTGCTCTAGGCTCTCGAGATGGTTTATAACTAGGCGTTAAGCAGGGACTTAAGTAATGACAATGATGTAATTCGTAACTAATAGTAGAGTATACTAAATGATTGATCTTGAGCATAAAGCTCTACAAAAAGAAATTCATATTGAATATATAGACCTTTATACTCCTTAGATCACCTTGGATCACCAGTGATCCTGAGTGATCCAGTATACCTGTTCATATACTCTGATGATGCGTGCATATGAGTTCTTAGAGTGACCGAAATTTCATAGTAAATTGAGCGAATCGAAACCGATTTGCATATGGCCCAAGATTACGAAAACGAGTCAGCTGTTACCATTGTAACACTAGACTTAATTCAAAAAAATAGACAAACATCAACGACACCACATCATTGTGTTTATGATAAACCTGCAGTGACCTATGCAATACATAGTTGGAGCATTCTTTTGGCACTCCAAAATATTAAAAATCATCTCTCAATACTTGATACTCTTCCCTAGCATCAGTTCGTCCCAGCTAATCATCGGGACCGACTAAAGGAGAAATATCATCAAACTTCCCGCTTAGGAAATTAGGAAGTCATCTACTCCTCAGACCACTTCTTTGAAGCAACATGGAATATAACAATTCTCGGCATATCACCGGTACTCGTACTCGTACTCCGTTCAGATACCTACCTACATCAATTGTTAAGATCAGACTTAATTTGTTTCCATATAAGTACCGCCAAGACTTTCGGTACCGAAACTCTGCAAGAAAGGCAATGCGGAGCCCCCACAATTATTCTCGCGTGGAACTTTCAAATGCCCCCCTTTTTCTTATATTATAATTTTTAGATTCGTAATGCATTACGATGATACGACGATGGTGTCCTTTGGCGGTATTATCCGCTTCGCGCAGTCGGATTAAGCTTTAGGTTAAGTGTCTCTGTAAATCCAAACTGTCTGATTGTTTATGTTTCGAATCCGCCGATTTGATATGCGCTGATGTTAATTCTTTGTCTCTGTATCTGGATAACTGGATATCTTGTATGCATGCAGCAGCATATAGCAGGGGAGTACGTACCACCTCTACTGTGATATTCTGACGAACAACAGAGGATTAGCTAGGGTTCCAGGGTCTCGCTCCTTCAATGCCCTCGAATGTGTAAATACAACCCAGTGGTTTTCTTTACTTCAACGCGGCATATCCACAATACCTCAATCAGTACTCTCGATCCCGCATATAGTCTGCACGGTACTTACAGAATGCCACAAGCGCCAGCAGTGCCATACTGTCGAACAGGTTAAAGCTTCAAGTATAAGAAGTTCCAATCGTTCTTACATTTCTCATCTACTCATCCTGCCATCCATCAGCTCATCTCTTGTAAACCACATTTCGAACTTCCATCGGACCCAATAATCATAATGAAGATCTCGCAGACTACCTTCCTCGCCTCAGGTTTGGCATCAATTGCCTCAGCTCAGGATACAACCTGTAGCACCTCAAGCCTCAATACTACAGCCTCCACTTGGACTGTCGCAGAAACCGACACCATCTTCAGCATCGCTGCCGCCACCAACCGTGGTGTTTGTGATATTGCACGTGCCAGCAGAATGCCAGATGCTGAATACATCGATACGGGTATGGTACTTATCATTCCCGCTCAAGTCTGCAATCCCGACGACGAGTCCTGTCTCCTCACTGCCTCGAACGATACCACCTTATGTGTATATGGAGGACCTCACACATACACCACTGTGCGCAATGATACTATCACCAAGATCGCTACGAAATTCAACGTTGATGTTTCGGTGCTCTCAACCAATACTACTACTGGCATGCTCAAGGTTTCATCGGTCGATGAGATTATTACAGCTGGAACTCTGATGAAGGTGCCTCAATGCAGCCCTTCTGAGTGTACTGTTCAGCCAATTCAGTTCACCTATGGTGTGTATAAGGATTTGGCTGAGAAGTATCATACTACCGTTGGACAGCTGTTTGGATTCAACACTGGATATCGGTACAGTGATTCTGTTGAGTCTCTTTCACCTGTTCTTACGATACCTATGAATTGCAAGCCGCTTTCCGATAATATCACTGTTATCTCATAAGACACTTATGAGTGGAGGGGCTCTGAGTGGGTTATGAAGTATATGGGCGTAGAAGGATGTCTGGTGAGGAGTGTATTGAGCAGTAGGGTGATGGTTTTCGTGGGTAATAACGTGGCTTTGCTATTACCACGTTATCATACCCTGATGCAATGTTAGTGATAATTTTGGGGATATGATGAATAGACTGTTCCATTCTATACTAAGTAGGAATATGATATAGATGCTGTCAAAGAAAATGTGCTTTTGTCTTTGGTGTTATGCAGTTAAAAAAGTTCACATGCATCCATCCACCTCTCACCGAGGAAACATTCCATCGTCATGCCATGAAAACAGGATCGTGACTGGAAAACTTTCGGTCTTTCTTCCAACGCATTTGGTTCCACCAAATGACTCAATGCTAGCTCTGTAAAAGCATAAATAGTGAATCAAATTGGTCATATAGTCGTAGTCAAAAGTTCCGAAGCGCAAATTATCTGCCCTGTGTAATCTAGCGATGGACGAAATAACTGCACACCCACAGAATAAGAAACTATTCATAGAAGTTGCCTAGATTTAGTAACAGGGCAATCTAGGTAAATTTTCTTCTCTCCGTGATGTTCAAAGTTCATGAATGATCTAGATCGGACACTTTAATGCCGACGTATTCAGAGAAAAGGGCTTTGTGCATCATTAGAATCTTGCGGTATCTTGACGACCACTTAGTTCCGTAAACTGGAGGTTTATGATCGCAAGTCCGCTTGCTCGTTTGGAGAATAATTTTTTGTTGGCTCTGTCTAGCAAAACTTAGAGCTTGAATTCATCAACATTGTCTTCTTACTTCATATATGAAAGGCAGCAAGCCATACAAGTGCACTATCCATCCAGCGGTGTATATCGGTAGCATCTTGGAAGCCATTTCTGCCAGCACTAATACCATCGTCCAATTCTTCTTCATCCAATTCTTCTAGGTCAAGGTCAATCCATGAGTGCCGGTAAATATCCTGCTCACATCGTGGATAGCCCGTCACTCGCAGCCATTCAAAGATACTTCGAGTTGCTAACTCTGACAATAATTCAGACTTCAGTTCCCTGTCCTTCCGCACCTCTGAAACGACATCATCTGAATTGATGGATATTCTTGCAAACTCTATCTCGGTGTTAAAACCACGGTCTATGGAGCTTTTCCCATCGACCAGCTCCCAAGACCAACCTAGATATTGCAATTAACGCCCTGGACATTTTGCGTGCTGGCGAACTTCGATCTCAGTATCACAAAGTAACGTAGTGCCAAACGGCTTCCAAGGACAAACAGGGACTCTCGAATGACCCTCAGACTCCATGAGATAGAGTAAGCGGCACTCGTCGGAACGAGATATTTCGTTATTACTAATAGCACACGGTGTTGGAGGCCTGGCAAGAACAAATGAATGTGTAGTTGATGTCCAAGCAGAGGCATGAAATTCGACAGATAATAATCCATTGCGAACGTACGGGAGGATGATTTGCGCCATTTCACTGATAATAGCGCCTAGCCATAGTGACGCAAGTTTGGTTTGGCGTTTACCCATGATCATAGCCAGCGCTCCATAATCGCCTCTTTGAACGATTGGGTCAATGATCGAGAATATTGGTTCTAACCATGGACTAACTAGGTTACAAGAAACTTCAGGATCAAAAAATGAGCCGCAGAGGAGCGACTGCATCCCGCGACAATCGCAGCTTAAGGTCATATAGTAAGGCAGAAGTTTACCTTCTTCAAAAACAATCTCTGTCTCCAGTCTTGTCGGTGAGAATGGCGGCATGCTTGGGTAGATAGGAGTCGGCGGTAATGCTAGAGACATTGTCTTGCTTGCAATAGGATAGGAGTTAAGTTTCGGCAACGATAGCGTCGCATTCATGTTGCTGAGAAATGGAAAAGTCAAAGTTACAGCTAAAGCTGCGGAAGATTGACTGCGAGTGTTATGAAGGACACAGAAGTCGGAGAGAAACGGTAGGGCCTGCTCGGATGAGGGCGGCATGGCTGTCTCAGAGTACGATTTTTGATATTGTGCTGTCCTTCGAAGCTTAAATCTCCGGGTAGCAGCAATGGAAATAGACCACGGCGAGCGATAGACTTTGCTATCTCGAGTAATTGTCGCCCGCCAGCCTTCACCGTTGGCTAAAGGTGCAGTCCACCATCGCGCAGCATCATCATCTATATCACCGAGATCAACCGCAAGGTCATCAGGTAAGTCTTCATCGCCGTCGCGCACCCATTTAGCTTGGGAACACAAATAGTATATCTGGTCACATTTCTTGGCCGGCGCGGGTCCGGTGCCCTTAGACTGTTGCATTTCCACCCAGAGCGCTGATAAAATGTATGCGCAAGCAAATGATATAATAGCGAGGCAGTTGCCTCCCTCAGGACTCTCTTGTTCGCCTTGAACCCCCGGCCAATCGGAGAAGGGGGATTCATCCGCAAAACAACACCGCGTTGAACTTTGGAGGCCAAGAAGTAGCTGGTGGTGCATGATCTTCTCTTTAAGAGAGCAGCCACCTTCAGATATACACCATGTTGAGCATCCGTTGAAGTATAGCGCGGAATCATTGCTGGTTGATTCAGAGTGTCTAAGCTTGAATCGAGGGGATCCGCAGTCTTTAGAGAAGCCATTCGCTAGGAATGCTGGAACTCTGCCAAGGACGTTTCGAAGTAAGACGCAGTCCGGTTGGAGCCCATCTTGAGGGTTCGTCTTTGCAGTACAAGACAGCCATGTATGGTAGCTTCTTGCTAGCATGCGTTCCGTTTCCGCTTGGCTTAGTCGAAGAGCATCTTGTACGACCATCTAAGCTGGAACATATTGGTGTTCGTAGTGTTGTGATGAAAGAATTCTGGAAAGCAATACACAGACCTTCGATGGTGATAAGAAAAATTGACGCTACAGAATGGAAAGTACGAATAAGTTGAATGGTGAAGTGACATGCATATGAACACCCTAAGGATGGTCAAGTTTCTTTTGAGGATGTATCACGCGATATTGATTCCCTTTAGAAAAGTTCATCTGCCTAATTAGGTTACTGCCTTTCAGCATTCAAAGCTCAATACTAGGTAGTCTACTTTCAATTCGAAAGTACCATAATGACGGAACTCGCTGAGATGTACATGTCTCCTAATTAGGCTTAGGCGTTCAGCGGCCCGTGGATTTTTCTACGCATCTCCCCATTTCCCCAAGATGATCCCGAAATCGATCCGAATAGTGGCCCTCCCTCCTATTTGATCCTACGAGCGAAATCACAACACTCTCGTTTGCGCTGTGACTAATTATTTCCACGATCCCATTCATATGGATGTGTGGTGAATATATTTAATTTTAGTGTCATAAATAATCATCTAATAAACACAAATAAGCAAGTTGGCGCAGTGGAAGCGCGCCGGGCTCATAACCCGGAGGTCCCCAGATCGAAACTGGGACTTGCTAACGTGCGAAAATTTAATTTTTTGCCTTTTCGATCGATTCCCAGTATTCTTCTTTCCGCCAGGAGGTTGGAGAAGATATTTGCTACAGGACCGCCCCTTTTGCTGATAATCCTTTTTTTTTTTAAAAAAAAAAAAAGATATCAAGAAGTGGATACTACCGATAAGGAAACATGCTAAGCTTAACCCTGATCTGCCCCCCTTCAGGTAATCCTCTCGGAAAATGAGCCGGATCGGGATACATACAATAATCCGTAAATGCCCCACCCTCAAACCTTCTCTGCTTTATTTGCAGCAGCTTCACGATTTGACAACTACACAGAATGCAGCCATCGGAGTTCCTGTAAACATCATGTTTAAAAGATTTTCAGGTATTACAAGTTATAACTCACTATATTAGTGTGGTTGGCATGAGATGAAACAGAGTCATCCAGTAAGAATATGAGTCTGGTTCAAGGGATATCAAGTGGTGAGTGTTTGGCGGAAAGCATTTTGCCCTCAAGCCGCCGAAACTTTTTGCCATTTGTTTGAAGAATGAAAGCTCATCACATCTGTGCCGTGGGACTAAGTAGCCATGGCTAGCGTTTCTATTTCCACCAACCTCCTTATCCTCCTACCTTAATTACAATTGTAATCACACACAAAATACTGGTTTCATCACTATGATTTTGTCTCTTATTTGATTTCTTTGACTACCGACTTCTACCTAATATTACAGTCTCTGCTACTCAGTTTATGGTTCATTTAATGACAGGTCCAAACATGTACTGTACTACCAAGTTCAACCTCTGCTTTACTATCTTTTTGCACATCAAACCATACTCCAACTATCCAGGGAAACCCCAAAAAAACCCCGACAAAAACAAATCCGAGGTCAACTAAAGTCCAGACTGAAGCAAACCCTGAACGAAAAGGAACTCCGCAACCAGAATCTGCATGAGCTCCACCCTGATATCATTGACGCCTATTTTCAAACAGCATCTTGACTTGGAATCACTCCCCACTCGGCAAATGGAATTCTAGAATGGAAAACAGCAATCCATCTAATTTTTCGTCGGTGGTTCTTCAGGAGGCTGGTTATCACCACAAACCCGTCCTTACTGAGGTTTGCAGCCCCAACTAGAACATTGTGCTCTGCCGTTTACTTCTTTACTTGTGTGGGTTTGACTTGTACAAATAAATTGAAAGTAGTTAATGTTGTGTTCCCAAGTGGTAGCGAGTAAACTGGGAACAGGGCCCTGTATGGTAGTACTAGTGCCATCATTTCTAGGCTCGTCCAAGCCCGCATTGTCGAAGTATGAAGCCCGTGCCTGGTAGATAATTTTCTTGCTGTTGTCAAGTAGGGTTATATTGCATACAAGTCGTTGGTTTGCGGGTTACAGTTTTTCTTTTTGATTATATGAAAGCAAAATGTGCCTGTAGCCTAAATTGAATGTAGGAGGGCGGTGGGTATTCATCAGGCGACCCGGGCATTGACTAGTGAGGAGGTGGATGAGCCGCCGAGGAAACTTAGAGAGGCGATGGTGATTAAAGGGCATGCAGAGACGAGCATTTTTGATGCTTGGGATGTTGGTGAAAGTCGCGAGTTTTAAGTCTTTCGTTGTTGTGTATAGAGGCTTTTACCGAATTAGGTGTTTACTATATTCTGGTATTCCAGGTATGGTTTCGAACATCTAATATCTTGAGAGCAGCAAGGAAAAGTCTTAGAAGAGTCATATCTCATATACTTCACTTACTTACTACCCGATCTTACAGGTAATTAATCGTCCTCGGAAGATATTGAATCGATCTCTAAATCTTTCGAAATGAAATTAATACTTTCTGTGGAAGTAGGGTCATGGCCCCCTCCCATACGCTCAAAGTTACTTATAGATTGACCTGACTGCTTGATGGGTAAGAACAAAAAGATGTCAGTACCTCACAGCTCGTCGGCGGGCCTATGAATTCGGTAGATGGATGACTAAGGTTGATTAACTCTCATAACGTTGAAGCTGAAAAGAGTTGCGCTTCGCCTAAAATAGACTAGTCCCTCTGACGCGCAACAATTCCAACCTTACAAAATTCATTCTAGGCCTTGAAATTCGTGACAATATCTTAAACAATGTTCACAAACGCCAATACAAATAGTAGAGAGTATCATAATGGTGGCGTTGGAAAACAACTTTGGTCGAATCTGCCTCTTGAGATATGGACCAACGTTGGGGAGCAGGTATTTCTTCCGAAAAGCTTCTGTCTCTCCACCCGTGTACGATGCACACTTTACAATTCTTCAAACATCTAGGAGCTATCACCCAGACCTGTAAATTCTTCTCAGATATCTTCATGCCAATACTTTATTCTCGAAGAATTATCTGCGTCGATGAACCCTGACAATCAAACCTCCCTGTCGTCAACAATCACAGCATCCTTACAAGTACTCTTATCCATGCGAAGGACTTGGAGTTCCACTTAACCAAAAGCATCATGCTTTTAGATGGTATTACCGGGTATGAAGGACTCAATGAATTCGTTGCAAAAGTCTTGAATAAGACACCAAATCTTCGATCTTTCCGGTAGGTCACGAAGCCTCGGCATTCTTAACTAAATCTACAGCATCCCCTAATAACGTTGAAGAGTCTAGACATATGTGCTCTGTGAAGCCTCGCAGGCATGCCTCGACATGCAAATGATCGAACAAGGTTCAGATATCAACATTTGTAATCAAATCTATTTTGTGTTCCCTTGGTTGTGCATTCACGTCGTGGTATATACTCCTTTGTGCATCGACCATAATTATACTGACGAATGCATTCCAGATGGTCTGATCAGAGTTTGCCAGGTAGCAGCCTCCAAAGTCTCACTTTGCAAGAACGGGGTAATATGGAAAAGTTGGGAAAATATCCAAAGCTTAAACATCTATGGATTGAGTTCTCTACTGATCTTGCCGAGAAAAAATATGCCAAAGCCAATCGCTGGTGTTCCTTGGAGGGTTTTTGCAACTTGACATCCCTTGATCTTCACAACCTTTATGGTAATAATTCTCACATAACAGATGAACTTGCCCAATGCCTAGTCAACTGTCCGAACCTAAAACCCTTAGGGTTAAGCCTAGGGTCTCATTTTGATTGGAAAACGTTTGGTGGTCCGGTCGTCAAAGATGAAACCGACAATTTTCTGGAACAACCGTGCTCGCTCTACGCAGGTCGTTACGATAGCCGCCCCTTAGATCTCCATAAACTACGCTTAGGATTTGGAGCATCTCCTTATGCATCCAAGATGAAAGATAATCAAAATTATCTCGAAAACCTTGTCTGCTTAAAAGGATTGCTATCCCTGGAGTTTTACAATGGTTTCTGGGTTGAACACCCTAAAGGTGTGCCAAAAGATGTCTTACCTATTGATTTTCAGCTTTTGGAAGGGTACGAATCACTCACTCATCTTTCGATGACTGCATTAGAAGACGATGTCATGATTGGCTAACCAATAGAAAACGATTCTCGATTCGGGCAATGTCAACTGCGAGTTATTCCCATCTCTCGGATGAGATATCTTTTAAATTAGATCTTCCAAATCTTTCAACACTGGTCACTCACACATCATACAATCAAGCACCTAGACCCGTGAACGAAGATGGAGATGTTCCTCCTTTGGATCCTTCTTCCGTGCTACACTACGCTCTTTCGAAGTATACCATTCTGGATAATCTTCTGAACAAGGGTTCACAGCTTACTAAACTTACGTTGTGTATTCATAACGGGACTCAATGGGTATGTAGGTTCTTCATTGGCTCATTTGTAGAAACTAACCTTGGTAGGATCATTTCCGTAGTCATCCCTCGTTGTCCTTCAGGGATGCGACAAATAATCCGGATATAGCGTATTACTATGCACAGGAAATATCTAAATCATGCCAAACTTTAAGATATGTCATGATTTCTCTCTCCCTCAAACCACCCACTACTTAGGAAATCATACCAGATGGTGATGATTTCCGAGATCGGCGATTTCAAACATTGAGTGTCGACGAGTTAAATACATTTGAACTATTCTCCCATGACTTTGATAAATTAGAAAAGCCAACAGGTCTTTCTCTAGAATCTCAGTGGGAAAAAACACGATCATATCCATATCTACGATGGGTTCCGCATGATGCCTATGATGAGAATTTTGATACTAGCCCTGATGACTCTAGTTGAGTCATTACCAAACTACAAACCCAAGCGAAATCCAAAATGGCTGGGCCTCCCAACGAACGTCCTGCGAACGCCTGAAGGATATATGTGGTCGGAAGTTTTATGAAATAGATGAAGAGAAAAGGAAAATCATGCGACAGGAAGATTATGCTACTAGATACGGATGGCCTTATTATTTTTCAATTTTCCGATTATTTTATTCCGGAGTTCCTGGATCTAGATATAAATCTACTTTGGTCGATGAAATTTAAGGCAGGCCTTCATTTTTCGAAGCGTCGTAAGCTGGAAGAATGCGAACATAGGAGCAGATTTTGTCGGCTATGAAAGGGCGGGGGGGAGAGGTCCGCCGACTCAACATACAATGTATAGTGTTCGGAGACTTTCGAGATGTTCGTGTTTGGCTGTCATGGCTTGTATGAAACCAGGGAAAAGGACAACAGCCCGACAGAAATATAGGTTGAGAATATGAGTGGCAAGCTCGAGATTGGACAGGAAGTTTGCGGAACCAAGGATGGGAGGCATGTTCCAATAGTAAGTAGGTTATTGCTGTCATGTAGAATAGACTGATTAACGTGGTTTATCAGGACCCTGTACACTTTTACCTCAATTATTACCTTTCAACTTCAACACACGATTTATCAATATTTAATTATATAAACTACTTCAAAAGAAGCTTGAATCAATTTAGCTATTGAGGCTATTTATATATCTCAAAATTTGAGTATTCGGAAAGCTGCAAAATTCTATAATATACCTTATACTACCTTTACCTCTAAAATGAATAGAATTCTGCCTGTTACTGAACATCGATCAGCAAATCATAAAATGACAGAATTGAAGGAGAAATCACTTCTTTAATATATATTGGATATAGATGAAAGAGGGTTTAGTTCTCGAATAAATGATATGGAAAATATAGCGAATTATATACTCGAAATATAGGGTGCGAAGAAGATTGGAAAGTTCTAAACTCATTGTTTTGTGAAACGATATATAGAATTAAAGATGTGTTTTAATTATATTTATGATTTTCAAAAAGCTTTTTGTAAAGATTTAGAGCTTATTGAAAGATGATTTCGATTGGTATTGAATATATAGGCCAAATATAGTATTCTGGATTGCGATTTTTATAATTTCGATGAGACAGACTTTATAATGGGACAAATATTACTATATATAATAGTTATTAAAGTTGATTGATATAGAAAAAGCAAAGTTATATAATTAAGTAATTGAGAATGAACTATAGCGATTATTTGTATTGATGGAGAAGATTATAATATACTTTTGTTTTTGATAGTAAAAGACGAATATCATCTTTTAAATTGATATACCAAAGGTGATTTACTATATGATTGGCTAATTAAACCTATTATCAATGAATGAATAGATAATGAGACAGGTCTTGAATGGATTAAATATTTCAATAAATATATTGAAAGTAGGAAAGTGAGTAGATATCGAATGTTAGTATTTGATGGGTATGAAAGTTATAAATCGCCAGCATTTCAAGAATACTATAAAGAATATAATATTATATTATTTAGTTTATCATTTTATTCTTTGTATTTAACTCAATTATTCAATATCAGTTGTTTTAGTCCTTTAAAATATTTATATAATCGATAAATCGAGAACTTTATTAAGGTGTATATTACTCATATTATCAAAACCGAATTCTTTCAAATCTTCAAAATTGTATATATCGAAGTAATATCTATATCAAATGGTAAAGCTGGGTTCCGCGGAGTTGGGCTAATCCTATTTAATCCGGAAATTGTACTTTCAAAACTAGATATTCGAATAAGAACTTTATCAAATAGATCAATATCAATTGATCCTGATATATAACAATCTCAAATACTTTACAATCCAATTGAAGTTCTTTCTTAATCCATTTTAATGAAAAATCGTATTGCTTGGCATCAAGAGAATTCATCTACTCCAATATTTAAAACAATTGTAGCTTTAGCTAAAGGTATAGAGCTCTTAGCTTATACAAATACACTTTTAGCTATTGAGGTTCATAATCTCTGCAAAGCAAATGAAGTACTTAATAAACGCCGGAGAGCTAGAAAAGCTTTAATACAAAAAGGAAGAGCACTTTCAGTAGAAGATGGGCATGATATATTAGAATAAGAGAATGTAGAAGATCAGATACGATGTAACGAATTTACAAATGATGATTCTTCAGCAAGGAGGCAAGCTACTATACGATGATGTAGCAAATGTGGTAGTACTTCACATAATGCATGAATTTATTAATTAGATCCAGCATTAGTTGATCTTTGAATTGTATGTAATTTAATTCTAATTTATAGTATTGTTGTAATTTTATTTCAATGGAATGTGGGCAATTGAGGTAAAAGTGTACAGGGTCCTGATATGTACAGGGTCCTGATAAACCACGTTATTTATTCTGTTTTGATTACCTAGTAAACCCATCCCTTAGAATTTAAAAAAGGGCTCATAAGTGTGCTACAGAAAGCACCATGTAAATGCAGTGATCTTTTCATGACTCCCGGCTTGACTCGATCGATTTGACTAAAACTCTTCACACTTGAGCTGCTATTTTCTCGACGCTATCTACGTTGCCCTGCAGCGGCCAATTTTGACTCGTAAGAATTGTATCGTCCTTCCTGAAAAACGCCTTTTCTATTGCTGATATCGTGTCACAGCTCGCTGTGTTGAGTCCTATCGTTCCTTTAAATTTATAGTGGTGTGATATAATATGTATTGAGGAATTTAGAAAGTTGGGTACTCGCTTACTGTATGGTCGAAAGCTGCGCCATATTAATATTCAAACTACCAGCATTTCAATTGTATATCAATATACTTATATAATTCACAAATTCATTCATTCCAATACTGATATATAATTTTTCCTGTTTTACTTTCTCTTTTGCTGCCTGGCCTTCATCAGCTCCGTTGTTTTTTTACTGCCATGTTCACAACAATCCTGTGATTCATATCCTCCCCTTTCTTTCCCCCATCATGGTACCTAAACCACGGCATGAAAATCCCTGTCATAGATGCTATTATAGCAACTGAAATTTCGAGCGCGGATGTTTATCTCAACGCCTCAAGGAGCTCCTCGAAAGCTCAGGAAAACTTATCTTAGGTAGACTAGAAACACCTTTACTTATGGCACCAGAATCATCCACCAATCCCTCCTGCCCCTTTACCCTCCACCTCCCCCCTCCAACCACCCCCTCTACCTAGGATTCTCCCCAAACGGCTTCCCGGTACAATTAAACCCCTCCTGACCCACCACCCCATCACAAAGAAACTGCACCGGCCTCGTCCCATTAACCGTATCCCAAATCCCCTTCATCCCCTCAATCACCACCCCGGTACACGGCGCAGCACCACTACACTGCAACTCCGCCACCACATCACTAGTGGCCGTACCCTTCCAATCCCGCAATCGTATATCCGAAAACTGGAAGAGCGACGTGTCGCAATTCCCCGTTGCGGAATTATACGATGTGCATTGTGTGATGGCGAAGATACCCGTGTTATTATGGAGAGTGAAATCGGTAAAGGAAAGGTTTTTCGCATGTCCTAGACCGCCGCCTCCTCCGTTGGGGGGATAGCCGGTCGAGAGACCCGTCCAGGTTTTCATGTAGACGCCATAGCGCATATTATAGGAGCGGATGTTGCGAACTGTTATATTTTCTACTATTTCGTATTTACCCTCTGAGATGAGATGATTTGGTTAATACAAGTTCGTTTTGGATTTTGGGGTTGAGGGATTTACCGTATTGACCGATACTTCCGATGGCTACGCCGAGCCCGGTGTGGAAATCACAGTCTTCGATGAGGATGTTGCTAGAGTTTGCTTTCATGGAGATGGAATCATCACCATTATCTACCGTCCAACCACGAAACGTGATATTATTCGCATATATCGTATCCGCACCATCAGTCTGCCATGCTATTAGCCTTCTCTCCAGAACATCAAATCCAAACCAAACCAAACCAAAAAATAACCTACATTCAAACTACTAAATTCAAACCCCACCGGCCTCACATCCGTACTATTAACATAAATATTTTCCAACAAAATATTTTCCGCATAAATCAACGTCATCGTCCACATCTGACTCTGCACAAACCTAATATTCTCAAACACGCAATCCGTCACCCCAGTATAGGTAATCTGATGCGGTCTTCCAGGATAATTATTTGTGCCATTAATAAACTCATACCAAACCTCTCCATTACCATCGAGCGTCCCATATCCATGACCATCCCAATGAATATTCCGACCACCGAATAACCATGCACTACTTTGATTTTGGTAGCCGACTGGGAGAGAATTATTGAGCCAGTATGTGATGTTGGTTGACCATAGTAGTGTACCGTGGAGATCGACTTTGACGTTGGAGAGATTCGTGGTGTTCATTACAGTTTGGATGTTGTAGGTCGTGTTTTTGAATAGCACGGTTCCGTGGGTTGTGATTCCATCGTTGTGACCACATTCTGAGAAGGCGCGGATGATGGCTGGGGCGCTATCGCTGCCGTCTGTAGAGGGTTCTACTATGCATATTTTTTCCTTGAGGACGGAGACTTCTGGGGAAGAATGGGAAAATATGAGGGCAGGAAAGCTCAGCGCCGTAAAAAGGATTTGAGGCAACATTTTGCGGTAGAGTAGATTAAAGCATGATAGACATAACGTTCTATATATATAGTAAAAACCCCGAGATTTATATACTCACAACGATCTTTCGGTGTAGACTTCCCCGTGATGGAGACAAAATCAGATATTCCAAGGTTGGAGGAGATATATGCGGGGAATTGCGGGGTATCACGGTGATCAATGACTATTGCATTAAACCATGTACAGTGCACAATTACAAAAATATAACAAAAAGGTTAAATACTTAGGAATTCAGTATCATCAACAAAATTCGTGATGGCTATGTACAGCGTATGTTCAAAAGCTTAGGGTGATCTAGAGCTCGCTACGTCTCGCCCAGCTGAATCGACCAGAAATTCTTTCATTCCATACTGCTATTCCCAAGAGCATCAGGATGATAAAATGTCTCCCCCAATCATTGACATTTACCTTCCGCCCCGCCCCCATCTTTCCTATGCATGGTAATGCTCTCCACTGGCCGAAGAGGGCAAGCCCTCGGCAATTGATGCAAGTATGACGTCCGAGTAGTGCGATAGTGCGATCTGTATGATCTATCGTGATGATGATGCTCTGACATAGACTCTAATATGTTCTTACTATTCTGATTAATAGCATATCATAAAGAATGCATACTTATGTCGATGAATGACTTGTATCTGAGCTATGCTTCCTTGGCAACACTGTATACTTCTCGTCTGTCGAATAGTATAATGTCATCTAGAGCATATCCTAAAGCACCAACGTTGTCCTTCAATCACTAATCTAAATGCCCACAAGTAATCACATACACACATCATACCCCATTCCTACTCCCCTACGGTACTTACTCTCTCACTCCCACCATCTCTCATCCAAGCCTTCCAAAAACTTCAAATCAACATTAACAAAACTCCTCCACAAATCCACCTCCTGTCTCCACGGTCTCATCTGAACCGCAAAAGTAACACCCGCTACAATCTTTGCCAGCTCTTTCTCATCAGTCGCCATAACCAAATATTTATCTCTCTTCGGCACCACTTTATTCCCGAATTGTTTCTGAAAAGGTTCTATCCGTTTCTTACACGTCACATGCATGCTAAACTCTGAATTCGGCAGATCTTTTGGAACAAATAACCAAGTGAACATGCGCCCTATTAAATCATAGAAGGTAAATCCGTCACGTTTATCGTGACCAACCGTTAGGGGATAGAAATATGGGGCACTCCATAAGCGAAGTAGAGCGAATTTGGCATTGGGGTGAGAAGTTGAGAACTTCTTGGCAGTACTTAAGAGGGGTGGGACTTTAGAGGGATCTTCCATCCAGCCTGGCATTTCGAGGTCAGGAATAAGCATACGCCAAGCGACGAAAAGGTCGGGTTTGGAAGGGCGAATGGGTTCTGTACCCTGAAATGCCTGACAACTGGCTTCTGTCGATGCATGACTTCGAATGATACCAGACTTATAAACTGTAAAAGGGTCTGTTAGTGACTTTGAGAATAAAAGAAAGGAGCGCGTGCTTACGTTTTGCAATGATAGGTCGAATTGTCATATCCCATTCAAGGGGGAATGATGCGTAATCATCCGTGAACTTCATTTGCCTCCGATACTTTTCGAGATCGGCGTAAAGTTCTTTAGGCTGATGGATTGTAGATGTGTCTGTTCTAATATCTGGATAACTCTTGGCTCGCTTCTCCTGGTCGAACATCAAAGAATTTTTGAATGCCTTTCCCTCTTCGGAGTTCAGGAATTCTGGGTTAAAAAATGGGTATATTTTAGCCAGCGCCTTCTCTGCATCTTTCACGTCATCAGCTGTGACTTTGAGCCAACCCATCACCTCAAAAGTGAGCACGGTTGAAGATCCTTTGAAGAAGGGCCTTCGAGAACGATTATATTTCCAGGATTTATGGGTCATTTTCTTCATTTCTAGATAGCGCTCTTTCTCATGGGGAGTAAAGTCAGCTTGATGCCAAGCTTTTTTGAAATCTACTCAAGAAGTTAGTCTTGCTTGGGAGTGTGAGAGGGCCAGAATCATACTTCTCGAGGTTGTCTTCTCAATGAACTTCATAAACTCTCCCTCCAAATCCTCATTAGGAAATTCATCTTTGTGAGTCTTCTCGACTGCAAGTCTGTGTACAACCGGCCAAAGTTTCTTGGGAAAATCTTTCGGAAAGGGGTCAACATTATCATCATCATCGTCATCCACATCTTCAAATTCATCATCGTTCGGACTTCCATGAGAATCATCTTCGGAATCTTCTGATTCCCAATTCCAGGTTCCTTCGACGAATCTTTTGATGGAAAAGTCTTCTTCCTCAAATGCTCTCAATGAATCCTTTTTACCAACAGATACCTGGGCATTAGGTGCCTCCTGAGCTCGCTCCTCGGGGAATAATACCTCATCTTCCAGAGCATCTGCCTCGTTATAAAAGAGATTGCTCGGCCATGAGTCAGTTAGTTCAGTCGGTGGCTGATTCGGTTTATCGATGTCGCCATAAAAGAATTTTGATCTCCCATCTTGAAGATAATCCCATTGGTTTATGAACTGTTCTTGATCTCCCGGTCTAACATCTCTGTAATGGCTGTCTTCATCACGATACAGCGTCTTCAATATAGGGGCCGCTGGTTTGTATAAGTCTTTACCCTTGCCGCATCGAAGTGCTTTGATATGCATCTGAGCTCGGTTAGTAGGGGTTGATAAGTTCTTTCAAGGGGTTAACTTACTTGCTGAACAGTATTATACAGTCCAGCCAAACTTTCCCCAGGTTCAAGATCCCAAACATAAATATCATAATAATCTTTGAAGGAAAAGTTCCACTCTCGATGACGATCCATTTCCTCGAAAAATTCAGGTCCGATCCTTTTCAGAACGTTCCAGACATTTTTAACAGCTCGTCCAAGACCACTTTTTTCTCGCCATAACCATCGCTCTTCTTCTGGAGGTTTTACTAACAACTTACCACTCTCAGCATCTCTAACAAGTAAAACTAGACGATGAGTTTGCATGGATAGATATTGAATGAATCGGCGACTCGCTTGATCATCTCGTTTGATATGGGCACAAATCACGTTTCTTGCCTGGAATATAGCATGTTGACGTCGGGTTTGTTTGCTACGACCTCCTTGTGAAAAGCTGACACTGAGCTCCTTGGCATCCGGATCTGAACTTTCGTAGTACATGATGAAGCCCTGGCATCATGCCATTAGTCGACCAACCATAAGTAAGGCCAATGAAACTCACCAATTGCAATGCTTGTTGCTTCAGCCGATTCCCAACCCATGATGCCCAATTTGACGCAGGGAAGTAACCCCAGCAGGCCAAGATATTTAGCTCAAAAAACTCCTCCCAATTCCGACAAAGCTCGATTGCAGTATTGAGGTTACTATCCTTCGCAATGATGGAGAAATGTAACCACCCTCCACGACTCATTGCTTTATCACTGGGATAATTCCAAATCGTCCTACCACAGATCTTTACGCGGATCTTCTTGCGTACTTTCCGAATGCTATCGGAATTACCAAAATCAATCGCACCCCCTTCCTCACCTCCCATAATGTCTTTCATAGATGAAGCCATCCCGGGGATCATCCCAAGCATACTCTCAGCCGCCTTTTCTCGGGAAACTTCTCGCTTTGAACGCCATGTTCCAGGTAAATCACCGCGCTTTTTCCGTGTCAACCTCATCTTTACGTCATAAGGGTCAGCAAGGGTGGCTTCATCGTCTTCGTGACCATGAGCGTCATCGCTTAGAGCCTCTCGTTCATCTTGCTCTTCTGCTTCTTCTGCTTCTTCTCCGGATCGAAAGAAATCTGCGCATGCATCGCGGATTTCTTGGAGGCTAGGTCTCTCCATTTTGAGACAAACATCTCTCAGGGCCGTACCAGTCACTTCCTCATCTGCAAAGAATGCCTCAATGCTATCAGCGCGAAGAGCTGCTGGGAGTAATGCGGCGTGCCCAAGCAGTAACCGACAGAACAGTAAGTGTTTGATCTCTGATATCTCTCCGAGCAGTCGTTGGATTTCAAATTCGGTAAATGTTCGGGTTGTTTTTTGAACGTGAGGATTCTCTACCGTACCAGCCACCATTACCCCATGAACATCATCAAGGTCAATTTTGATTCCATGAGCCAACCTATGATGTATGTGCTCTCGGGTTTCGATGAGAGATTTATCAGGGAGCTCTTGTGGTTTGGCAGTAGATTTACTTGCCTTGGTTGTCTGAGAAGGAGGGGTAGTTGTAGCTGGTCCATTCTTCTTCTTTTTCTTCTTCGACTTTTTGGAGATAGTAGAAGACTCAATTTGAGATACAAGTTCGTCGAGACTGTTTGTGTCAATGGTTTGTTCTTGAGATTCTACATTATTCTCGATCAAATCATTCTTGTCGATTTCATTTGAGGGCGGTTTATCCATTTTTGATTCTTCGGTTGTGAGTTCTTCTTCTGAGGACATCCATAAAAAATGTCGCATGAGATCTTTTAGATATGGTCAGTGTGTGTCGAATGAGCATGTAACGTGAAGCTCCCCCTTCAAAGTATGCACATGTAACTTGTAGAGTGAAATCAACATACCGATAAAGTTTTCTCTTCCATCCTCCAGTTCATCTTCAATAGGATCCCACTCCATGTCATCATCCGTGCCCTCATTCTCCTCTACCTCCTTCATCTTCTCTTTATAAACTTTCTCCAGGAAAGTATCTTGCTTTTTCTTCTCTTCCCTTCTCATTTTCTCCTCCATTCTTGGTTTGGCCTGCTTCCAATTTCTTTGCCATAACTGTGCTTCTTGTTTTACTTTCTTTTGCTCCTTTTCTCGGTTTGCTTCCTCGTCGTCCTGGCATTCTCGTACCCATTTGAACCATTGTTGATTCCTATACAAGATCTGAGGAGAATTGATTAGCAGAGTCCATGGTGTTTGTCGAAAGTTGACAAACCTCAGCAGTTCTTCTCTCGAGTCGTTCTAGAGCCTTGGTAACATATGTTTTCTGGTTCATGAGCTGATCCAAAAATTTTGCATGTCCATAGTCCATGTTCTGACTGAAGAATCTACTATGATGCAACCTTCTCGCCCTTATTACTCTTTCCAGTAATTGATATTTCGTCCATAGCCAATCGTGTAGTTCCCTGCATTCTGCCTCTGTTGTCACATCCTCAAAGGTCTCATTGCCGAGGGCAGTTTTCGAATTCGCAAAGTACGGAGGAGGATTTTTGTCCAGGCGTTCAAGTCGAGCTGTGCAAATTTTGTATCCACGATAGAGACCTAAAGATTGTTAGATATTGTTGAACTTCTCGGGGCGTTTCTATGACTATAATACCTTGACACTGTTTAGAGTGGAAGCTGCAAAAGAGACCATTTATAGATGTAGCAGTCTCCAAGCAGCGTTTTTCATCAGACACGTTAAGTGCATTGCACTGTGAAGGAGAATTGATATCCATCGCCGTACTTCATTGACAAGATTGTAGAGGTGTGAATAAAGCTTCCTTGCACGCCGATGGGATATTTCAAGGAAGGTATAGTACTTGTGGGGCTTGGTGGTCTTAATTGGTCCTGATAGGAGACGCGTTTCGCGTCTGAATGTGATATCTGATATGCATGGCAGGTAATGTTGCTTGGGGATGTTCAGAAGATCGATTGAATGAAAGATTGATATCATATGAAGCTCGGTAAATTTAAAGATTGATCTTACTCGGATCAGGCTGTATAAAGAATACTCGAGGGATTAAATCCATCTTAAAGGAAAAACAGAGTTCTAATATCGAAATCACCAAATAACCACCGTCCGTGCCTATCGGAAAAGCTACCCCGCCTTTCCCCGTACAGTAATAAGTACTCTAAAGATCACAATTGCTGCACAACCATATCAAGAATAAAAAACAAAGATCCGATTCTTTGGAAATGGCGTGATGAAGAATTGGAACTCGTATATAAATAAATATTGATAGAAAATATATATGGCATTAGAAGATGTACATTTAATTTAATATTACCTTCTTATTTGATATGCAAGATCTTACTCTTACTTGGTGTTCATAGCACCTGCCATTTTGTCTCTTGATGCTTCAAGTCATGAACTCAACGACTCATTGTTGGACGTCTATCCATCTTTTTAACATTCGCCACAATCCCAACCACCGTACGGACAACATTCACGAGTATGCAAGTATCTTTTAAACCAGAGCCTATATTTCGATCCTATTCCTCTACTTTTCTTTTCTCTTCTCTCTCTTCTTCTATCATATATTACATATCACGACAGAGGATTCCTATATATTGCCAGACAACTATTAAATTCCTCATCATATCACAGCCCGTTTGGCTTAGCGGTAAAGCGCATCACTAGTAGTTTTCCGAAAGGTAAATAAATAGGTTCATGATGAGATCCTAGGTTCGATTCCTAGAACGGGCAATGAGAAACTAATAATTTTGCACTTTTTCTTTTGCATTACCTACTTGTTGGTGATCAGTTTGAGGAATAAGATGGAGAGGAAGGGAGTTGCTTGGTATTTTTCACCTTGGGGATGTTTCGATGAACCCCACAGCGGTGAACATTTTTCTGTGGTGATGCTATTTTTTACAACTCATTATTTCATTCAGATGAACAATGGTATTTCCCACCATTTCGATTTAAATCCAGCTATTCCACGATTCTTGGCACCGGAAGCATTCTACTTCATTATTACTTACCATGACTATACTTTTCATCACAAGATACTTCAAGCCGAGAGGACGAGTTTGATACATACTTATTAGCTGAGAAAAATGCCCATGGGTCACAAAGCTAGACGGAGCTGGAGCGACTAACTTCTGAGTGATCTTTGGCTGCGATGCTGAATGGTATGTCATACTGATACTCAGGAATCATCATTAAGTAATATGCGCCGACCAATACGAACCGATTTCATTCCGGCCTCTCTTTCATTTATCGTCTGGCCTTTGAAACTTTCGCATGTGTCGAGAAAATGCCATTGATGTTCGTGACATCCCAATTTCTGGTAGTATCCACGATCGGGAAATTATTCAGAAACTTGTAACTTCTGTAACCTCCAGTGAGTTACCATCATTATAGAAGTCCGGCGAGCAAGGCTCGACGCTACATTTTCGAATGACACCAAGCCTGTCAGATTCTAGGACCCTTATTCGACCGAAGCAAGATATAATAGATGCAAAGGGCTTAACTTAGCCAAACTTTATCCCACAATACTGACGATCAGATAAAGCAACCAAATCTGACACTCTTCGTCGGAGATATCCAGGTTATCAGCATATAATCTTCGACCCAAGGGTTCATTGTCCTACCCCCCTTATGTAACTCGTTTAACATCTCAAACGATGGTACGTCTCTGTACAATGTGATAGGTCGTAATTGTATCATAAATCACTCAGGTGAGTCAATGACAACATCGTTAGAAGGCCTTGTATGGTGAGTTGGTCGGTCTGCACGTGTGTTAAATATAAAAAGAGGATGGATACGGGGAAAAGGAATTGAGTGTTCAGCCTGTAGAGTGTTGGACACGGCGACATCTGATAAGGCGGAATCAGATTTTAAGGTACGGATCTACTTGACGAGAATAAATTTTACGATGATCAAGACAATGGATTTGTGTAGTTTCCGATATGATTATTTTTAGGTAAGATTACTTTCAACTTGTTATTAGATCTGAGAGCCTGCCATCGTTGGATTGAATATTTTCGAAATTGTCAACGCTCCTTCACAATGGCTTACCTCCCCTATGTTGAACCTGGACTCGAAATCATTCTTCCACTATCAACTTTCATTTTCATACTCAACATCACTCGAGATGTTCTCGACAACTTTCTCTACTGTGGACTCATTGGTGAAGTATTCATCGGTATACTATATGGAATGCCCATCACTGGAACATCATGGCTCAACATAGAAATGCAAGAAACAATACAATATCTCGGATATCTGGGGCTCATCTGTCTAGTATTCGAAGGCGGACTTATTACCGATCTTAAAATGTTGAGAGAAACAATATGGGTAACACTTTCCGCAGCAGCAATTGGGATTCTAATGCCTATGGCTCTCTCATTTTCCATCATGGGTATGAAATTCGATACAGTCGAAGGTTCGGGATATCCGACTGCATTGGCTGCTTTCTCAGCTGGTGTTTCACTATGTTCCACTTCTTTAGGATCTACCTTCATCATACTTTCATCAGCAAACTTACAGAAAACTCCAACTGGTACATTGATTGCTGGCGCCGCAATGATAGACGATATCCTCGTCCTTGTAATGGTTAAAATCGTCACAGCACTAGGACAAGGACAATCAAATCCATGGAGAATAGCTCGACCGGCGATTTCGAGCCTGAGTCTCGTTCTTGTCACCTTTCTCCTGGTGCCATTTCTAATCAAGCCCATTTACAAAACTTTCCATTCCATCTTCGCAAACCAGAAAGATGTTAACCGGGGTACTTTCGGTGAGAGTTATGATACAGAAAAGGGGATTTCCCGACATATGGGATTTATACTTTCTACTTTGATACTTATACTTTTGGTTACTATTGCTGCGTGTATAGAGGGATCTATTCTACTTTCTGCATTTCTAGCAGGAGCAATCGTCAGGTATACATGGCAAAGTACTGAGCTGGACGTGGAAATGAATATGGATATGGAGATGGAGATCGATCGACCTACTTTCATGTTCGAAGAGTACTACAAACCAATCATGGATCACATACTCGTACCTTTTTTCTTCGTAGGTTTTCTTCTAATATTACTCTACATATAATATCCATAACTAAGGATATATAAACTCCCATCCATCTAATAAAATAAATACTCACCCAAGTTTAGGCCTCAATCGGCTTCTCAATCCCTATCTCAGAAATGTTCTCCCCATCTATAATCTACAAAGGAATTTTCTACGCCCTCCTCATGTTCCTAGCCAAAGCATCCGTAGGACTAATTCTGTATATGAATTTCCTGATCCAAAAATTTACAACACAAAAATCCCACTCACAGATACAAATCCAAATCCAACATCCCGAATCACAACTCGAAATTTCCCAACACGAAACAGGAACCTCTAATACCAGCACCAACAATCCACCCAAGCCACCTCATCTAGACGCCCTCATAGTCGGCTCCACGATGATCGCCCGTGGTGGCTTCGGCTTCCTCGTTGCGTCTGAAGCGCAGAGTTCGGGGATATTGAGTTTACACCGTTATCACGGTTTGGACTCTAAGGATCTTGGCAGAATTGACGTGCAAAGTTTGCAAAGTTCGGGTAGATTTAAAAGAGGATTAGAAAATTTAAATGTGGTAGAAGATCAGGTATTTTTGGTTATTATCTGGGCGTTGGTTTTATGTACGATTTTGGGACCGGTGGTGGCGGGGGTGGCGGTTAGGAGGAAGGTGCGTATGGCGGGTGGAAGTGGATGTGCATGTGTGGCTGC